GTACTTATTTGAAAGGATATGGTGGAGCTTTGAGTATTTTTAAGTCCATGTATAGGGTTTTTAACTAATACATCCCTAGCCACTTTTTTTAAATAACAAAACTATACATGAACACTTAGCAACTGTATATACTTAAAATATATATTCTATGCCAGGATTGACATGCTATAAACCTTAAAATTCAATTTCCATTTCAATTGCAAAATGTAACACAAACACTTAAAACTTTTCATATACCAAACAATTCTATAACCAGCCAATTAGTTCCGACCTATGCTGGTAGTCTGTAACTACCAATAGGAATTCCAATGTTGACTTCATTGATGAAGTTTTGTACAACCTTACATGTCAGCACTACAGATATTAAAATACATCAAAACTGTGTAAAGAAATGTTTAGGTTTGTAGAGAAATTACTACACTGATAAGGAATATAACTCCTTCCAATTAATCCAAATATAATTTACTAAAGTCAGTAAAAAAATTAATAATTCTAAATTTACGTTTACTGTCAGTTCTTAAATCAAGGCCAGACAAGATCAGACAATAAACTCTTCATTGGTCTTTTAAATTTAGAGTAGGAAATAACTTTACCACAAAGTTTATGTTACAAAATATATTTACAGACGGCCGATTGGAAAGTACCATGTACAAGTATGTACCACTACTCCATGTTGGCTTCGAGGTTCAGATGCTGTCCTTAAAGCCATCAAAGATGCTACCGGATGTGAAGTTGGTGGCAACAGCCCTTGTGGAAAATTTTCAATCTCTGAGGTTTGTGTGGTGTGCCAATAATTTTGTTTTTCTATGTGCACTATTACAATTTCTTATACTGTTTTACAACTAAAAATGACGGCGTGTATAAGGCATAGAAAATTATTTAATTATTTACAACGTGTCTAATTAAAAAATTATGAAAACATAAATTTTCAGGTTGAGTGCTTAGGAGCTTGCGTCAATGCACCAATGATGCAAGTGAATGATGACTACTATGTAAGTAACGCATTAATTAATTATTATTATTAACTTTTGGATTGGTAACTTTAAAAAATGGGTTGATGGCAATGTTTTTCTAATGTTCCTATATTATTATTATTATTATGTATCTTAACACACTGGCAGCTTTTAATAAGCTGATGCGCGTGAATTTTGTGATTTGGAGAAACTATCCAATCTATTTTTAAAGGTGTTCAGAGATGGTGCACTGACTACACTTTCCAGAAGCCTATTCCAGTCGGCCACTACTCGGTTTGGGAGAAAGTTCTTTAGGGAATGTGTGTTATGTTGAGTAGTCCTATGTATATTTCACAAGTTGTTGTAACTTATTGTCTGACACTTAGTGAAAGTGTTAAGGACATGAAACTCAAACCAGTGACCATAGATCAACAGTATAAAATTGTCATTGAATAAAATAAAATATGTTTACTATGGAACAACATAAGATACAGGTATCACTTATTCCACATCATAAAATTATTAATTCCTACTCATCGGCAAAAAAGACAGAGGGTGTAGGCCGAGAGAAAAAGACGGCATAAAACCGCTCGGTACTCTTTTAAAATAGCAAATCATCAAACAACACTTATTTTAACTACACTTACTACACTTATTTTAACAACCCTTATTAATAACTTGCCAACATGAAGCAATTGCTTGTCATCAGATCACAATAAATCAATTTTTATATTTTTTTATTTTTTAAGTGATTGTATTTTGTTGATTAAGTTGGACTCGGCACGTAAGGTTCTAAGAAAATCCATACTATTAGAACAAAACAGTCCTTAACATTCAATTACTGTAAAATTCAACTGTACATATTCATAGTAGCTTCCGCTTCTTTATTTGTATTTACATTTCAATGTTTCTGTTATTGCAGGAAGATCTCACGGTAGAGGACACAAAGGAAATCATTGATAAACTGAAACGCGATGAAAAACCTAAACCTGGTCCAAGGTAGAATAGATGCTTCATATTAGTATTGTACACTAAACACTCTAACATTATTTTTTAATTAGCACGAATTTCAAACTTTGATAGGGGCCTCCCCCTTGTATCTGTACCTGGGTTTTCTAATTGCTACTCCTTGATTTATCATGGGACATTCAAAAATTCAATGACCAATAAACGGTCCAATCTGACCACTTTAGTAATATATTATTAATAAGCGCGCGACCACTTTACTGATATATGATTAACATCAAAGATATAAATCCTAGATGTTATTCATAAAAAAAAAACGACGGGTTGCACTCCGGGAGTGCCCACAGAAGTGAAAACTTGAATATTAACATTGTGCATTTTTGATATTTTGGAATGGTTAGGGAACAATTTTTGCACGAATTGCTTTAATAATCAGTATAAAAGTATTATCATTTACACAAACATGACAATTTATATTACATTAAATACGCCACGCCAGCTGTGTACTCTCCATCCGTCTTACGAATTTTCGATCAGGTCACGTGTCCTGACGCGAGTTTAACATTTTTAACCCATTCCAAAAAAGTGTACAACGCCGCTAAAGAAGTTTTCACTTCAAAAATTACTTGAGTGTGTGACGAGAATGCAACGACTCTGTGTAGACAACAAATAACGATTGTATGTAATGTCTGCCAAACAGCTACAGCTTAAGTTTGAATGAAATGGATGTAGTGTTTCATTACAAAATAATACATACTAATTATCTGATTTATCGGAATTGTAGCTTGCTAAGTATTCACGTATCCTTATCCCTGTCTCACGTTTGTGCTCATCGTTTAATGCTCTTGTTAACAGATGGTGTCGGATTTAAAATAAAACTGTGATGAAAAATGAATTGGATATTTTCAGCAACTCAATAGAGACCTTTCGCCGAGTCGTTTTAGGAACCTTGCACTGTCAATTATTTGCTAATTTTTGAAGTGAAAACTTCTTTAGCGGCGTTGTACACTTTTTTGGAATGGGTAAAAATGTTAAACTCGCGTCAGGACACGTGACCTGATCGAAAATTCGTAAGACGGTTGAAGTGAACTTCTTTAGCGGCGTTGTACACTTTTTTGGAATGGGTAAAAAATGTTAAACTCGCGTCAGGACACGTGACCTGATCGAAAATTCGTAAGACGGTTGAAGTGAAAACTTCTTTAGCGGCGTTGTACACTTTTTTGGAATGGGTAAAAATGTTAAACTCGCGTCAGGACACGTGACCTGATCGAAAATTCGTAAGACGGATGGAGAGTAGACAGCTGGCGCGGCGTATTTAATGTAATATAAATTTTCATGTTTGTACGATACGATAGCGCTTTTACCACCTGCCTTATTTGTTTAATATGTTTGTAATTTTTGCAAGTGTTGAATATTGTCTATTTATTTATTATTTGTCTGTTTAAGGAGTGGCCGTTTTGCATCTGAGCCCCTTGGAGGTCTCACATCACTAACAGAAGAGCCAACGGGACCTGGCTATGGATTGCAAGATGGTTTGAAAGCATAAGTGTATAGTAAATCTTTATTTAATTAATAAATCATGTTAGTTGATTCTTTTATTTTCCTTTACTTATATTTAAATCATATAAACTGTATACATAATAAAACGAGATTTGGTGGTTGTTAAAAAATATATTTAGTTTTTTTCAATATTGAAGATTTTGAGTGTGTTTTCTATTCATATAATATAACATATATTGCTTTGAGACATCATTAAATAATATACCAATCTAAATCAATACCAGTAATTATTATGAGGTTGTAACAAGGTACTTAGATATATAATACGTAACCTTGTGAACCCGAAATTAAGAAATGATTTTTTTTAAGTTTGGATAGCAGGAACTAGGCCGGTAATCTTTACTACTAAGTCACTATAACGATAGCGTTCGATTCCAAGATTGCGACATCAGCTCTTAGTATAGATATTGAAGAAAGTTTCTTTAAAATAATTTCCTATTTAAAATTATTGCGATCAATAACTGAAGGGCCAAATTTAATTAGGTATAATACCCTTAGTCAAAGTTATCCTTTGACATTTAAAATGAACAAAATTAATACATAGAGCTATCACTCTCATGTTAATGACCCTGAACTAGTATATTATCACTAATCAAGCAATACAAGTTTTTGACCGGCCTTTCTTGTATGCAAGAGTGACATATCATAAAAAATCTTAAGCAGAAGTAAAAGTACTGGCTCTAAGAAATAGTTTTTATCACTAAGAGATAAGATTTATTACATCGTTGTATGTATTGACGGCATCGCAGTGTTTCGTGATCATGTTGTGCTAATTAGATAGTCCACGTAGAGTGGAAAAACGCTGAATATTTAATTCAGTAAAAGAAAAATATCTAGTGTGTTGGACGTGTGTTGTGTAATGCAAAAATGCATGGTTGTAAGTTAATTGTACTGTGAATTCAATCTCATGTTTCGCCGTACGAAAAATGATGGATTGCAAGATTATGTTCAAGTCCCGCTTTGGGATACCCCGGAAACGGAAAAAAAATATAGTAAAATTGTAAGTATAAAATAGATATCTTTTCCTAATTTTATAAAACATCTCTAGATCCAAAGTGGTAAACTGAATCAGGATTTTATTAAATTAGATAGTGGGTCTGGCCGATAAAGTAGATTATACCTTGTCGTAGTGGATACTTCATTCACAACCTATAACAGTATCAAGAAGTTTTTGAGCCCATAACATAAACCATTTTTTTTAAATATGTACATCATCAAAACTGAATAAATGAACACTTTATATAGTTTTATTTAAATCTTTGTATAAATTGAAATATTAAAGTAAATATTTTAAAATATCAAAACTTTATCAGTTTACAATAATTATTTCCGACGTATCAAATATCAATGACATTTACAAATAGTGACAGTTTTGAACTTTGACGTTTGTCATGAATTGCGATCATACATTTTTGAATTTGACTTTTGTTCAGTCGCTTTGTGAACATCATTGGCTTATGTAGTGCATTTTCCGCGTGAAAATGTATTTTGAGGCTTAAGAGCTTTTACTCATCGTGAAAAATGAAAAACAGTCCTACTCGTAATTATGAAAATTTCTCCGACCATCGAGGGAAAGAGAGTGATAAGTTTTCCTTAGACAGCCAGGATACGGCAAGTTTGGTAAGCGGCTACATTTTGTTGGGTTTATTGATTTTGTTTATATACTGCTCTGATGTTATTGATTCGAAGTTCTTTTGGTTATTCCGGCAGTTCCGGGAATAGCATTTATAAATAACGTTGGAAGTCATTAAAACTAAAAGCTTATATTGCGGCACAAGCGTTTCGTTATGTTTTACGTTAAGAGCGACCTAGTTTTTTTAATTGCAGGTGTTATTCTAGATATTATCTTGTGTCCTAGGCATAGCACGTATATGGAATGGTGTTTAGGTGCAGTAAGGATGCGCATAGCAATATCGACGTTTCTCATTGCTGTACTTTCTCATGTGTATTACTTTTACTGGAAAGTAAAAGTTGTGGTTTTCTATGATTTCTATTTCATTCACTTTAAAAACTATGATAGCGATTAATTTAAAAAAAAACAATATCTTTGTTTTTTCTTATTTTATTTCTAATAATATATAGAATGGGAATTATTTATTTGTATTTATAATTATTATAAATTAGTATATAAATCACCATTATTTTATCAAATGTTAGATGCTGATAAATGATAACTGATAATATACTGTGCTATAAAATATAACATGTCATTCATGTTTATGAGATTGATTTGATTAAAATTATTCAAATGAATTGCATTCTTTATTTGATAGACTTAATACTGTACTTCTCAGTATGAATTATTATAAACCATATACTATGGTATAATATATAATCAACATGCTTTTATAATAGCTTTTTACATTTTAATCTGAAAAATTATTTTACTTAATCAAGCTGTGGACCTCTAGTTTAAATTCTAACATATCAACATAGCTATACATTTTGTAACTAATACATATTATAATACAAAGAGATCTCCCATTGGGGCTTCAGGTTACAAGAAGCCATTGGAAATGCATATTATGTCAAATGAACATCACTTCTAAGCTGAAAATACTCTTATACTAATCTACTTTTGGGTTTTAGTAGAATAACTATATAGTCTTAATGATTTCTACATCTGGGTTTGTTTTATGTAGGTAAAATGTATTAGTTTTGGCCGACTATTATAAATGTTACAACTGGATTATTGTGGTAATATTAATTTTTTTCCTATAAAAAACTGTATTTTGAAAAAAAAGTATTCATTTTGAAGTTGATATAATACTTCATTGAATTATTATACTATTGTATTTAAAGGAGAGATCACTAAATATATTTTATTTTCATATTTTAAACTGTAATTAAGACAATAATACATTATGTGCACAAAAAACTGTTAATTTATTTATTGGTACTTTGAAATGGAATAAACACTGATTTTATTATTTTACCATATGTCCATTGCTGTATTAAAAATAAGATGCATGCAGAATCTTAATTCTTATTCAGTTCTTACATAGAGTTGTTCCCATGGATTTTACTTTAACAATAGACAATCAAGACCCTTCTTAATACTCTATCTATGTAAGGTTCTATATATTCTGTGACCCATATAGTAAATATGCATCCTATGTTTGTTGTGAGAATATTCCACCAGAAAAGCTTGCATTTATAGTGCCAGCTAAGTATTGTAAGCGGCTGTGCATAATGGATATTGAAACAATAGATAATAACATATGCACTATTCAATAACTGAAAACTATGACTCACACCACCTGTTTTTGTTTTATTTAATTCATTCAAGTAGTTTTAAATATGTTATTTTTTTATTTAAATTGTTCAAGACTTTATTTTGCTTCATAACAGTGGCTCATTCCTGATAATTTTCAAAATACTGTCGTTATTTACAATGTTTAAACAAAATAATTATAACTAAAGAGCTGAACTCATTATTTCAGCTTAAGCCATTTGACATAAAATTACCATTAAGTAGTTTTCTAACAGTAATTACAATAAATGCTTTTATTTATAAGTTTTAAAGTTTTGCCTAGTACACAAAACGTAATGCGTAGTTTTTGTGCGCGTTTTCCGTTTAAATATTATTGATTGATCACAACTTAAAATCGCGTGACTGTAACTGATGTGTGTGATTCATGATTTCAATACAATAATCGATTAAAGCATGTTTGCATAAGACGTTACACTTAATTCATAATATTGTGTGGTGACAAATGTACTACGTTAAATAATTTCAATATTTACTTTCTTTGTTATATATATTTGTAATGAGGCTAGGTAGGGAGGATGGCTTCCGAACTTGCTATGGTTCGGCCATCAATATAAAAATATATTCCTTATACCTTAGGGGCCGTTCAAGTATTACGGAAGCAGATTTACTGCAATTTATCCCCCCTCTTGTCAGCAAAAGTAAGCAAAGCTCTCAAAAATATTAGTACATAAAAACGTATCTATTTTTTGTACGAATCCTCGAAAATGCCTTGCGTTTTCAAGCATATACAATGTGTGGGTAATGTGTGTAGAAAGGTAAATAATTACTGTTGACGTAATCATAAAATAAGTAAATGAAAGAGACATACCTACCCCTTTTAAGATGCGCAACGCATAAGAACCTCGGTGAAAATTTTATATATTTAAATAATTGCCTATGATTCTTTTATCGCTGTAGCAATTCTTATTTAAATACTAGCTGACCCGGCAAACGTTGTTTTGCCCTATATATTATTTCTAGGAAACATTTTTTTAGTTGAATATTTAATTATAATGAAAAATAGGGGTTGATCGTAGAGGGGTCAAAATTAAGGGTTGTATGTATTTTTGTATAGGTACTGTATCATAAAAAACTAAGACCAAAATTTTTGTGGTGGACACTCCTTATCACTTTGAAAGATAAATAGCAGCCGATTCTCAGACTTACTGAAAATGCATAAAAAAATTAATAAGAATCGGTCGAGCCGTTTCGGAGGAGTATGGGAACGAACATTGTGACACGAGAACTTTATATTTAAATATGTTTATTAAAATTCTACGATGTCACGTTCAACAATTAGCCATCTTGTCTATGACAAAGGTCTCCTCCATTCCTGAACCATTCTGAACGTGCTGTTGTTTCAATACCTGACCTATTTTGCAGTGTTGTTCCCGCTCGGGTTCCCTTTTTTCTTAGTATGTATCTGAAAATACAATACAAAAATTGAGCACAAGTCACTTATAAATAGAACAAAGATAAAATTAATTAACAATAATTGATACGTGTTATCGATAAAGGAAATTTGCGATTTTAATAACAGCGGTTTCCTTACGTGTTTTTGTAAAGGTAATTTACCAACTTATCAGTGTCAGTCTAGTAATAGAGGTCTAGGTTTGAGTATTTATGTACACTTTATATTTTTATAGTTATTGTGGGTTCGAATCCTGGCTGGCTAATGAGTTTTTCTATATCTACAATTGATCCTATAGACAATTCATGAAACTTGGCATGTTGGCAATATTCAGTTAAGACTTGCGACTATTACTGACACTTCTATGTAAAAATCCATAACGTTATATATATAAAGTTCTCGTGTCTTGTAATTTTTTTTATGTATATTCAGTAAGTCTGTGAATCGGCTACTATCTATCTTTCAACCCCCAAAGTGATAAAGGGTGTCCACCCCAAACAATTTTTTTATTTTTTAGACAAATTTTTTTGTCTTTATTTTTTTTATGATACAGCATACAAAAATACATACAACTCTTAATTTTCATCTTCCCTCTACGATCATTTTATTATGTTTCCTAGAAATAATATATGTACATGGTAAAACGACGTTTGCCGGGTCAGCTAGTATCGTTATAAAGTACGAACATAATACTGTGCTAAGTCTACATTGAACCCTTAGTCTTAGAAGACGTGTATTAGGCACAGAAGGCTCCATGCCCGTATTTAAAAAAGACTTACATTATCAGACTTGCAAGTCCTGTCAGACCGCAGAGCGGAAATAATATTACGTAATATAATATTTAGGATAATTTTGTAACTAACACAATAATAACTATATGGACAGGGGCCTCATAGCCTAGCGGTCTTATTAAGTGGCAGCTAGGTGAGGGGTACCGGGTTCGATTCCCGGTTCGAGGGCAAGTTTTAATTTAATTTAAATTTGTTCTCGGCCTTTGGGAGGGTTGTGCGGTACCGGGCGAGTGCTTAAACCGTACATGGAGGACACTGTCGAATTTCTAAAGACAAGCACGAATTATAATAAATCCTATACTTGACGCTGGCTAATGCACAAATCGTGCCAGAGCCATTAAAAAAAAAAAACTATATGGACTGTCTGCTTTAATAAATATATTATTTTTATTTAAATGTTTCTTATACTATGATACTGATGTAAATTTTAAATATTTATAACTACTTATGGTAGATAAATATTTTCCGTGTTTACGAGCAGAATAATATACCATTTATGAACAAATAATTAACAATGATTTCTATTTAAGTCAGCCACTAATTTTTATGCTTTTTCAGCATTCAAACCCGGAGGAGACTGGAGTACAAGGATTGAGTGACGTCGGCGTAGGCGCAGGAGACATGTGGATCAGTGCTGTTGAGAGTTCTATTCTTAGCTGGGAGGAGGTAATTTTATATTCACTAAACATTTCAATATAAGCTAAAAAACTTCTGGTTCGAGATTAGCATTTGTAAAAAGTTGTGTATTTTCTTGTTCCTACTATCTATTTATTATTCTTTACGTTGGTTTATCATTTTTTAACTCCTTTTTGCCGTTTACCGAAATTCAGAAATTCGTTCTTGCGATAAAAGTTACTTGCGCATATGTGAGAAACTTCACCATTATTTATACTTCTACACTCATTAATAAAGAGATACGTTTCGTGAGTTTTTTTAGAAATACGATTTTGTAACATTGAAACTGTAGCTTCATTCTAAGTTCAAGTGACGTAGGCAATAATATTATTATTGTCTAATGTCTGTGTCTACCGAACCTGCAGCTTAGTTTCATCATTGGACGTTGAGGCAGATATGAAACACCACTCCTATCACCTCGATGTATGTCGTTCCACTACTGAGTCAGTACTAATGAGTGTCTATTAATGAACTTAAAACCCGCTGCCCGTCGAGGTATTTCCGAACCAATTCGACTTAGGGTCCTTCAAGAAAAGAGCGTACCACGCCGGTATTGCACTTGCGAGCTTTCTGTCATTGTGAGTGTCTATGGGTGGGGGAATCACTTCATATGACGAGAACCTCATTCCCGTTTGCTCTCTGCTCTAAAAAAATGATTTTCTCATTTCCCGCAAAGTTCCTCAGGCAGTTGACAAGAGTATACTCCATTAGTGAATACGTTATGTTAAAACCTTCACTTCTTCCCTACTATGTAAAGGAGTGTATATTTTGTATGTGTATTTTATGTTCCATTATGGTCGTGTGTTTTATGACTTTTTGTTGTTAACAGGCATTAAATTTTATTAGCACTTAAGATCTATAAAACCAAACAAGGTAATAAACGTAAAAAAGCTAAAGTCACCTCTTGCAAATGCAGTCATTTATTAATTCCCACGAAATTATATTGGTCCATTGAAGTTTGTAGAGGACTCAATTTTATTTTTGAGACATGTAGGGGGGTCAATACAAGCTTAAACCCAAGGTTGTATGGTTGGCGCCCTTGTCCCCCGTCCGCCATCTTGGAAAAAGGGGTGAAAACACGTTTTTCGCTATATCTCCTAAACTATCCATTTATAGTATATATAATTACCTTATAGATATTCTATTTTTTAAATTAAAATTTCGCAAAGAGAATTTATGAAATATTACTATTTTATATTTTATGCAAAATAATTTATTGAAATCTCAAATGACGAATTGTAAATTAAAATGCCACGTGTTTCTATTATCTAAGAAATAAATTTAAAAAAATAAATTTCTTATTTGTATTAATTTTCGGCACTTAATATTTCAATGACAATTAAATTCATTAAATTCCTAACATATCTTCCTTTTTCCCTCCCTGTAAGTATCGGAAATCTAAAGTTTTAGATTTGTATAAATATGAACAAGAGTTAAAATTAGTTTGCAAAAGAATTTTCACTTCTGACATGTGTACCTACTTTGTACGCACGCACTTTTTTTTATAGAACAGGGATCAAACAGTCAGAAGGCTCACCTGATGTTAAGAGCTATTACGCACTGTCGACTTGTCGCCGGTGACTCGGTCGCTCGGGCGACCAAAACATGGCAACTAGGCAGGAGACCAAGCCGAGCGACTGTATTCCAAGTACATTCGTGCAGAATGGATGTCGAAGAAGCTGCTATAGTAGCGATACTAATCAAGAGAAAGAAAAATAAAAGAAAATCAAGAGAGTATTGGGTACATCCTTTGTTACAAGAACGAAGATCAAAAGGAATGTTTAAACTAATTTATGAAGACGTGAGAAAATACCCTCGTAAATTTTTCAACTACGCAAGAATGTATGTGCGTTCGTTTGATGAGCTATTGTGTCTTTTGAAACCACATATTACTGGCACAGATACAAATTTGCGACCAAGTGTTTCTCCATTTTTGTGCGCGACATCCGGTCGTTACGACAGTTGCTCGCAGTGTGAATGCTTCCAATTGAAGCCATGCTCCTATTGGTCGCCAGCGACCAGCAGTCGCTTGTGTGTCGCCACGACGCGGAGAGTCGCCCAGTCGCTTGGGCGACAGACGACCAAGTGCGTAGACATCTATTTAAACTGTAGAAACTCACACCCAATGATAGGGCTCGCTCGCCCGCGAAGTTTTGATGGGGATGAAAATTATATATGTATTTTTTATTCAAATAGTTCCTTTTTATAGTATTTGCGTATACATACTAATATACATATTTATCTTTAATATATGGCAATGTAAATAACTTTCCGTGTTACTTAACACCGTTACTTTTATCGCTAGGTCATTGATCTGTAATAATTTTGACTGTAGCGAGTTTCTTAAATACGGTTACATATATTAGTTTATCTGTAATGCTCTTAATGTATTGAGGTGTTTAATTAGTGATCACAAATTACGCCTTATTAATAGTAATTATGAAAAAATATTGTTCGAGCTAAAAGTGGCTATAGTGTGCGACTTTCAAAAAGGTCAAATCAAATCGAAATCATTTATTCATATAGGTAACACTATGTACACTTATGAACGTCAAAAAAAGAAATATATATTAAATGCCTATAATTTTACATTACCGGTAAAATTAGAAGGTCGGTCATGTACGCCGCCGTAAGAATAAACTCTATAAAAAAATATTTAGTAAAATTATACACTAACTTCAATTTCGCTGGCTGACGGATTATTTAGTTATTATAAAAGTAATAATTAAATTAAAATAAAATAGATAACTGTTAATCATTAAAATTAACATTGATAAGATTTTTGTTCCAAATAAATCATTCTCATGTTTTGGGGAGAAATTCGATTAAACAAGTATGTCTGTATAAAACGTGGGGATTTCCTGGGCATAGGTTACATTTCTTCAAGCGCCAAATTTCAAAAGTATCGTTGTATCAGCAATTAAAACCCAAAGTATCGCCGATATATCGGTATCGGGATCGATATCGGATGCATGTCTAAATGAGCCCTTCCTTAAAATTAAGAATGTGAATTTGAATATATAGAGTAGAAATACAAGATAATATATAATTTTATAATAATAATAATAATGGAATACAATGATTTGGAGCAGATATGTAACAACTAACAACTGAAATGGCATTGTACGAGAGGATTTTAAGACTATGTGCGCATAAAACACTTGCTATTTTTAAAATTATGCGTCAAAACTCTCGTATGTCAAAAATAAAATACATTTTTATAAATAGAATGAATGAATGTTTGGGTAACCTACACGATGACTAGCGTCTGGAATAAAAATATTATAAAATATTAGACCAAGGCCCATCATGGGAGCAAACTGTCTTGATAGTTGCGTACCTTTATTTAAGAAGCTTAAAATTTTATCTCTTGCATGTATTTATATTTTAGAAATATCCTTATAGTCGAATGTAGAAGTCGAAGTGAGAAGTAGACATGGGGAGAAATTGGCTATGCCAAAAATCAATCTGGAACTGTTTCGGAAAAACACCTTTTTAGGGCAATTAAGGTTTACAATAAATTACCAAAAAAATTTTAATATCTTCCGACTTGAGTCTTTAAAAAGCGACTTGGTGTATTGCTTTTGGAAAAAAATTACTATTCAATAAATGATTATTTGCGTGAGACACTGTAGTTGATATAAATTTAAGAAAGTATGATATGATATGTACGATAAAAATAATATAAGAATTGACTTTGACTTAAATTAATGTAAAATTTAAAATTCCTTAACATAAATTTGCGCGCCATTACATGTAGCAGAATATGCGTAGGTACTCGTACTTACGATTGTACCCCCTTACACATTTTTGTACCATATTCTTGCAATAAACACATTATTAATATTATGAATAAAATAAAAGGCGTGTGTACCTCTTCTCAGGTGGCTGATCGTCTGCAAGTGGAAGTCAGGCGAGGTCTATCATGGCGAGACGCAAATGATCGCATGAACTTCGTGGGTCCCAACGAGTTCCAGGTGAAAGAAGAAGATCCATTATGGAAGAAGTACATCGAGCAGTTCCAGAACCCTTTGATACTTCTGTTGTTAGGTAAGATGTGGTAGAATATTTTTTGTGATGATAGTGATTTTATTTCAAAAAGAATTAACATTTATAAAAGATTTTATTATACACGCTACGTTACAAATTGTCGTTTATTTATAACATCTATTTCGTCTTATAATCAATATTAATATAAATAAACCTTTAATTCACTGCACGTAATTTACAAAACAAATAACAATTACAAATAATTGAAAAAAAAACAACTAACGGTTTTTAGCAATCAGTTTTGTCCATTCTGTTCTATCCCGGGCCTGCTCTCTTTCTTGTCTCGGCAGACACTATGTCTTCTCATGGATACATCTTTTATTAAATTTCTCTTTTTTAGTTCAGTTTATTGTCTTAATTTTTTCGTAGAAATAAGAATAAAGTGCTTTTAATTTCCTGTTTCAAAAAACATTATTTTAACTTTGATTTTTTTGTATTAAAGGCTCTTAATATTTAGAATGTGTGTGTAGACTGTAGATATAATATCTTCGTAATTACCACATATCTCTTTAATTAATTATTGAATTATTCGGTATGATGCAAATTGTTATTACGTTCTACGCCCTTGATATGAGAACTGGCCGTAATTTTAGTTATTTAATTTCTCTTAACTGTTATGTAGGTGTGTAAAATTTTAAGTCTTTAAGGTTTTGCCCTCAGATTTCTGTATCTAATAGACAAGTAGGTGATCAGCCTTCAGTGACACACGCCGTCAACTTTTCAAACTCAAAATATCTTTATTCATATAGGTAAACAAGTACAGTTATGAACGTCAAAAAGAAGTTAAATTAATTGTTAATTTACATTTACTACCAGTTCGCAAGTCAAGGGCGTAGAGCGGTTAGGAGGAACTGGCAAGAAACTTTCCGTCACTCTTTTTAATCGCCAAGTATTGTCATACAAATTGTTTGAACTGGAGCAAATCAATCCCAAGGATTAGGATCATTTAAGTATTCGTCAAATTTATAAAAAGCTTTATTGATTAATTTACGTTTAACGAGGGCTTTGAATTTATTTAGTGATAATTCTCTAATTTCCCTTAGGAGTTTGTTGTGAAAACAAATACAATTTCCAGATAAGGAGTGGTTTATCTTTTGGAGCCTGGTTGGTCGTACACTCAAATTAGTACATAAACGTATTAATTTTTTGTAGGAATCGTAGAAAATACATTTCGTTTTCAAGCATAGACAATGTGAATATGTGTAAAAAGTAGTACGTAAGCAGATTTACTGCAATTTATTTCCCCCCTCTTGTCAGCAAAAGTAAGTAAAGTTCTCAAAAGTAATAGTACATAATAACGTATTAATGTTTGTAGGAATCGTAGAAAATGCATTTCGTTTTCAAGCATAGACAATGTGTGGGTAATATGTGTAGAAAAATAAATAATTACTGTTGACGTAATCACCAAATAAAAAAATTAGTGCTTACGTAATACTTGAACGGCCCCATATACATAATTTTACTAATATATATTACCGTTAATATATTTTGATTTTGAATTACATATAACATTCAAATATATCTGTGAGTTGTATATAGACACCCAGCGTAAATAGCGACGTAACCAGTTTTTGCACAGGTTTTTTCTATTTAGACACCGTTCATTGACTTTACGGACAATAGGTATTAGTGGATGTGTTATTCTCACTTATTAAAAACTTAGTATTATTAAACTGTTTTAAGTACTGAATCAGAAAAATACTAGCTGACCCGGAAAACGTTGTTTTGCCATGTATATTATGTCTAGGAAACATTTTTTTAGCTTAATAAAAATAACTATCTACAATAATAAAAAATAGGGGTTGATTGTAGATGGGTGAAAATTAGGGGTTGTATGTATTTTTTGTATGCTGTATCATAAAAAAATAAACACAAAAAAGTTGTCTAAAAAATACCTTATCACTTAGGGGGTTTGAAAATAGTAGCAGATTCTAAGACTTACTGAATATGCATAAAAATTTCATAAGAATCGGTCGAACCGTTTCGAAGGAGTATGGGAACGAACATTGTGACACGAGAATTTTATTAGAAAAATATAACGTAGTTGTAATGGTAAGGTACCACGAAAGAGGAAAACGAGTGGCAGGCAGACAAGATTGGAGGATGATAGTTCGGAGACATATTTATTTTGTATTTAGCATATATATTTAAGTGTTGATAAATCTCTGTCTTAAATAAAAGTTCGGGAATATATTATAGTCTCGAATTTATATTGGATTCAAGCGGAATACATTTGCACGGCTGGGTGTTTGTTTTTTATATTTTTGAATAAATATGTGTTAGGGAAGAAGCATTATGAAGCATTCTAATGGTTTTTATGAGTTTATTTGTTACAAAAACACAAATCTTGGGTGTTAATATTATAATAAATTTGTTGCCCCCGCGAACTTCTTTTCGCCTTGATATGTTTTTTTACTTAGTCTACCTTTTAAGTACCTTAATACCAATCGATCATTTTTATATGACCATAGACAGAGACTGTTCGCTATTCCGGAATAAAATCCTAAGTAGTAAATAAATCGATTTTTCTTCTTAAAATTTTCTATACATAAAAACTCTCAGAGTGCATGGAATAAATAAAATAAAAACTTGTATTTATTCAGCCGTCTTCGAGTTTTGCACTTAGAAACATTTGTGAGTGATATTTATTGATACAGATTACTATAGATAACTCATATCGAGTGCTTTATATTTTGCGAGTTTATATTCGTAAGTGTTTTGTTTCCATTAAATAAATATCATCATAACACAAGAATGAATATTTAAATTAATAATAAAAAAAAATATAAAAATTCGAGTAGGTATTATTATACCTATTATTTATATCTATAGGATTACATTAAGTTTATGTTATTATTGTATTTAATATAAGTACGACCGATGCAGTGAAAGCCTCTTTCAAATTTTTGCATTTGTCTCTCATCTCCACATTTTTCCAATCTTTCTCAATTTATAATAAATACAATAGCTCTTTTGTTTCGCTCTTAATATGCAACAATTTAATTACAGAATATGAAAGTAATACTTAATAACCTTAAAAAGTGTAATATAATAACTAAAATATATTATTAAAAGGAGCCCCTTTAGGCAAGGTTCCGAAGATACTGGCGGTACTGAAATACTGGCGTAATCAATTTAACATATTTTCTGTTGACGTTCATAAGTGTACTTGGTTACATATTTTAAGTTTAGGTATGCGTTCGACAGGTTCTAAATTTGTTTTTAGATGTGCTTCCATATCGTGACACATTTAAAACTATAATTTACGTGTAAATAAAATTGTTCTACTTGTTACTTAGATTTTCTAATTAGATAAAAATAATCCTTATCGTTGTGATTTTTTATCAAAGATAACACAAATCGGTCATGCTGGGGCTGATATTTCTAGTTAGATGATGTCCCGCAACCATAACACACTTATGTTCTGCTCCCGGATTCTGTAAAATCCAGAAATTAATATCGTCACACATAGGACCCCTACATAGTAGCCCATTAGGCACGCGATCAGACCGAATAGTTGTCGAGAAGCTAGGCAGCAGAGAACTGTCAAACCTTCCCTTCCCTAAAAAGGGACTTTATTTTCTTAAACTAAGGTCTGATGGGAAATAAATATCTAGTAATGTTTCGAATCGAAAGACAACACAATTGAAAGGATCATCTGGGAAAAGAAGAGTGAGCAGGCTAAAATAAAAGGTGGCCTGATGACTTGATAGAAATAGCAGGAAAGGGGTGGCACACTATTGGTATAGATAGACACCTGAAAATGGTTAGAGAAAACCGTCACCCAAGAGGGTTCCATATCCAAAGGCGACTAGCATATTACTACTAACATTTATCTAAAAGTAAATACTACATTTGAAATGGAAATAGAGGATATGAAAATTGAAAAGGAATTTTTATTAATGTTTCGAATTCACTCTCAAACTCAACTCACTTCACGCAGCGAGTAATCAATTATTGACCAATCGCAGTTAATTTTTTTTTTTTTTAAAGACAATTCACACCAATTGACCTAGTCCCATGCTAAGCTGGTGAAGCTTGTGTTATGGGTACTAGGCAACGGATATACATACATATTATGGATAGATAGACATATAAATACATATTTAAACACCCAAGACCTAAGCACAACACCAAATGCTCATCACATCGATGTTCGTCTCAGCCGGGGATCGAACCCGGGACCCATGGTTTCGCAGTCAGGGGTACTAACAACTAGACCAATGAGTCGTCGTAATTAGGACCGAGTTGGTGTCAAAACTCCTGTAATGTTCGAGCAAATGTTAAATGTGCACATAGAAAGAAAGTCGATTGGTGCACAGCCGGGGATCGAACCTACGACCTCAGGTATGAGAGTAGCACGTTGAAGCCACTAGGCCAACACTGCTTAAAAAACTTTAGATTACTATTCTAATTTAATTACTATTCTATTCTAAAGAAAGCTAGTCATTGTACACTAAAATGTATCGTATATGCCGAGATAATTGATAAGATTCCGCATTGGTTTCGCATTGATTTGAATTACACAGCGATTTATGCGATAACAAAAAAGGATAATGTACAACATAATTTAATTTTTTACATTTATATTGAATAAGGTTTCTCGTGATTTATAATTTTTTTGGTAAATTTGTCGAATCATGGCTCTACCTAAAAACAGCTCCAAATTTTTTAATACATATTTTCATCACTTGGTGATGGTGTACCATGGAATAATTTGGTGGCGCCTGCTCTTTAACCCCATAGAAATTAATTAATACATCATGATTGGTGAAATTAATGAAAATAGGTACAAATTTTTGGCTTTTAGATAACGTAACCATTTTTCTATCGTTCTTTACGACTTGTCTGAAGTACCCCAAGTAATATTAAGGACATAACTTATTATATTACATGCATGATGTAAATGATATTGTCTCAGTTCCCAGTGGGGGTCCCAGTGAATTACATAAGGTTAGGTTTACCGACTGGGAATCGAACCCGATACCCCTCACCTAATTAGTTAACTATTCGTAAATATATTTATAAAAATGTGATGCGCCTTTAATAAAAGAAATATACATTTACACGAATAAACGGGTTGCTTATTACTAAGGAAAATTACTTACGAATAAAAAAACAATGTTCTACGTATATTTTTATAGATTGTGAATAACGTGTTATTTCGACTATTATATTGCTTTGAAACGGTGTTTAGAAAATGAATCAAAAATGGTTTAATTATACATGGCTTATCAGCTTCGCTATTTCCTACCTGTACGCTAAATAATAAACAGTTGTAGGTATTTTGTGCTTCTCTTTCTCTCTTTAATCAAACATTATTGCATATAAGGTAAGGACCTTATATAGTAATATGTATTTTATACGTAAGGTTAGTGCAGTGATAGAATCTAAAAACGTGATGTACTAACTCTCATGTATCGTATACCTTCATATAATAATACTAATTACCAGCAAATAGATATATTTAATGTAACTAAAAAATGTCTTTGTTATAAATTATTTAGAATGGTTTTTGTTAGAACATAAGGTTTTAGTAGTCATTTTTCGTGTATGTAATCCGTTTTGGCTTAATTTTAAATTAAAAAATTGTAAATATTATCTTTAAAAAAAAGTGGATTGTCAATAAACTGTTGAATAAAAATAATACAATAATAATTACATTTTCCTTAATTAAACGCGAGTACTATACTCCTAACTACAACACTAAATATTCTTTATGAGATTTAAACATAAAATCTGCTGCAATTAGCTGCTTACAATTTAAAAAAAAGTGCTTGTGTACAAAGAAAAATGTCAGAAGTAAAACTTCTTTGACAAACGAATTTATAAGTCTTTTCATATTTATACAAAGCTAAAACATTAGATTTCCGAGATTTAGAGGGAGTGAAAAAGGAAGATATGTTAGGAATGTAATGAATTTAATTGTCATTAAAATATTAAGTGACGAAAATTAATACAAATAATAAATTTATTTTTTTATAATTTATTTCTTCGATAATAAAAACACGTGGCATTTTAATTTACGAATTGTAAATTATTAGTCATTTAAGATTTCAATAAATTATTTTGCATAAAATATAAAATACTAATATTTCATAAATTCTCTTTACTGTATTCGCCCTTCTCACTCTCTCTCAATCGGTCTCAATCGCTCTCTCCCTTTTCTTCGACAAAAACGCAGCACATCTTCGTGACGTTTCATCCGTAAAAATTTTACCCTCACGTGCCTAAAGAAATTTCACTTCAAAAAAAGCGATGGAAAATTATTTATTAATCTTAAGATTTATTAAATGTAATGAAACAGTTTTAGTTTAATTAAACTTAATTCCAAAAGATACAATGTCAAATCCCATTGCTATTGCTCACAATGCCCCAACTTTCATACATTAAAGTTCTCTATTGTAATCTGTGGTCTCTATTTTTGCTTTTAAAAATGGCGTCCTATTCACTGTGCTCCCATTTCGAGTGAATCTATTGAAACGGCTGAAATATTAATATGAATTCGTATAATCGGTGTGTTATTAAGCGAATATAAATCTTATTTCATTGTTGTAGCCGACTAAATTGCTTTTACGCGTTATTAAACTCCTGATTGCTCGTAATTAGAGGCGCAAGGTCAATTCTGGCATTGGCGTTTTGGTAGTAAATGAAAAGTTATAGATACAGTTAAAAATCAAGAATTGACCTAATTTGTAATTATACAGAATTTAATTTATAGAATCTTTAAAAATTACCTAATCTGTACGACGTTTTATAGGTTTTGAGTTGGTTGAAGTTGTGGAAATATAAGTTTTATTCCTCATAATATGCAAAATTTTTAGGATTAAAAAAGGTATTTTTTAGGGTCATCATCATAGTCATACAACGTTTATTAATGTTAGGAAATGCATTAGTAATATTGGTCCCATACTGGGTACACAATAATATTCTTGGACTATTTGTTTATATGCAAGTAGATCATCTTTGTGTCTTGAAACACGTTTTAAATTTTTATGCCGTCACCGTCGATCTGATAGAGAAATTGGTATGGTAATGGTATAAAGCCAAGCCAAGCCGTTGACACTTGCGGGAGCTCAGAACAAAATAGTAAATAGAGACACAAGAAAGATTAATTACTTTAAATTGTCATCCATTATGGTGGCGTCTTTATTGCTTTGTGTTATGATGTATTTAATAATACAATATCTAAGTAATTAATACCTTGCTGTGATTGTCATCAATTACTATTTAATTAAAATTCTTATTAAACAGAACGTAAATGTAACAATTTTCGTTAATATGTCTCATATCCATAGGCTGGCCGAAACAAAAAACTTCAAAGACAAAGTATGAAGCCCCCGTACCACTAACAAACATTTGCTTTCAGGCTCCGCCGTCGTAAGCATTTGTATGAAGCAATTCGATGATGCGGTGTCCATAACAGTGGCAATCATGATCGTGGTAACGGTGGCCTTCGTCCAGGAGTATCGATCTGAGAAATCCCTTGAAGAATTGAATAAGCTGGTCCCGCCCAGTTGCAATTGGTAAGATTTTTATAAGTTATCTCGTACAGTACAGTAAGCATTTATTTTTATGTTATCCTGGTGGTGACTCTTGGCCTAATAAATTGAAAAAAAAATCAACGGGAGCACTCCGGGAGTGCCGGCAGAAGTGAAAACTTCAATATTAACGTTGTGTTTAATTATAAGTATAAAAGTACTATCATTTATGAGGTAGAATACAATGTTTATTTATTGCGCTATCGTACACAAATATGACAATTTATATGTTGTTATTTATAATATTATATCGTAATTTATATATTACATTAAATTTTATCTCTCAGAAAAATCAACTTCCATCCATAATTTCGACGACTTTTACACCATCGTTATGATCAGAATCATCATCGCAAATTTTTACAACTGATACAATTGGTTTATGATAACTGAAGTAAGAAACAAACAGTTTTGATTTGAACCTATTTTAAGTGTCTAATAAAGACCGTACTCATTTGCTTTCACTACTTCATCATCACTTATTTCATTAATAGATTCACTTTGTTCGATTTCCATAATTTAAACAATTCACATTTACGAATACACAACAGTGTATTTACTACACAACAGTCAAGCAATCAGCTGTCACCATCCTTGGATACGCGTGGGACGCTGTACATAAACACACACGGTCATTCGCGCAAGCGCCCTGTGCCACCTAAACAGAGCAGCACACTCAGGCACGGTAGAAAGAGTGGAAGATACTAGTTCCTCTCCCTTCCCCTCGATCTTACGCTTTTTCGATCAGCATCACGTGACCCTGACGCAAGTTTGAAAGTTTTTACCCATACAAAAAGTGCTCAGCGCTGCTAAAGAAGTTTTCACTTCAAAAAATCTATTTAAACGCGCAATCTTTCCTGGTCTATTCGGTGAATTAAAATGCTTTGAGAAAGTCGACACGTTTAACGGTAAAATCCATGTCGATATAGAAGACTAGCGCGAACTATGACTTTCGTGCGTCAAAATTTAAAAAGATTTTGATATATAGCGCTCAGTCTCGACTAGGAATCTTACCCTAAGGACCGTATATTAAGTAGAGTAATTTAAAATTGTAATAATATATATGGAAGAGCTGGGAACAGGTATTTTGTACTTAAAAGGGTTCCCAAAATTTACACATTGTAATGCATATGTACTTTTGAATAAACTTTTTTTTATTTTATACATTACTACGGGGCTTTAAGTATAATGGCACAACAACCCTGTTTATTTATTTACTTTATGGGTGTAATAGTGTTATTTTTAACGTATTTATTGGTAAATGTATAAATGTTTAATATCTTTGGTCGCGATAACTAGATATTGTTATTTAAGTGTTTTTGTGTGGGGCATTCATTTCTGCATAATATGTTTGTTATTCAGTTTTTATGCAATAATATTAATCTACTACGTTTAAAATATGAAACGTATCTTGTATAACAATCGAATTTGAGCCATTAAACACTTAGCGTGGAAAATGAGTATAGGGTGGAAATTTTATACTCGCTTCAATCTGTAACTGAATAGAATTCGATTATTAAATATATCCATAGATGTTAAATATGAAATCTTAAACCTTTAACACGTATTAAAAAATCAATACAATGAGAACACTTAAATAATTAGGAAGTTTGCACCTGCGCCCTTATTCTGTAACTTCCAACACCGATCCGATCTCAATAATGCATTTTTGTATTGTACAACGACATCAGGGTCACGGATATTGATAGAACTATCTAATTTGCATACAAAAATCCGCAGTAATCGATATCGCTATATATCGGAAGCTGAATGAGCGGTTAAATCTGATGAAAACCATGTAAAATCCTAATTCAACTTTTTCAGCCTCCGCGAAGGTAGCCTCGAACATTTCCTGGCAAGAAACCTAGTACCAGGCGACATAGTGCATCTAAATGTTGGCGATCGGGTACCAGCTGATCTACGACTGTTTGAATCGTCTGATTTGGCCATTGATGAATCGTCATTCACTGGTGAAACAGAGCCAGCAGTGAAAAGTGTTCTGCCGAATAAAGCATCCGCTGGAAGAGTGAACAAAGACAATATTGCGTTTATGGGGACACTGGTTAGGTGTGGGAATGCTAAGGTAAGTTGATTGGATTGATAGGGTTTTAGAGGCAAATTACTAAATTAGATTTTTTTTTAATACGCACCTTATTGTTTCTTACAAGCGATTGGCAAAAATGTACCAATACTAATTACAGAGACAATAGGGAAATAATATTTTAACTTCGAACACTATTACTAGATGGCGCCACGTAGACCATTTTTATAAATAATAAGAAATATGGTTATTACTATACCTTTCAGTCCTATTTTGAAATAAAACCCCGTGGAGGAACAGAAGTACATTTATAAAATATCATCTTTTTGTATGTTTTAAAATCGAAAACGAAAACAAGATTCGTATAGAATCATATCCAAATAATATTAGGTCCTTACATATGTAATTGATGTTTTTTCGTACTGGCCACTTGACCTCAAATATCTCCTCTTTGGTTAGGAATTCTGGTAAAAATTCAACTCTGATGGGGCAGTCGAAGCGCCTTCAAAGAATATATTGATTCCAGTCCGAATGGTTTTTGGTAAAGGAATCAATCAACTACTTAGTGACAGAATAATACTTTAGAATGTTGATTAAGGGACCGTTCAAGTATTACGTCACGCAATTTTTGGAGGTTATTGACAACCAGTGTAAGTGATCACCCAGTGACTCTTTATACCTAAAAGTTACCATTATGTGGCGTAAAGTACTGGAAAGTCGAAAACAATATTAACAATAACGCATAATTCAATCCCCGCCCAGCGTCGTAACGTTTTACGATGGACAAAAAAATTCGTTACGTAATACTTGAACGTTCCCTAACAGATTTTTATGAACTGGGTGATTTCAGGGCATAGTAGTAAGCACTGGCGAGCGATCGGAATTTGGTGACATATTCCGTATGATGCAAGCCGAGGAAGCTCCAAAAACACCTCTTCAGCGATCCATGGATACCCTTGGAGCACAATTATCGCTGTACAGCTTCTGCATCATTGGCTTCATCATGGTGGCTGGATGGCTTCAGGGCAAGGCTTTGCAGGAGATGTTCACTATTGGAGTCAGTTTGGCCGTGGCTGCCATACCAGAAGGTAGTACATTATTTTTAAATACAGCACTAGATTGAAAGTTCAGTCGAAACTTCGCTTAGTATGACTTTCGTAAGTATGTCGTATTGAAATTAACAAGATCAAGACAAAAAGTTGCAGGATTCTAACGACGTTTCGGCTCGTTTTATTCAAGACATATTAGACATATACAATACCATAGACAATTTTTTTTGTTTAAGCTAATGTATAAGCTGTAATATACATGCAAACTGAGAGCAGTGTTGGCCTAGTAGTTTCAGCGTGCGACTCTCATCTCTGAGGTCGTAGGTTCGACTTTCTTTCTATGTGCGCATTTAACATTCGCTCGAACGGTGAAGGAAAACATCGTGAGGAAACTGATAGGTCTTAGACCCAAAAAGTCGACGGTGTGTGTCAGGCACCCACTTGCCTATTAGATTTAAAAAGAAAAGATCATGAAACATTCATACATCTGAGGTCCAGACCTAAAGAGGTTGTAGCGCCACTAATTTATTTTATTTTTTATACGTGCAAACTAGCGTAGGTTTAAAAGTCGCTAAAGTAATAATATTTGTCTGACTGACAATTATATTTAAAAGCATTATTAGGTTCCTTTGTAATTAATTACATAGACAATATCTATGAAGTGTTTAGTTTTTATGGTCTATATATTTTTATATTCTATAGTCTATACTTTTATTTTCAATATACGTGTCATTTTAGGTCTGCCCATAGTGGTAACAGTGACACTAGCACTAGGAGTGATGCGTATGGCCAAACGGAACGCGATTGTCAAAAAACTACCCACAGTTGAGACTCTTGGATGTGTCAATGTCATTTGCAGTGACAAGACAGGTAATGTTGTCAAAATTGATGTGATCGTCACTTGTTTTTCGTTCCATTTACAAACGTTTATCGGGTTTAATTTCTTCTGATTAATTTTTTTTATATTCTCAAAGAAATCTATTTTTTACTAGCTGACCCGGCAAACGTTTGTTTTGCCATGTATATTATTTCTAGGAAACATTTTTTTAGTTCAATAAAAATAACTATCTACTATAATAAAAAAATAGGAGTTGATCGTGGAGGGGTGAAAATTAGGCGTTGTATGTATTTTTGTATGCTGTATCATACAAATTAAAAACAAAAAAATTGTTTGGGGTGGACACCCCTTATCACAGCGGGGTTTGAAAAATAGATAGTAGCCGATTCTCAGACTTACTGAATATGAATAAAAAAATTCATAAGAATCGGTCGAGCCGTTTCGGAGGAGTATGGGAACGAACATTGTGACACGAGAATTTTCTATAATATTAGATTATTCTTACACTTGACTCTATGATTTGACAGTTATGTTATTTTTTGTATTTAATTTAAATTATGTAGTAATAATAAATTATATTTGTTATTTTTTTTATTCTAGGTACCCTTACAAAGAATGAAATGACAGTGACAACACTTTCAACGTCCGGAGGACATATAGCTGAAGTGTCAGGTTCCGGATACAACTCCAAAGGGGACATTCAGCTAAGAGCTTATAAAGGACGAGACTTGGATATTGCCAGGATGGGAGTCAATAGTATGCTTGAGGTATGAACAAAAATATATTTCCACTTGTGTGTGTGTTAAGCTGTGAAATAGTGTGAGTGCACGTTAGTCCTAAGTACTACAGTCTTCCCCTTAATAGAGACTGTTAGTAGTGTTATTGGACACTTATGTAAATGTTTCTGTGTAAAAAAATATGTTTTTTTTTTAAACTGATAACCGCCCTTGGACACCTGCAACGCCGGGGGCTATCGGGTGCGTTGCCAACCTATCAGAAAAAAAGATTCTATAACCATAATTTTAATATTTAATGAAAAGAAGCTGCGGTCTTTATATTATGTTTGCGCTGTATTTTCCTTTAATATTAAAAAAGTACTGGTGATGTAGAAAAATATATATTTCAGGTTGGTATATTATGCAACAACGCACACATAAGGGATGAAATATTGTTCGGACAACCCACAGAGGGCGCTATACTTGCGTGTGCGCTTAAAAACAATATGGAGGATATACGTGAAACTTACACACGCCTGAACGAGATACCGTATAGGTAAAGAACAATTATTTAAATATTTTTTACGTTAAAGGTCTAAAAGTTCGATTTAGAATTAATTAATTAATATTTTCCTGTGTACTAAGAAATCACCAAAATACTGATGTCGGTATTTTACAAGATTTTGTATTGGTTTTAAATTTTATTTTACACGCTTTTTATTAGCTTCACCTGTATGTATGTATGTATGTAACCGACTCCTTCGGACTCGATTTTGACCCACTTTTATCGGACAGATTTAATTCAAACTTTGCGCACCTGTCAAAGATCGATGACAATGCAATAATCCGAAAAAAATAATGAAAAAAATAAAAAAATTAACTAAAAATAAATAATAGTTTAAAAAAACTAGATAGACGAAAAATATGGCACAGAGCGCCCCACGCTTTTTCACAATAATACCAGTATTTTTTGTTTATTACCATTTTCAGCCTAAGTTAGGAATTATTTTTCACTTTTTAGTTTGATGTGCTTTAAAAGCGTTTTTTAGTTTTTTTTAACTATTATTTATTTATATTTACCTATGTAAAAACAGACTTTATGAGACAAAAAATACATCGGCATTTATTACAATAATAATATAATACTTAACAAAATTAACTACTACACATAAAAAAATCAAACTAGGCGTGGTGTGATAATTGGTAGATGTTTGGGTTCGTATGTTTATTTTAAAACTGTTGGGGACTGTAGGAATCTGTTATTAACGCCAGTGCTAAGTGATGTGGTACAAAAGATTATTTTATGTTTTTACTAGTCAATAATACATTCAAAGAAGAAACAAAAAAAAATTTGGTTTATAAGTTAGACTTTTTTATAAATATGTAGTTAAAATTTATAAACAAAAACAATTTTTAGTAGGTCTTTAATAAAAATTATTGTACGGTTCTTGGGTCGAAGTTCGAGGGGCAGCTAGTGCTAAATAATTATGCTATTAATGCTATACAATTGCTATGCTTTGCTTAAAATAGGCATTCTCCATACCACGTGTATAAAACTAAGAAAGCCCGAGTGAGCAAAATGGATTTAGCTCGTACATTTATATAATAAAACAAATATCATAATTAAATGTATAAATTAGATGATTAAAAATATTTCAGCTCTGAAACAAAGATGATGGTGGTTAAATGTGCTCCCAAATTTAACGACGGGCAACACAAAGAAGAGGTATTCGTTAAGGGGGCAATTGAGAATGTGTTGCCACTTTGCACACATTACATAGACAGTGCTGGCAACTATGCAGTTATGAGTAAAGAGAAACAGACCGACTTTATGAATGAGGCTTACAATATCGCTAGGATGGGTAAGTAGTAAAACATTTACTGAGTAACACTTGTTATTTTATATAAGATACTGGCAGACCGCCCAAGCGTTGCTGTGGCTAAGGTTTTCGTTATATTACATAGTAGTAAACTATTCAAGGGAAACGGTAGGAGAACACCAGTCATGGGGACCACCATGCTTTTTTGGTGGTTATGCCATTAAATTGTAGCTTATGTGAAACGTTGGTACTTTCAACACAGCGCCATCTGTTAGAACTGTGACTATCAAATATTTGCAATAAAATAATATTGCGGGTATAAATTGAGATGTAAGCTATCCTATCTTTTAAGTTAGATCAAACTACACACGGTGTGCAAATTTGGTTGAAATAGGTTAAGTAGTTTAGGAGTCCATAGCGGATAAACAACGTGACACGTAATTTATATATATTAAGATATGAATTTTGATTTAAACAAAAAAGACAAAAATCATTTATTGATATAGGTAACACAATGTACACTTATGAACGTCAAAAAGAAATATACATTAAATTTTTCTAATTATACATTTACTGCCAGTTCTCAAATCAAGGACGTAGAACGTAAGAGAAGAACTGGCAATAAACTCCGCCATCTCATATCAAAGTCAAATCAAGATGATTTTAAGGATATTTTAACCTGGACTGTGCAGTTCATCAAAATAGATTAAGATCAGAGTCTCACCTCGTAATCTCACCCTGAGTTAATAATATTGTCAGATATTTGAATGTTTAGGATTTTTTAATATCTGTATTTCTGTGTTTTGAGCTGTGTTGGCCTAGTGGCTTCAGCGTGCGACTCTCATACCCGAGCTCGTAGGTTCAAACCACGGCACCAATGGACTTTCTTTCTATGTGCGCATTTAACATTCGCTCGAACGGTGAAGGAAAACTTCGTGAGAAAACCGACATGTCTTAGACCAAAAAAATCGACGGCGTGTGGCACTGGAGGCTGATCGCCTACTTGCCGATTAGATTTAAAAATGATCATGAAACAAATTCAGAAATCTGAGGCCAAGACCTAAAGAGATTGTGTTTCTTTTATTTGCAACGAAGTGTAAATAAATAAAAAATAAATAAATTGTAGCGCCACTGATTTTTTTATTTGTGTGTTATGTACTAAGGGGACATTCAATTTACCAATCCTCATTACTACCGTGACATTGTTAAATCTGACATTAATATATAATATAACAACAAAAAATGTGATTAGGTAAAACACACACATATGTATATATTATTCGTAATTACAGTTACGATTTAAAAATGTCTAACTTCATTGGGCTGGAGATAATTATTTTTATTATATGTAGTTAGTATATATATATTTAGTATTGACTCAATACTTAGCCTTGACCAAATTGAATCGAGCTACAATCTTCTAGATCTTGGCCGGAAATTTCTGTATCTGTTTCGTGATAATCTTTTCTTAATAGGCAAGTAGGTAATCAGCCTTCTGTGCCTGACACACGGCGTTGTTTTAGTCTAAAGCATTCTGGTTTGCTCACGATGTTCTTCTTCAGCATACATGTTGCATGTACGTACATGTCGCACGTATACGGGAAATGATACCATCGCACGTTCAAGCCTTTAACACTACTAGTCAATTTAGATGATATAAATATAAAATTTTCCAGGTCTACGTATAATCGCGTTATGTCGCGGTAGCAGTCTTGAATCGTTAACGTATACGGGCGTGTGTGGAGTCTGCGATCCGCCCCGCGAGTCCGCTCGTACGGCCATCGCTGCCTTACGAAGATCTCAAGTGCAGGTCAAGATGGTCACTGGGGACGCCAGGCCTACTGCCCTTGCTGTTGGTAAGGATTTTGATTGTAGCATATACATGTTATTTATTTTTATCGACATCTTTTTATCGTTACTTGCACATAACTACAAGACAACTAATTTTGCATGTTTCGCGCGTATGTGTACGTGCACGCAGGTAACCAGGGAGTTGTACGTAGTGAGTGCGCTTTTGGTGCCTTGTTATTGGATGCACATATGTATATATATTCTTACTTCTTTATATTATTTTTGTAATCGTAACAAAACATTAAATAAATTTAAAATGGTGGTTAATTTATCTACTTCATATGTTTAACATTGACGGAACTGGATTTAAGAAACAGTATTGTAGAAAATAGATACGGAACAGTTTCAAAGATAACCAAAGAATAATAATTTTAAGAACGAATTGATCGTGCGGATGTATTTTAAAATAGCGATATGGTTAATTAGCTTATAATCAGTAATTTAATTTCGACTTTAATGTAATGGTAAACTCTTCTACTTGGTTTGACCGGTCAATCGGATCAACAAACAAATTCCTAAACAAGATTCATGGAACATTGTAAAGACGTAAAAAATAGTTTTAAAAATAATAATCATTAATATTGGCAAATCAAAAATCCAGTTATGATTTGTAAGTCATACAGCTCATAGTAACGCCATTACTCCGACATATATTAAGCAAATAAAGCTTAGAAAAATATATTTCTTACCGTAGAGTTGAGGTTAGAAAGTTTTGAAGACTTTGATTTCTTATGTGTTTTGCTAACTAGCGAGCTATGGTTCCAATTGGAGGTCTTCCCTGGGAAATTCGATGTTCAATATACAAAAAAAGCTGGCATCGCACCCACTAACATAGCCTTTTATGGCTGTTCCGTAGGCTTGTTTGCCTATATATACATTTAATAAAACACTATTTGACCGGATTGAAGTTATGTATTATTATAAATTTACAACTATTTAACATAATTTTAAATTTATCCGACGTTTCGCGTGCTTTACAGCGTGCGTGGTCACGGTGACCACGCACGCTGTTATATATACATTATGTAATGTATATATGGTATATATACATTACAAAATGTGATCACTGGTCTATATCCTCAGTACAGTTCACTTACACTGTAATTGTTTAGTTATAATCGAAGCCTTGCGTGATAACGATAAATATCAGGAGATAGTTTAAATAAATCTTATTAAGTTACATGTAATTTTTAGGTCAAATGGTGGGCTTGGATGTCCTCCACTCGCAGTCGCTGTCCGGAGAACAGCTAGATTCAATGTCTGATGATGAACTGGACGCAATCATAGATACCGTAAGTTTATTGTTTAGATTTTTATAGATTTATAAAATCTAGCGATTAGGTAATTACAAATAAGTAATAATTGTAATTTAATTTCAATTAAATGTTGCTTGATTGAAAATATTTGATTCAACATTTTTAATTTTAATGTCTTTATTTTTGGGGCGGAATTATTTAGTTTATGTTGTTCACGTCGACTTATTTTAATGAAGATATTACATACTATACATATTTTAAGTTATTTTGGTATCAAAACTTTGGAAATTGAGGTTTTTTTGTTAAACATTTACAGGTGAGCGTGTTTTACCGAGTGACGCCAAAGCACAAGTTATGTATCGTGAAATCACTTCAACGGCTTGGGAATATAGTTGGAATGACGGGTAAGTGTTCTAACATATGATCCTGTAATATTGGAGCATGGGGCATATTCTAGGTATTCATTATGATCTAAATATCATTAAATCACAAAAGCATATCCAGTAAAACAATAGTTTACATTATTTTTAGATTAATATGACTTTAAATTAAATTGTAAATATTATTACAATAGATATATATATACCCGTCGAAGAAACTAGGAACCATAATTTTGGGGATGAGATTTAACATCTCATTCAACGCGTGACCATGCTTCATTCTTGACGTGTTGGCCACTCATTTTATAAATTCCATTAAATAATGAATCTTTGAACTGTAAATTTATGGTCTTTTAAAATTTCTGTAGATTCTGACATGAATAAGGTTAAATAAAAAACTTTTGATTCGTGCTCCTCTTTTATATAATAATATTAATTATATGTTGTTTTTTTATATGTCTATGTATTGATTTGTATGTGATGTAAATGCAATAGTTATGGCACTGGAGTACTCTGTAAATTTATTTTGTTAAATAAATAAAATATACAGGCGATGGAGTAAATGACGGCGTGGCGTTGAAACGTGCGGATATCGGGATAGCAATGGGACGAAACGGAACGGACGTGTGCAAGGAAGCCGCTGACATGATACTTGTTGATGACGATTTTGCTACTATTATGTAAGATTTTTAAGGTTTATTTATTTTAAACAATATATATATTCATAAAATATTAAATTTGAAAGTCAGTTTTGTCGGGAGCGGGATACATATGATAACTGCAATGTCGCTGAAACAATTACGGATTTATTCTCGTTTTTAAAGAAATATACTTAATTAAATAAATTATAAAAACTAAATATACATGAAAACTCAGTGAAGTAATGCATAATTAATCAATTACCTGAAATAATTAAAGAATCAACATTAAGAGTTTGTTATTTTAGCTTCGAAACAATTATTTTAATCTCCCAATTAACATCTGAAAATATTCTATCAAAAAAAATGTTTAATATTTAAGTGACTAGCTAAGATTCGCGTCATTTTCCACAGAGTAACATTACATTAAATGAAACGTCACTTTTGACTCGTGACAACAATTGGACTGGAAGACGTTTGTTATTTTATTCTCCTTATATAGTGTTAATTTTTTTTATATTTAGTAACAATTTTAGGGCTTTTATCTTTTTTTTATGATTCCAATTCACTTTGTATATATATATATATTTTAATCCATAGATCCGCAATCGAAGAAGGAAAGTGCATATTCTACAATATACGGAACTTCGTGCGTTTCCAACTGTCAACGTCAATCGCTGCGTTGTCGCTTATCGCTCTCGCTACTCTCATGGGCATACCTAATCCGCTAAACGCCATGCAAATATTGTGGATTAATATTATTATGGACGGTAAGAAAATTTCATTTCAAGTATATAATGAACATTTGAAAAAAAAATTGTAAATATGACGAATTCTGTACCCAGGTCCCCCAGCTCAGTCGCTGGGAGTAGAACCTGTAGACCACGAGGTCTTAAAACGCAAACCACGCGATACATCACGACGGATCCTCTCCCGCGCAGTACTTGGCTCAGTACTGCTGTCAGCTGCTATTATCATAGCTGGGACTTTGTGGGTGTTTAATAGGGAGGTGAGTTTATTTATTTATTTACACTTCAATGCCATAATATACAAAATCATACATATAAAAAAAAGGCTTACATTAGATATTACGCAACGGGCGGCCTTATCGCTTAAACAAGCGATTTCTTCCAGGCAACCCTAAAATGTATCAATAGAAAAAAAAGAAACACCTACAGAGGGTAAAGTACAAGAGATGCATAATTAATTAACAAAAAGATACTAAAAATAACATGCAACGATAACTAAAATTAAATAAAATAAAATCTAATGAAAAGGTATAAATAAAAGTATGAATAAACAGACATGTAAGAGGGAGTTATTGGATGGGTGCCTCTTTTTATTATGTATATTTGCCGGTTGTGTGACGATTTTGTCGATTTTTAACATGTACGTTTAAATTCGTGTTATTGTTTAGGATATTATATTAATAAATAATAGTTAGGTCTAGTATTTAAGATGACATTTATTTTTTAAATTTGCACAGAATAAAGCAAATTTATAGAAAGACCTTTTTATCATTAATTAATCTGCTATTCAACTACTTAGTCTATAATAACATCAGGGATAAAACATTGTTTACTAACATTTATTGTTGATTCTAAATAATTCACTACCCGATTTCAAATTCGGAATTTTGTTTTTAATTTAATAGTATGGCAACATTGAAAAAAACATTGTTGCATTTTCCCTAAATAGAAGTATGACAATTATTTTATTTATAATTATAGTATACTTGTATGTACTAAGTTTTTGTGAGAAAAAAAATGAATAAAGATTATAAAGATTGCAAAAAACATAATACTATTACTAAGTTTGATTTAAAAAATTTCGATTATTCTTAATGATATTAAGAAAACTTATAAAATTATCTTATTTTGCAAGTAACCAGTTATAGATTATAATACAGCGATTATAACTTTTATTTATCATTAATAGGAAAGTAATCATGAATTAAAAAAAATATTGGAAATCACTAGTTAAGTTCGGTAGCGGTTGTTGTAGATATGATCAAATATATGTTAAATCAAACACTTTGTTTGAAGCTGGGTCAACTGGCTTGAATTTTTTAAAACATGAGCTTATAATATCATAAAATTAGAGGTAGGGGTTAATTTAACATGTTTTCTGCTGTCGTTCTCAATAAATAATAAAGATATTTGAACCACTTCAAATTTTTATAGTAACTACAAATTTAGACAGATTGAAAAGAGCAGAACATTTTTCATTACTTATTCTGTGACGAATTCGGGGAATCCCCTTTCTTTGAATGATAATTTGTAACAACTTCACCGTCTATTCAAACCGGTTATAACAATGTATATATTTCTACCACAGTAATAAACTTGATTGCAATACTTTTTTATATAAAATCATAGTGTATAAGGGAGATTTTGGAGATTATTGACCCCCCCCCCCATGTAACGCGCCGTAACGTTTTTCTGTATCCAATAGTAAAAAGTTTCATGACCACCCAGTGACTCTTTAATTCTTTCTACCTAAAAGTTACCATTATGTGGTGTAAAGTACTGGAAAGTCGAAAATAATATTAACAATAACGCGTAATTCAATCCCCGCCCCGCATCGTAACGTTTTACAAAAGGAAACCCCCACCAAATTCGTTACGTAATACTTGAACGCTCCCTAATGCAATGATAAATTCATGCCGAAATGTTCTCTAGAATTTATAATATTAATTAAATTGAAATATCTAAATAAGGGTACGGCAAAATTGTGACTGACATCCACGCTTCTCCGCTGCGTATACAGTTCACTCCGTACTTTAAAATTAAGTCTGTAATCATTAAAAACATTTTTTCAGATGTCCGACAACAAGATAACCCCCCGCGATACGACGATGACATTCACATGTTTCGTCTTATTCGACATGTTCAATGCCCTGTCGTGTCGTTCGCAGACCAAGTCGATATTCGAAGTGGGATTATTCTCAAACAAGTATGTTTATATTAAAGCACCATTTGATAAATGAACATAAGTTAACGTTCTTTTTTTAACACACGGGTGGGAGGCTCACCTGATTTGCCCATGGACACTCAAATTGCCTGAAGGCTCGCAAGTGCGTTGCCGCAGTTTTTCTTACAATCGTGTGTTATTTTTATTTATTTATTTAATGCCTTATATCAGAAATACAAAAATGTACATTATAACTATTGTTTTTCTTAATCTACGATAACCGATTCTGTGTGCCTACGGGCAGAGGCCGCCCCCATTATCCTCCATTTTTCCTTATTGTATACAAATCTCGTCCAGGTTTTTCCAGCCATTTCCATGATTTCATCGGCTCATTGATCCATTTATCTGCCCCTCTTATGTATGTCCAGCCCATTTCCATTTTAGTTCTTTTGTTTTATATGCCACGTCAGCAAACCCTGTTACTTATTTTGTCAAGTCTTCTTTTCTTTATTATACTTCTTTCCATAGCTCTCTGGGTTACGCTTAATCTTTCACATTGAGCACTATATTTCTTTATAATTTTCTTCAATTATTGCCATTAGCCAATAACAAGTACAGAAGGAAATCGTGTGTATTTTTCAATTTCTGTACTTGTGTCCCCTGGGTGGGGCAGTGGGAAGTCTTGAGCTCTTGTCAAGTAGCTTAGTATTTTACCTAGGTCTAAGTCAAAATCTAAACTTGCTTACATATTCCATTCCTAAATATTTTTCCTTTATAATTCCAGAATGTTCCTGATAGCGGTGACGCTAAGTTTGATAGGACAAATGCTTGTCATCTACTTCCCGCCGTTACAGAGGGTGTTCCAGACGGAAGCCCTTACTGGACATGGTAAGGAATTTTATTGTAGGTCCATCTGACAGATGTCAGATCGTTGACAGATGAAAACCCTAAAGAACGAGAGAGTGATGAATTGGTTCAAGGACCATTTAAATTTAAGGGTTCTGCTATTTACTATAGCAAAATTAATATGCGGTTTTTAATTAAAAAAAATAAGTTTTATTAAAACGCGAACTTATCATAGTTTTGCGATATATCGTTGCTAGATCAATAGACGGCTAAATTCGTCATATCCGTTTCATTTTAGGTAAAAATAAATGATCTAGTGACAAGTAGTTTTAATCTCGTTATAGTTAAATATTTAATACATCGGTACATCGATATTATAATTATATGTAATTGCATCCTTTGTTATGTTTTGTATGCATTGGGTTGGCCTAGTAGTGGTGTTAGCGTGCGTGTGTGGTATGAGAATACCTATGGTGAAGGTAAACATTGTAAGGAAATCGACATAAAAAAGTCGACCTATTGTCTGGCAAAGAGGGCTAATCATATACTTGTCTATAGATTTTTTTTTATCAAGAAACAAAGAAATCTGCGGGCCTGGACCTAGAAAATTGTAGCGCCACAGATTTTTAATTGCATCTTATAAATATTAGGAAATACGTTATTTGCCTTTGTAATATTTTAATACCAACATTTCGCAGAAAAGCAAATTGATCGTAAATGCCCATATATCGATGTTTTGTTTCTTTAAAAATGTGCAAACATTCGCTTCGATAAAAAATATTAAAATCTTTTTTCAGATCTGATATTCCTTGTGTGCTTGACGTCAAGCGTGTTCATAGTGAGCGAAGCTAAAAAACTAATAGAGCGTACGATCAAGAGGCGATCCTTCCCAAAGTTTTCGACGAAGGCCCGCGATGCGATGGATTTTGTATGACAGGAGCCCGAGAAAATGGATTAGGCGAGTCTGACATGTGTCACGCTGACACCTGTCAGTATGAGGCGCGTGACAGTGGCTGTCAGTCTGACGCGGCCCGACATGACGTATGTCAAGCCGAAACGCGTCAGTCTGGCAGCAGTCGCGCCTTCGTTGTGTTAGATCTGCAGGACAGTAACGAAGACGCTAAGCGTCATAGAAAGTTTAAACTGTGCAAACACTTATTTAAAACTAATAATTATGACCCAGTGAATGACTCGTGTATAAGTGATACCCGTTTTAGTAAGAAAGGACAAATTGTGTCGAGGTCGTGTCAAACAGACCAGTTGGATAACGTTGTATGGATGCTTGATGAGTGTGATATCGACAGACCAATTTTTGTTAGACGAAAATCGACTAAGCGTGACAAACACAGGAACCAAGCTTCTAAAGAATTTAAGTCTGAGAAATCAGATGTGACCAGTAAAAGTGAAAGCAAAGACCCCCTCTCTCATTCAGTTGCCACTAATCTGTCATTGACATCACAGTCAGGACCAAATTCTTTGTTTGATGAAGCTATGACGTCAAATGAGAGCTGTCAGACGTCCTTCATCGATACACGTGTGACAAATGAAACATGTCACAATGTGATGTTTGAAATCCCGTTGAAACCTCTAGAGGGTCCTTCTGACAGATGTCAGATCATTGACACACCGTTGACGGGTAGGCCTAAAGACCGAGAGAGCGATAAATCGGATCAAGGACCATTTGCTATTTACGATGGCAAAATTAATATTCCAATGCGTTTTTAATGTTAAACATTATTAGATGTATAAATTTTTTTTAACATTTTCAATATTAATTGCTTAATCGGTTTTTGTTGTAAGAATGGATCAAATATTAGATTAGTGGAATATTAAAAATAAGGACTACGTTTTAATGTCTAGTTGTTAGGGAGCGTTCAAGTATTACGTCACGTAATTTTTGGAGATGTACACACACACACCCGCCCCCTTTTATCGCGCCGTAACGTTTTTCTGTACCCAAGTACAGTACTGTTCTCAAGTAAAAACTAAAACGTTTCGTAGCCACCTAGTGACTCTACACCTAAAAGTTACCATTATGTGGTGTAAAGTACTGGAAAGTCGAAAATAATATTAAAAATAATGCGTAATTCAATCCCCGCCCCGCATCGTAACGTTTTACAAAAGGACCCCCCAAAATTAGTTACGTAATACTTGAACGCTCCCTTACCTGTCTTCACTGTAATTTAACTTTCCAACTTAAATTTAGGGCCTATATAAAACGTCTTAACTCAAAATCCATTTAGTACTGTCAAATAAACTGTTTGACAGAAGCTAAAATTAGATTTGAGTTTACGATTTACAATACAGGCCTAAATTTGTTTTATCTAGTTATGAACGTTCTTTATTCAAAAAAAAAATAATCCTATAGCACCGCTTAAGAGTAACTGTCTCTTTTCATCACAGCGTAAACACGATGTAATAGAAAGAGACAACAGATTAGATACATTTAGTTAATAAGGGAGTAAAAATTTAAGTCTCCGGGCATTTTGTATCGCAGTATTGTGACTTAAGTTTAATAAGGTGACTTTTTAATTCCTACGCTTATTTTGATATTATATTTTCTAGTTAATTTATGCTTCTAATGGAAAAAAACCTTTTAAACGCCACTTTAGTGTTTATGACACATTGAATGTGTCAGCTTGGAGGTGTTAGGTTTGATTTAAAAGTTTTTTTATTTCGGGTATAATTCCATGACTATGTTTGATATCTAGATTTTTTTAAAGTATCAGATTTATTTTATTTTTGAACTTGCTCGTTATATATATCTTGTCTATGGATGAATTGGCTCTAATTTTTTTAGTGCATATAATAATGTAAAGTACAGTTTGAAGTAGTTTAATTGCCAGTGTATAAAGCTTTCATTATTGTAAATATTATTATTTTAAATCGATATTATTTATATATGTATTTTATTTATTCCATAAAACCTAGAAATATTTTTTGTTTTTTTATTCTTTTCTACCAGTTTAAGTTGCCATCTTTTTTGAAGTGATACCTTCTTATGGGAGGGTAAACCGCGTAACGTAACGCGTTACGGCGCCAGTCTGTCTAGCTTCCCTTTCTCACACGCATACGGCAGCGGTAAGCACGCTCCTCTCTCACTCTAACCCGCAGCGCTAGCCGTATATCCGACAGACGCTTTTCCCTACCTCTACTCACTGTTTAGTGTGCGTTAGACTTTTACTGTGACAATGAGCATATAACCTCAAACTATCACCGTTTTTGAAAGTGGTTATAAAAAAATATTACGAATGAAACAAAATGATCTTTTTACTTAGATTAGTATCAGTTCACACTTTTTTTTAATATTGAGAGAAAATTATGTCGTTTGTCCTATAAGGGCTTTTTATAAAAACAATAAAAGCATGTGATACCATATCGTATTAATATAATGATACTCAACTAATGGAAAGACTCTTCAATGACCAGCCGTTGCCGTGAAATGCCATAAATTCTTTATAAACGGTCCTAAACATTCGTTTGTACGAATAGGTAGGTATAGTATATTTTATTAATTGAATATAAATCTTAAATGTTGCTGCGCTCAAGTTAATCGGACGGCAGATTGCGAAGTATGGCCGACGCGAAACGACGTTCCATAACTGAGCGTTTTTAAAGGCAGTTTTTCCCGCACTGTGTAACCAGCCCACTGACGTATTTTTTAACCAATTCGACTTAGGATCCTTCAAGATAAGAGCATACAGATTCTTAAAAGGCCAGGAGCGTTTCTAGCAGTGTGAGTGTGCATGGGCGGCGATTTCTTCCAGTATAGCTATTGAGTAAACGTACTCGGTTTGCCAACGAATGCGTAAATTTTCTCTACATTAGATACAGGACAAGCGAAATTAAGTTCTGTTCTTAGTTCCCTAGTAATTTTTAATAGATAAAATTAATTTCACGGCAATGGTAAGGACCACTCTGGCTTATAAAGAAGGTTGATGTGTTTTATGCATGTATATAAATACACTATATGCAGTGTAATTAAGCGTGTAATTGATCGTAATGTGAAATACTCGACGAACGATTTAATATAATAGATTCTAATTAATTCTGTATACAGAAGTATATATCGTTATATTGAGGCTTTTTAAACATATCGTTTAATATCGATATATATCAGAGAAACGTACGATTTTATTCATAAACGCATTGTAAATTCAGAAACAAGTATGCTCGAAATCAATCTGTTATGATTGATATCAGGCCATAAAATCTTTAAAAAAACATATGACAGTTGTCAGATTCGCGTCTAAATTGTCTATGAATCTTAGCGTTTTCTTAGGATGATATAGACAAAACAATCAATAATGAGTGAGGTTTAGTGGTTATGTGTTTAAATTCTATACATAGCTTTATATATTTTTATTTAGCCTATATATGGCCTAATGTCAAGTTTCATATTTTTGTATAATACAAAAATTTGGTCATCATTTGCCCGGCATTTGACGGAACATGATGACCGCCATTTTGAATTTGTACTTAGAGAAAGGGTATTTTCCTTCATCCCACGCAAAAGTACTATTGTTGCTTATAATTTTTTGTTAATATCACATGAAATTCTAGCTTTAAATGGAAAATATATTGACAAATGCAATCATTCTTAACTTATCGAATTCATTTCATATAATATTTGAAGGAACAAGAATACTTTCGTACTGTTTGGTATGTCCATGTTTTCTGCTTTAGAAGTGAAGTGAACCAACAAGTGGTTTTAAAGGTTGTTAAGCGGTGAAACCGTGATTTAATATTTACGGAGCCATTTTGTATGTTTTATTATTTGCAAGTAACTGTGTAACTTTCTATTAGTACATATATGATATAAAATTTTAAATAATAACGCAAATTAATGAGCGTTCTTAGTTAAATTTAACTAAAAGTTTTATTGGTCAAAGTGGCTCAATCAATATTTCCATAACCTTTCTAGGTTCGGTTTAGCCGTTTTAATATGTAAAATACTTATACGAGTAGTAATATTTATAAAAATCTGTAGATGTAGTGTTTATCTCTATAGAAATAAGATATAAAATATCTTTGTCTATTGGAAATTCGATGTTCATTAATATATACGTAGTGTTTTATAAATTGGCTAAAGTGCGATCGTTTTACTCAATATCGTATTAAACCGATAATTGAATTATGATTACTTATTGTAAATGCGTGCGCCTATTCACCAGATCACAGATGGACCGATCAAGTGAAAGTGAAAACCTCAAAACTAACTTACAAGAGAAGGACTGAAACTGGTGGAAAGAGATAGTCCGCTCCAGATGTTTTCTTGCTGGCGACGGTCAGACATAAGCTACTGACCGAAGAGAGATTTACCTGCTGGTAGAGGCTAAACGTTTGTTATTTTTTTATTCAATAATAATCCATATCTTTTGGAGCGAGTACTGATTACATCTTGTAAAACAAAATACTTGGTAATTAAAAGGAGTGACGGAGAGTTGCGTGCACGTTCTCATCAGTTGATTCGGTCGGCCCTTGATTTAACATTTGGCAGTATATAAGTTTAAAGACATTTAATTTTAGCGTCGTTAGAAATGTACCTGTACACATACATAGAAGAATCGAACAATTTGCTAAATACTCCATAATGTATTATTTATAAGTCTGTTAAATTCATTAACATATTTTTATCGATTAAAATGATCGCACTGTTAGTCAATCTTTTGTCTACAACTCTTACCTATTTTCATATCTGATATCTAAGTGTTTATACATGTATTTAGAGTTATATAAAATCACTTTTCAACTTCACAAGAATTGTTAAAAGTATGCTTACGTGAACTTTAATATCACCGACACCCACTTCAGACAGAAAGCTCGCCCACTTGTCTATGAAATAAAAATGATCAAAGAAACGAAAGCAATCTGAGGCCAAGACCCATTCGGGGTTGTAGCGCCACTGAATTTTGTTTTATTCGTCTTCCGTGAAGAGGTAAAGTGTTTGGATAGTATCGTTATGACTTCTTTTTTTTCTATCATGCAAAAGCCATAAATACCGGATAGCTAAAATAATATAACTATATGCTCAGGCATTTCGTTCCTCAGCATATAGTTATATTACGGATGGTTACTTTTACGGAGACTTTGCATTAATCCTTTGTACTAAGCGTGATAGTCTTTTTACATTAAATGTAATTTTGAAATTGCATTTTTTATGATTCTATATAAATATCGTGGTACGGTAAGCCTCCGCTGAGTCGAGAGAACAGCACTCTTATCGAATTAATACTAGCTCTCTCTATACTATATCTATCTTTAATGTTGATCTAAATTTTGTAGCTAAGAACAAAATGTTATTTTGCCTCACACACAGATTTCGATTTATTAATATCTTGCAATCTGTTTGACTTATTGTTTGCGTAAGTGTACTTCACGGGATTTATTCTGTAGCCAATTAAAGATAGAATCCTACTGAAATTCTTTGTCTGTATAATAAGAAAAAATAGAGACCACGGTACACATAACAATAGTTCCTGAATTGTTTCAATATTTCGCCTTTAAAATATTTTGTTAAATACACAGCTCATTTTAACTTTTAAATAATTAATAATAAACAATTGGTATATGTTTGATAAATGGCGTTACTGTCAACCGTCATTGTCATTATATGTCAAAGATCTCATTAATTGACAACGTCAAAGTATTTATTACTATCGCGATTGAATAGACGTTTATTAAATATCTAGCAATATCGACAATAAAAAAAATACTTGTATTACGTTTTGAACTGATTTGACTTTGGTGTTTAGTTTATAAGATCGGTGACATATAATGACAATGGCAGCTGACAGTATCGCCATTGTACCGACATATCGTTAAAAAGGATGTAAAATTTACAAAAGATATCTCTAATGGTGCTAATTCTGATGTACTGGTAAGTGGCTAAGTAAGCGGAGACAATAGTGCTGAACTAAAAAAGAATATCATATATAATACAATACATTATTATATAGAATATTTATTTTTATATCTATAGAAAATGCACCTTTATTTTTAATAGAAAACTCACAAACTTAATTCCCAAATAACACATGATCACCATTAAACACACATTAAATATATTTTTTTTACCAAATAAAAAGAAAAACAAAACGAATGAAACTACCTACATTTTAATGGATAATCAAGTAAAGAAAAGTAGATACTCAAGTTTGGAATAAAAAAAAAATGGATATGCATTTAAAATGGTATGTGCATATCTTGTTATGCTCGCGTCCACAGACAAATTAAAAAATGTATTCCTAAATCCTCGAACGAGACGAAAGTCTAGTTAAAATAATGAAAAATCATATACAGCATTCTCTACGCGCTTTTCAGATATTTCTGAGAGTACATCCAAATTAGCACCATTGTCAAAACAATCAGAGCATGAAAAGGAAAACTAATTTAGCTGAATAATGGGTTTTTGTGCAGAAGATTCGCGGGTTTGTCAGCTGATACTGCGTCAATCATAAACATATTTACTATCTGGAATGTATAAGTTGTAAACACGACTTTAATTATTTGTGTTAAAGTGTATTTTGCAATGCACATTACCAGTATCCTTGTGATGCACCTTACAACACGTTTTAGCTTAAAATATTTTTATTGAAACAAGTTTTGTTCCATCAATAATTAATTAGTATTGTATTTCGACTCCGAGTAATGTATCATCACTGTTTTAATAAATAAAGAACTCTATGTTTTTTTTTATTTTACCTATTTACCTTTTATAGCAACTTCATTTTAAATTTATTTTAATTCGACATTCTGCATAATTTATACATTAGTAGAGAAAAATACAATATGCATCCTTAGACATGCTTTCCTGAATAAGACGCAGTTGTGACATATTAAATGACGTTCACTGTTTATAGTTAATACGCACGTAGAAAGTCCATTGGTGCACAGCCGGGGATCGAACCTACGACCTCAGGGATGAGAGTCGCACGCTGAAGCCACTAGGCCAACACTCCTCCATCTAATTTAGATTTATACCTAATTAAATATTTCGAACATTACAATTAAGATTAAAAATCAACAATTCAAAAGACCTTGAATAGCTAGATACAATTGCAGCTGTTAAGAGGTTATCGATGTTGATAAACTGGTTATTTTGCAAAAACACAGTGTATTTTAGCTGTGGTGCGAACTTACAAAATATTGTGTTAATAAATTATTTAAAGGCGACATTATCTAAGAGTATGTGTATACAAATATTTTCTAAACAATTTGAGTATTAGGTTAATAACAATGATTCTTCGTACCGAGTCCAAGCTTGTACTAGCTTGTATTGTATTAGTTACTGGCATTGAAGAAAGCGAGCGGTATTTAGAAGCTCCAGAAGTGACAAGCGTGTCTTTGGCAGAACCAGAAGGCCTGTATGTTCAGTGGTGGCCTGTGAGACAAAGGAACGATGATCCAGTAATTGGGTACAAGGTGTGTTATCCGGTAGAGTCCATTTCTAACGCCTTAATATATGTAAACATTGTCTAAATAAAATAAGATTCAGCTGCTTTTCGCTGGATTTTCTAAGACTTGTACATGTGTGTCCACTGGACACTGATACTGATACTGGACACTGATACTGATACTGGACACTTATACTAATACTGGACACTGATATTGATACTGGACACTGATACTGAGACTGGAGGAGTGGCAATGTGAGTGTCCATGGGCGGCGGTACCACTTAACATCAGGCGAGCGTCCTGTCCGTTTCCCTCCTGTTTCATAAAAAAATAAATTTATTTAGCGTAACTTTGCTTCTATCTGATATTATACGAATATTCATCAGAAGTTAATTGTATTTTTTTTAAATAATTATTTGTAGATAAGGCTTTGGGAAATACCAGAATCATCAACAACTGATATTCAGTTGGTTGATGCATACAAGTATCCGGGGACAGTGAAACACGAGGAATCCTCTAAGGTACATTAATAATTTACGCATTAATCGTACCGATATAGTAATTTTTAGAATGCACAAAACAAGCGAGGCGAACGCCTAATGGATTGGTCAATATTAGATAAAGTGTATAAGCCTAACCGCTGTTGTAGCCCGTAGTGGATGGGATGAATTTCGTTAACCACGATTTCGTCGTTATTTTGTGCGAATCCCGCTGTGGGGAGTTTGCGTTTCACCTCTGTATTGTTGATCGTTATTGTGGTAGACCAGATCTTTAATTAAAATCGTATTTATAACATTTATATATATATATATATATATATTACAGTTATATGGTAATGTAATAGAAGTTTTTCTACATCTCATACTCTGCATCACACAATAATACAAATACAATTTCTGAAAATTATATGTAATCAAAATAATAATAAATTAATCGTTTATTTGCAAAGAAAGTGGCACATTCAGATTAATTTCTTATAAAAATGAACCGCACAATCAGCCATATAAAAGAAGGCATGTAAATGTCATATTAATTATAATATTGTCATAATAATAATAACAGTTAAGATATTTATAATTGTTGTCAAAACTGGTCTGCCTTTAAAAATCTAACCTTGAAAGCATTGCAGCGCAGTAATCTTCAACTTCTGGGTCAGTGATTAAAATACTTTGATAGCCATGGATTCCATAACAATTTTTTAAATACACAGTGGTCAAAAAAGTCAATAGTCAAAAATCATTTATTAATGTAGGTAACACAATGTCCACTTATGAACGTCAATAAAGAAATACATATTAAATGCTTCTAATTTTACATTTACTGCCAGTTCTCAAATCAAGGGCGTAGAACGAAAGAGAGGAACTGGCAATAACCTGTGCACCCACAGCCGTGTTGGATCAATAAAAATAGGTTCATTCTGTCAGTTCAATGTAGAATTGGCAATAAACTATGTAAAAATAAATAACACAAAGTCCAGCTTTTATAACATCAAGACTGGTTACTACAAAATGTAATAGTTACAAAAAATTTCAGTCATTTTCTGTCAACAACACGGACCCAATTTCCAGAGAAGAGATCGTTGGGTCTGCGAACAAAGGTTTGATGTCGGCTACAGTAAAAATCAAGTATAATACGATTTACGAAGTTCGAGTATTGGGCTTTAAGAAGGACGTTGATGGGCCTATGTCTTTACCTACGAGGATTAAGGTGGTGAAAGGGAGTGGCTATCAGGTTGTTCTACAAAGGTCAGTAACAGGTTGTCGGATTACCGTCCCTTCGGAAGTACAACACGGCAATGACCCATATCCATACGAACACAATTTTAATTTTTAAAACTGTGATAGAAACACAACAATAAAACTTGTAAAATTTTATTCATAGACTTCAAATAGTTTTTACTTATTCAGAGGTTCAAAGGGGAAGGGGCTGGTCTGATCGAAAACCGCCGCCCATGTACACTCACATTTCCAGAAGGCTCGCAAGTGCGTTGCTGGCGTTTGTGATGTGGTTTTTCTACAGCTAAGGTGAAAATTTGAAATCGATTCTGTAGATATTGCGAGCAAGCATGGAAATTCTGTTGCAATTCTTAAAAAGCCGGTAACGCACTTGCGAGCCTGCTGTGTGAGTGTCCTGTATCGGTATCACTTAACATCAGGTGAGCCTCCTGCCCGTTTGCTCTTTAAAAAGTGCAATCTGAAGTACAAGTACCTACTGTACTATGTGGACAAATAGGAAAGTTGAATAAGAATTATTGTATAATAAATATATGTTTTAAAATAATTTATTAAAATAAAAATATATAAGCTATACAAATATTTTTATTAAAAACCGACTAGCATTAAATCGCTCGGATACGGACGTAATCAACAATTAAAGGTTGTGTCCAAGTATTCCACCATGCCTCAATATCCTGCCAAAAGTTCAAGGATGCCTTCCTCCCCGGATTTCTCCAGGGTTTCGGACGAGAACCTGATGTATAGGACCCATCTGGAAACTCGCTGATGCCACCAGCTGCGACACCGAGAGTCAAGTAAAACTGAAAAATAACCGTTGATTTGAACTAACCAAATAACCCAATCTAAAACTGACTAAGATTCATGTGTCTATTGAAAGTTCCCTCTATTTATCGCGTACTTTAAATTTTCTAAAAGTTATTTGTTAGACATAAAAATCTTATTTTGGTGCAAATTTAGGACTCAAATAAAATTTCTTCAAAGGCTTCAATGCGACTTATTTTCATCTCTCTCACTGGTGTAAAGCATTCGCTGCGATAAATATATAATATACTAGAGGCCCGTCCCGGCTTCGCACGGGTGGACATTTATTTTTTAAACATATTTTGCAGATATTGATATGTTCTTTAATGTGGAAAATTTTTTGTTCTATCATCAATTGTTTTACCAACGCATTTTATAGGCATTTTTTACACCTTGGCTAACAGTATTGTAGTGTTAGTAGGGATCTTTATTTTTTTCTTAAAAGTGATATCAATGAATCAGTGATAATATAGCATTTAAATGGTGAAAGAATTTTCAAATCGGTCCAGTACTTTTTGAGCCAATTCGTTACAAACATACTTACATACTAATCTTTCCTCTTTATAATATTAGTATAGATATATATAGTTTAATTAATTATATAAAGTAAACTGCGTACATAATCATCGAATGGTGCCATGTTAGAACCGGTCGCAAGTAAGTCCCTAGGTAATGGGCAGTCGCGTCCCAACAGTCCCTGAAAGCCATTTGCTGAAGGTTCTATGCGGGCCCATTCAATACCGTCGACTGCTAGTGTTATACGACCTAAAATTAAGGTTAAGAATACGGTTAATTCAATCAAAATTTCAGTTAAATTCCACCGGTCCCTGGTTTAAATTGATTCACACATTGTAAATAACATTTAACCTTTTTTTCAAGTTAATTTATTGAGAAAGATTTACAACTTATAACTAACTAAATATAAAGTTCTTCTTACGTCATTAAACAAATCTTGACATATAATGAAGTACTTAAAATGGATTGGTAATAATGACATAAGTTTTATCCAATTATCTTTATCTATCAAAGAAAGTAATAAACTAAAATAAGTAGAGGAACTCTTAGGGTAGTATTTAAACTTATTCACTTATTAAACCTTAAGATACACAATTTATTCCACTGAGGAACGAAGTAATTGATTTATAATTTAAAACATATTCATTATTCACATAAAAATATGATAAAACGTTTACAATTTTAATTTTACTATATGAAAGCATGGTATTCTTAGAAAATTTCATTCCTTCTCAAAAATTCTACTGTCTATATTATATGCAAAAAGACCTGAATATGTGTTAGTAGTGGATCTTATATGTCATGGTTGTATAGAAGACTGTATATCTATGACTGATACGAAAAATATTATGTACGTTTTTGCTGATTATTTTTAAAAAATTTCTTAAACGTGTTTCGTTTTTGTGCTAACTAGATAGTAATGTAATTAAAACATTGAAAGTCTGGCCTCTATCAGTAATTAATTAATTTTAGTCAATTATATACCTAAGTTATGAGAAAGAATTTTGTTTACCTGGTTCCCATCTGGCACTGTACGTGTGAAAATCATTAGACCACGGTTTGGCTGCACTCCTTTTTCGAAGAAGGTGGCCTCGACAATCAAAATCCATAATAGGGCCACCATACAACACCTATGGTAGAAATACTATACAATTTACAAGCCTTAAAATTGGATGATATAAGTATCTTATACCCATAAGCGAGATATTATTATATTGAAAACGTATTTTGGCTCAGTCTCCCGATCAAGTATTAAGGGCAACAGGTTAAATTAAAGCGTAACATTTACACCTGGTCCTAGTCTAATCGCTAGAGATACGAAATTTAAAACTATTCATAGTAAAACGGCCAGAGACGGTACACTGTAACTTACGTTACTATTACAAGTTGGAAGGAATATATAGTGTATATGTTACTGTAAAAGCTCGAACTGCAGTAAATCCTAAGATATTCCAGTAAAACCTAAGATCTACCAACTCCTAATGGTAAATGTCCCAAAAGGTTTGCGATTTGAACTCTTACCACCATTCCGTTGGTAAATCTTAGGATTTACATTAATGGCACGGTAAGGTTGAAAAACAAAAATAATTATTAAGTTAGACTAGCTTATGTAAGCATTATGTTTGTATTTCGTTGTTGAATTCCAAATAGAGAACTACTGATTCAGATATGATAGAGATTGAGATATTCAGAGATATACGTTATGTGTTTTTTCAAAATAATTTAAATAAGTTGGTATTAGTTTGTACGTATTACTATCATATGATACCTTTATAATACTATGTACCTGTTTTGTCTAATAGTTCATTAAAGTAAATAATTAAGAATTACTCATTGTTTTATTCCTAAAACCAACATCTACCAGCTGACACTGGTAAAACCTAGCATATACTGTTTTCGAATGGTAAAAGGTCTAAAAAATCGTCGTATTTTCAGAAATACTTACATTTACCAACTCATCTCGGTAAATCCTAAGACTTACACTTAAATCTTAAGATTAACCGTAGTTCGTTCTTTTACAGTAACGTATATATGCCTTCCAACTTGTAATAAACACACAAGCAACGTAATAAGCTGATGCGCGCGTATTTATCGGATTTGGAAAAATTATCCAACCTTTCAAATGGACTATCCACTACTCAGATTGGGTGAAAGTTCTTTAGGGAATTTGTATTATGTTGAGTGGTCTTCGGTTTTAAAGAACTACACTTCATATGTGAACTGAACATTATAGTGGCCAATTCGATTCGGCCATAGAGCCTCTTAATCGCCTACTTCCTAAATTGTATGCTACTTCAATATAGTTCTCGCAATATCCTGACAACGTAACATTGGGATCGTGTAAAAATCAACCAACATTGATGTTATCGTTATTAGAGTTACAGAAAACCGGGGTAATATGACTTTTCTGGTCGCTGGACTATATTTTACTGCATTCATTTTCGTTTGTTTTGGTCGAAGTGTTTCTCTATCATCCAAGCCTAATTCCTTTCTTGTTATCAAGTACAAAACCTACCTTATTACTAAGATCTTCAGCACCAAGGTTCAATTCATTGTTGCCTCTCGCTCCAGCGATTCTAATCAGTCCGGAGGCGTAATTCATAAACCCATATTTATTCATTAACGGTTCTAATCCAATGTCTGAAAATAGACGAAACATTTATCATTAACGAAACACACAAAAAAATAATAATCAAAAAAGATAAATAACAAAAAAAAGGAATAAGGTACATTTAAAGTGTGTAATGTGTGTTGTGGTTTTAACTGGCCCTGGCTCAGCATTATGCTGTGGAGAAGACGTGTTCAACAGCGCTGGTCATTCTGCCAGAGACCACAGCAGTTAGTTTATAACTATAAATATTTTATTATGTTACATATGCTTACAGCATAAATTTGTAGTTTTGATGACTCTTGGGTGGTTGTTTTTTAATACTTGTCATCTCTTACTTTTGAACTTTAAAAATTTAATGTTGAAATTTTTTAGTGAAATTTACATATATTTAATTAAGTGTCGCACATATCTTGTGCACGAAACTAAACTCTAAGACATCATGAGAACATATTTTTAACCTATAGGAACCATGAGGCTTAAGGTCTACACTTCAGCCAACTCTGCAGGACACTACTCTCGTTTTTCTCAAAGCTAAATCGAGAGCAAACCTATTAGTACAATTATTACTATTTATACCTGGATATAACCAGTCTCCTTTTGGTAACTTGGCTCTGACTTCAACCACTCCATACTTAAAGGCCAACTTGGTAGTCAGCCTTCCCGTTACAACAGGTGGTAGAATGCTCGCGCCCCAGGCACTGACGCTGCATTTTGATGAATACGTGGTTCTACTTGTGCATCTAAAGTAAAAAAATAAAAAACCCTCGTTGATTTGTTGTTTTTTGATTAGGTAAGTGAGGTTTTTCTAGGTCTTCTCGGTAGCAATTTCCACTACTTTTCTTTTGAAAACTAAATAATATAAAGTTAAAAGTTCGCGTTCGTTTCTTTTTTTTTAAATCTTTTTGTGCTTATCATTCCGTAAAATTTCTTTGCCGGATTCAAACCTAGTGAATGCCAGTCATATAAGCTTTTACCAAAATAGGCTTGCGTGTAAATAATGGCTTATAAGCGATGTATTTCTAAACCAATTCGAATTTCAAACTTAGGCTCCTTCAAGAAAAAAGCATACCAATTCTTAAAAGACCTGCAACGCACTGGTGGACCTACAACGCTCTGGCAATACTAGTCCATGCGGCGGTATCATTTAACATCAGCCTTGCGATTCTGTAACTCACTTTTCGAACTCTCACAGCGGTTTTCGCAGCGGCGGTCGCGCTTAAATCAGTCGTGAAGCAGTCATTTTACGATTTGGCATTCTGATAAGGAGGGAGCTTGTAGTTTATTGTTTGAGTTCGAAAAGTGACTTACAAAATCGTTAGGCTTCAGCCCGTTTGCCTCTTGTTACTTAAAAAACGCCCATTGTATTCAAACTTTAGGTTTATTACCGAGTTATACCGATTTACTGTTTTCATGTGAAATGAAGTGATAATAAAAAAATAAAAGAAGTAATCTCACAAGTTTTAAAACTAAAATTACATAATCAACTTACCCACTAGTGAGATCCAGGGTACCAGATAAAATTGAACTATTAGAAAATCCTGCCAGATCCTGTTGGAGTTGGGGAGCGATTCTTAAGTAACCATTATCAACGGCTACCGTTTGACTTTTTGGAGGTCGTTGATAGGACACAAAAGGATAGTCCTGAAAAATATTAAAATAATTTTGAAATGAAATAGATTTTGAAGTTAGCTAAGCCTTTCAATTGTCTTTGATGTCTTTTCTACCTTTATTTTACATTTTCACTTCCCTTAAAATCTTGGATCAAATTAAAATTAGCTAGAATTATATACACATATAATATACCGCAGGCTTACAGAAAAGCAATAACTAACCTTAAAATATATTTTTAAAAGGAGGCAAGGTTCCAAAAAAAAGATACTGGCAGCGTTCCCCCTTTGAATAGCTAGACTAAATTTTTGCTATTTTCTTAAAAAGCCTTATAGCGCTAGGAGCCCACGGACCAAGGGTCTTGACACCAAATGGGACAAAATCATATTCGGAGCCTAGATCCCTGTAGGCTGGGGATATTATATCGTAGGCTTTACAGGCAGTACTTGGTATTGGTATTTTGCTTTGATGATAAGATTCCATTTGAAACATATTTTTTCTATCTTTTCTGTTGTTTTAGTTTATATCGAAGAAACGCGTATAGGCTCACGTACTTGGTGAAACGCTTGAATACCGTTTAATAATAGTTAACTCTAATAATATATTATTCATTATCGTGACAGCGTGAACTATGAAACCGTTGATGCTTTTTTTTATCTTCCTTAACAATCACCTGATATTGATTTTTAATTACTCTCGAAGTCTCAAAACTTACTGGTTGGTCTGGTATGTACTGCTCTATGTACCAGAGATCCTGAAGTCGGTCGAAATTATCCTCAAAAATAACTTGGCCGGCACACACTTTACCGCCTGCAACCTCTGTCACAGTTGACTTACAGTCTGGTGATGAGGGCTTTGCGGGTGATGATGGATCAACCAGTTCTGAAAATTATAAAACCATACTGGGTTACCTCAAAGGAACAAACGATTAAAATCTAATCCAGTTCGACATCATTGCATTCGTTTAGTGTAAGAATAGTTTATACAATCTGTACTGTAGGTAATATCGTTTCCTAGATAAATTCGACGGGTTCAACGACCTTAAGACATTTAAAAATTTTGAATTACATTTGAGAAGCCATTTGATCACAATGTTTATTTGTTTTTACTGTAAAAGTACAACTTGTATGTAGTAAAAATACAATGGATAGTTCCTATTGACAATTTTTACAAGAGACGTTGCCCGTTTGTGTTACGCTTATGTGCGAAGGGAAATATTGTTATAATATATTTGTATTGTTTTAGTTAAAAAGGACTTTCATTCGCTTTGGTAGGCTACACACACAATTAAGTATTCATACACTTTTGGACATCTAAGTAGTAAGCAATCGTATCCTATTAATCTGAATTTGTTATGATTTCGACTTACGCCCGAACCCAATAATCAATCCACAATCTCAGTTTGAAAACAATCTGAGATCAGACCCTGACAGTCGATCGATCTCCTATCTGCATCCCAATAACCAAACCCTACGAAGACAATCCATTTTTGGCAACGGATAAAATGCTCTTTGTCGTTCCGTTTTACCGAGTTTTCACTCATATTTGATAATCAATGTAAAGTAAATAAAGTCAATAAAACCGTACAAATAACATTAGAAAATACATTGTGTATGTTGAAAACATAACAAACAGTTTTTTTTAATTATTTAAAAAACTGGTGTAAGTCAAAATCTGTTAAAATAATTAACTGTTGAAATCGAGCTTTCGTCAACTGTTATTTTCATACAAAGGTCTATCCACAGACACCGATACGACCTCCCATGGATAGCTTGTATCAACAGATGGCTATTACAATCCGACGATTGGTTATTGGCACACTTATTACAATTACAACATTTGTCTGAAGATTACTATCTCAGATGGTGGATTATGGATTGAGATAAGTTATTGGGTTCGGGCGTTAATCCTACCGAACTAGCACGTCAATGGACGGCGTTGCCGTTTTTGACCGTCGTCTAGTGTGAATTAATTTGCAATCGTGTTAAATTTAGCAACCAATTTTATCTCAATTTGTTTCTATCAGAATATAGTTAATCACATTTTCCTTTTACTGTTACGAAAGTATGCATACACCTATACCCTTGCACTATTAAAAAATATGCCGTTTTTTCTACGTTGTTTATACGATGATCCATAACATAGAAGAAAGCAACTAAAGAAGATAATATTCTTACCAGTTACTGTGAAGGTGAGGTTGTCGTTGACATAGCCCTTTCTCTCCCGCGTAACAAACACATAGTAATTGATGACATCGCCAGGCTTAAGAGATATGGTCGGGTCCTCAAACACCCAAGCCCCATTCGTGGGCTTGATGACCTCACCAGAAATTTGGCCCACATCATTTACGTTAATATTCCTATTCACATTCCCTTGGAATACGAATTGGTTGAGCTTTTTCTCCGGATCTGTAAATTTAATTAGTTAGAGATTATTCACCAGCTCAACCGAATTCCTTTCACATAGATTGGTAAGTTGAATATGGAATACAGGAATGATTTTACAATTTGAACCAGCAGTTCCAGAGTTATCAGCTTTAACGATACACTCTCCAGTATGAGAATATTTAAACTGTAGATCGGAATAGCTTTTGTTTAGATAGTGTTCTTAGAAAATACGGAGCTTGGCGTTTGAAGCGAGTTTTGTGCAGAAAAAATATTTACTAATTATGGGTCTTTATTTGTATTTCTTTATGACAATTAATTAGCAGATAATTAAAACAAATACACCACATTTGCTGCATATAGAAATCGTGAAATAAATAGCTGAATTTGACTGTCTGCGTAAAATTAGGATGAAAGTTTCATAGAAGCTTACTTATCCTTGTTGATTTCTAACGGCTCTTTATAATTTAAAAATATCCGTTATTTAATAGCAAAATATATTGTTTGACTTGAACTTACGTAAGAGAAGTACTTATTATAATTTAAATTATTTAATAACAATTTATTGTACATTTTCTCATTAATATGAAATTTTAATATTATTATTTAGATTATACTGCTGAAGTTTGTTTTTACTGAGATAGGCTTATAGGCCATAAACGGATCGAACAGATCCGAATTTATCTTCGGAAACGCTGGTACAAATAATCTTATATATTTAAAATTTCAATATTTAAGCAAGCGAAAAAACACTTTTCAAACACACCTTGTATAGACACTCGAACACCTTTCGGTCTGAAAGCCTGTATCGTGACATCTGGTGATGACTGCGCGTGCGCACTTAGTATGAAGAATAAAATGGCAACACGACCGACCGGTTTGATAGACATTTTAGTACTCAGGGTCATGAGTTCATCGCATGATTAAACCGCAAACTCCCAACGACGGGTGAATCCCTCTAAAATTAGTAATACGCTTCTTACGATAGATATATTACTTTTTATCTCTTAAGATTGTGAAGGAGTTCTGTTGAATTTTCGTATTAATATGCACAATATAATAACTGTAGTACTAATTATGATTTATACTAAACATATAAATATGTTAAAAATCACCACCAATTATTCACCAGTTCCTACGAATATTTTATATGATTAATACATCTATTTACCCCTAAGAAAATTTTAGAGAGATCTGTCAGAAATAGTACCAATAATTAGTTTCATATTACATAAATTATGAATGAATCAAAGCAAGCTATTAGTTAACATCTTCATAGCTATAAGTAGTTCAAAATATATAATATTACGAGTAAAGATATACCGTCTTTTTATTATATAAATTGTTTATTTTGCATACAACGACTTGTTCTGATATATAATATTCAAATAAAATTGTGAGTATTATTTGGTCGTATAGTATTGATGTGTTATGACATGATCTTACGTTATCAATTCGCACTAAGATGGCATTCGTAAACTTGATTTTATTCAACATTTTCCTTGTGAGTGTGAATTGTGAATTGCCGAGAATAAATGGACTAAAATTGTCGTTTATGGAACCTATTGGCGTGTATGTTGAATGGAATACTGTGCCATACAAATCTATGCCTTTGATAAAAGGGTACAAGGTGAGAATTCGCATATTTTTTTTGCTCTAATTATGTATAATAATGGTACAACTGTTCCAAAATTTATTGAAAGTTACAATTTACAAAGCACCTTATAAAACGAAAATTTGGCTCCACATGGAGTACTGTTTTTGCCTCTGGGTGGGAGCTCCCCAGTTCCAGCTCCTTTCGCATGACCAAAGAGCTATTCGAATCGTCGACGACCAGTCACTTTCCTGGCGGCTTGATCCCTTGGTGTTGCGTAGAAATGTGGGGTCTCTCTGCATCTTCTAGCGCATTTACCATGTAGAGTGTTCAGAGGAGTCTTTCGGATTAATACCAGCTGCAAAGTTTCATCATCGGACGTCAAGGCAGAATACAAAATACCACCGTATCACCTCGACGTCCGTCGTTGCACAACTGAGTGTTTCTGCCGCGCACCACCACTAGGTGAAACCAGCTGCCCACTGAAGTATTACCGAACCAATTCGACTTAGGTTAAGTCAAGAATTGAGTGTCCCAATTCTTAAAAGGCCTGCAACGCATTTGTGAGGCATTTGGCAATGTGACTCGTCAATTCTTCGGGCTCAATTCTTGGCCCTTTCCTCTTTCTTGTTTATATAAATGATCTACCTTTCATGGTAGAGAGAAAACATCAGATAGTTTTGTTTGCTGATGACACGTCCTTGATTTTTAAAATCAAACGACAAATAACAAATTTTGACGATGTGAACAATGCTCTGTCTTCGATTGTCCATTGGTTTAGTATGAATAACCTTCTACTTAATGCAAAAAAGACAAAATGCATTAAATTTTGTGCAAAAAATGCAAGGGTTATGGATACTAGACCAATTATAAACGGTGAGGAATTGAATCTGGATGATACAACTGTATTTCTCGGAATCACCATGGATTCAAAACTTCAGTGGTCCCCTCATATTAACGGATTGGCGAAGAGACTTAGTTCTGCAGCCTACGCGGTTAAAAAAATTCGCTCACTAACTGATGTCGATACAGCTAGACTTGTTTATTTTAGTTACTTTCATAGCTTAATGACTTATGGCTTATTATTATGGGGTCATGCTGCTGATGTCGAAACTATTTTCATCCTGCAGAAGAGGGCTATTCGTGCAATCTATAATTTAAAATGTAGGGAATCTCTTAGAGATAAATTCAAGGAAATTAATATACTTACCTTTCCCTCGCAATATATTTATGAAAATATTATGTATGTATACAAAAATAGTGATAAGTTTACTAGAATAGAACATACGCACAATGTTAATACACGGAACAAACGCAGGCTGCAATTTCCCCGTACTAGACTATCTAAAGTTAGTAATTCTTTTTTGGGGAAAGGGATACTCTTCTTTAATAAAATCCCAGAGGCTCTTTTATCACTGCCTTTCAATAAATTTAAGAAATGTATTAAAGAAAAGCTGTGTAAAAAGGCTTACTATAAAGTCAACGATTATCTAGTTGATAAAAGGGCCTGGGACTAGTGCTAGACAGGCTACTTCTAATCAATTTGCGATATTTGTTTTAAATAAGTGTTGTTTGATGATTTGCTGTTTTAAAAGAGTACCGAGAGTTTTTTACGCCGGCTTTTTCTCTCGGCCTACACCCTCTGTCTTCTTTGCCGATGAGTAGGGATGCCTTCAAATTTAATGACGTGGAATAAGTGATACATGTATCTTATGTTCCATAATAAACATATTTTATTTTTATTTTTATTTTATTTTAATATGCGGCGGTATCACTTAACATCAGGTGAGCCTCCTGCCCGTTTGTCCCCTGATCTATATCAAAAACTCCTTTACGATATTTTTGAACTGATATATTTATAATGTGGAACCAGCTACCCAGATAGTGTCTTAATCAACAGGCTCAGTTGTGGCGGACCTGTAAATACTGTATATTTGATTGTTATGATTACATCTGTATTTTTAGGTGAAGCTATGGTCGATTGAAGAACAGACGACAAGAAATTTTAAATTACTAAATGGAGATCAATACCCAGGGTTACAGAGAAACGATATTGCTCAAGAGGTATTGAAAAGTACAATCAGTAGGAAGGATTTCAATATTTTTGACTAAAATCTAATTATAAAGTATTTTTAACTGTGAAGTCATAAACTCCAACTGAAACATAGTTCTCAATAGGCTGGGATGTATGTTTTATGAAATTTGTCTAAAACTGAATAAAAGGAGAAGACAGTATCTGATCCTGTTGGATTTACATAATATTTGAGTATCTATGTATGTCTGTACAAAATAAAATTCTAGCAGATGATAGATAGAACCAATTAATCAGTATATTCAGTAGAACGGTCTAAGTTTCATAAAAAATCTGTTAAGTGGTTTTTCAGGGGGGTGCCTTTTTTCCTTTCTTTAGTTTAATACGAGTTTGTATAGTCTTATATAGACTATCACCTTTGTGGCTTACTGATAATCACAGGGCGGTCACTCGGAAATCTGACGTTCGAATGCTAAACAATAATTGTTTCTTACTTGCTTACAAAATTACAAATAAACCTGACAAAATGTATCAATGAGTTATGCCTTTTTCAGCCCTTCAGCATTGAACACATATCCAAAAATAATGTTAGTGTAATAACGAATTCCAACGCATATTATAACATGGCAAGAATATTTATGAGTATAGACAATTTGTATGAAATAAGAGTCAATACTTTCAATGCGACAGCTGAAGGACCAATGACAGATCCTATTCGGGTGAAAATCGTAAAATCTGTGACCGAATATACCATGTCACCAAAGGTAGTGAAACCACGGCCAATATATAAAGCATTGGGTTTGAGAAGAATCGATTCATGTGGTGTGTCAATCATTACGAACTCGAGTGATGGAGAGCCGTTTATCCATAATTCTTATTTGTAAATAATATTTTTCGATGATATAATTTTTTTTTAATTTTGACTTATTTTACTACCATCCAGTTAATAAGCTTGGACTCTTGAGCCTCGCATATTATCTTGCCCCAAAGTATTTTCGGCTCTCTTTTCCTCTGTAACTGTAGATTTTATGTTGCACCAAATAAAATATATTTTTAATAACAAATACGCCTTTTAATTTATTTATTAAACAAGATAATTAGATGAAGAACTTACCCCATTGGGCAGGGTTCAATTACGGTTCGATTAGTGACATCCCAATTCAATAAAATCTAATATATAAAATTCTCGTGTCACAATGTTCGTTCCCATGCTCCTCCGAAACGGCAGGACCGATTCTTATGAAATTTTTTATGCATGTAAGTCTGAGAATCGGCTACTGTCTATCTTTCAAACCCCTAAGTGATAATGAGTGTCCACCCCAAAAAATTTTTTTTATTTTTTAGAAAAAAAATTGTTTTTTGATATAGCATACAAAAATACATGCAACCCATAATTTTCACTCCTCTACGATCAACCCCTATTTTTTTATTATTGTAGATAGTTATTTTTATTGAACTAAAAAAATGTTCATAGAAATAATATACATACATGGTAAAACAAACGTTTGCCGTAAACGTAATATATCTAATATATAAAATTCTCGTGTCACAGTTTTCGTTGCCATACTCCTCCAAAACGGCTCGACCGATTCTCATGAAATTTTGTGTGCATATTGGGTATGTCTGACAATCGGACAACATCTATTTTTCATCCCCCTAAATGTTAAGGGTAGTCCACCCCTAAATATATTTTTTTTTATTTTTAGATATTTTTTTCTGTTTTTATTTTTTTATGATACAACAATAAAAAAAATACATACAAACCCCTAACCCCTTTCACCCCTCTACGATCAACCCCTATTTTTTTATTATAAATGATATGTATATGGCAAAACCACGTTTGCCCGGTCAGCTAGTATATAATAGAATTATCAGTCTCTTTGTACGTAGTAGTATGGGCAACGTTAAATAATTGTTCTAGCAATTCAAAAATGGATATCATTGCTGTGTCTTTATATAGACCACGGAATTCACTAATTAAAATTATGAATATACACATTATAATATGTCCTAATTATGTACACAGTCACAAACGTCATTAGACATTTAATTTTGCTTAACGCTTTACTAAAGCGGTTCATTGTTTGCGGTCTCTTGTGCACGATAAACGTCTACTATGAAGATTTATTTTTTGTTTGTACTCGAAGTTGCCATATCACAGGTTATAGACAAGCCAACTCACGTGAGGGTGTCTCTATATGAACCCGAGGGGTTGTTTGTTCAGTGGAGAGTTGTAGGAAATCACCAAGGACATCCAATTGTTGGATATAAGGTATGTGTTATTCATTGTAGTCTAGTGTAGTTCACTATAGTACGTACGAGATACTTTCTGGTGTTCATAATGTTACATTAACTCAAATGTGTGAATAAATATATTTGGACTTAACACAACGTCGACTTAAATAAATAAGCAATCAAGCAGCATTCATGTAAGAATAAATTATTTAAAATATATATGTGTTATCTTGTTTGTTTAATTTCTAAGTGGATCTTGAGTTATAAGAACAAAACATTAATGGTGATTTGAAGTTTATAGTACGTTTAAGAATAAGGGGTAAATTTATTAAAAACGGTAATACACATTTAACGATTTCTCTATGGAACGTGTAAAATAATAAATAAAATTTTATATTTTTAGATAAGAGTATGGAAAATCGAGGAAGACCTTCATGGTACCTATACATTATTAAATGGGGAACAACTTGCTATAATTTCCGATGAAAGATCTGTTGAGGTATTTAATTAATTTACGAACACTTATGGTATTAACAATATTCATAAAGTATTACTTTTTTGGTCTTCAGTATTCCTACAGCTACTTATACAATATCTAAACAATAACATTATACACATAAGCCAAAAACGGAATAAACATTCAAACATAAACACAAAACACGTTAAACAATTATTAACTTATACAAAAAAATATATATAATAAATTGTAAGATGCATTGATCATTATAATATGTCCAATATAAAAGAGAAATAACAAAGCCATTCTATCTAATATATCTATCATTTGTAGTTACATTAAATATATCTATTTGCTGGTAATTTGTGTTATAATCTAAAGGTATACGATACATGACTGAGTTACACACTCATTAGACAGAGAAAAATGAAATAGTTGGGTTTGCCTTGTTTGGTATAAAGAAGGGGTGTGAAATAGTAAAAGCGGAAATTGACAATATATTTTAATTTCAGCCTTATAATATTGAAGTTCCGAAACATCCACCACGAGAATATACCACTCCTAACATCGATATAAAAAATGACTTAAGCATCAAAATAACTGATGGAATAAATTACAATACACTATATGAAGTACGTGTTCTTGCATACAGGAAGGATCTCGATGGACCAATGTCGCAGCCCATTAGAGTGAAAATAGTAAAGGAAGATGGTTATACAGTGCTAGCTCAGAAGACATCTCCAAATACCTGTACAATCTCAAGTATTAGTGAAACGACACCTGAATATGGTGTACAGTATTATTCCATTGAAACTGTTAATTTGTAAATTAAGAATGTTAAGCTTTGTTCATTTTGTGTAAATGAATCAAAAATAAATAAATTAAATTGAATCAAAAATAAATAAATGAATCACCCCCAATATATGTAACATTACATAGACAATCTATATTAATAAAATAAATCAGTGGCGCTACAACATCTTTAGGTCTGGGCCTCAGATTTCTGGATCTGTTTCATGATCATTTTTAAATCTAATAGGCAAGTAGGTGATCAGCCTCCAGTGCCTGACACACGCCGTCGACATTTTGGGTCTAAGACATGTCGGTTTCCTCTCGATGTTTTCCTTCACCGTTCGAGCTAATGCTAAATGCGCACAAAGGAAGAAAGTCCATTGATGCACAACTGGGGCTCGAACCTACGACCTCAGGGATGAGAGTCGCACGCTGAAACCAAACACTACAGGAAAATGGCTAACATGAACCAAATGTTCTAAAGTATACGATTATAAGCTTAGAAGTGACATCAAATTACAGTGTAGAGACCTTAGTTCAGTTCAAACTTAACAAGACATTAAATGAGGAAAACACTAAATATAGAGTAACTAAATAGTTATTAGTAATAAGAAACACAACCTCTTTACATACCATTATCTTACTGAGTTCGTTCGAACATATTTGCGGTCACGAAAAGTCCAATGACATTTGTCGAGTAGATATGATCAAGGCAACATGAAACGTGTTCTTGTATTTATAATTTGTGCTGGGTTTGTGATAGAAAAAGATATACCAAACATTGAAAGTGTAATAACGTTGTCGGACGGATTGCTTGTTCAGTGGAGTTGGAAAGGCAACGCTGATTCTATAGATGGTTTTAAAGTGAGTATCATTGCTTTAACATTGACTTATTGCTTAATCAATACTTGGTATTAAGAAAAACGTGCCTCAATTTTGCAGTAAACCTGCCACTGAACGATGAAACGCTTTCGTTATATAAACGTAAAATAAATATTGTCTGACTGTTATTAGTGACATATAAATATACTTTATATATACGTCTAGTCATTGGAATGAAAAATTTAATAGATATAACAGTAAATTTAAATGAAGTACTTTATTTTTCGTATATTATTAACTATTTTTTATGCTAATTTATATACCTAAAGGTACATATGGTCTGATTTAGGGAGACTTTTATATACAGTTATTTTCTTTTAATTTGTTTTTACCCAGATAAAAGTATGGATTGTTGAAAGCCAAGAACAAGGATACTTTAACTTAGTGAATGGAGACCAAATACCTGGATTAACTTTAAATCACAACGCTTTAGAGGTAAGTGATTTTTCACTTATGTTTATTTAATATTCATACGAAATTAGAAAATCTTGCATTTCCGAATTGAATTCCTCTACGGCAATCATACCATATTAGTATGAATATTTAACTGTTATGATTAGTAGTTATGATAAACAAAGGCATTCTTCTTCAAATGGTTAATTAAACGATTATCCCTGGAATGTTTGAAGCAGGCAACGGAAAACCACCGCGATATATTCCTTTGTAGTTAACAATGAAAAAGTCCATACCTGGCAATTCAACGGCTAACATTTAGCAATAATGTGGCACCAGAAGAAGAATTAACTAAACAAACATTCTAATTTCCAGAAATTTGACCAAGAAAAACTACCAAAAAGCAAACCAAGGATAATTGTTATATCTGATTCCGAAGCAAGAGAAGTGAAAATAGATGACATTAAGTATAACAAATTACATGAAATACGAATATTGACATACGACGGCCGTGAAGATGGACCTCTGTCTGGTCCAACAAGGATAAGACTTATAAAACCAGATGAAGCGATCAATGTTATAGCAGCCCAGAGACAAAACAATGATTGTGTTGCCACTGTAGCAACTAATCTTACAATATATGGAGAAACTTATTTTCATCTTAGAAATATTTATTTATAACTAACGAGCAGGCTTGGCTGTATATATTTAAGTAAAAAACAAAATCGATGTTTGGATTTTTAATTTTTTTCGAATTCCATTTCACAAGAATTTTACAAAGTATTGAAAAATAAAAAAGAATTACTTTACCGTAAGTAATTACGATAGAGGATGTTACAAGTTAATTTATTAATATTAATTTAGTCCCACGATATCTGCATTGTATTTTATATAAAATTTTAATTGTTTAATGAATAAGCAGTTTAAATATTGTATTATAAAATAAAAAATAAAAAAAATAAAACCCTAATCCTTGTTGCGTATTTTCAAATTACAAAGCGACAACTTTTACATAGTCAACAAGCAGGTCAGGTGTGCTCCAGGTTGGGTACCAGTTCTCCTTATCTTGCCAGAAAGAGAATCCAGCTTTTCGACCCCTGTTCCGCCATGGCTTAGGTATTTTATCTCCCGTTGATAAACCATCAGCGAACTCCACAATACCACCGACAGCTACTCCCAATGTTATGTAGAACTAAAAAGTGTATATGAAATTAGTAATCTAATATATAAAATTCTCCTGTCACAATGTTCGTTCCCATACTCCTCCGAAACGGCTCGACCGATTCTTATGAATGTTTTTTACATATTCGTTATGAATAGTAGCTGATTCTCAGTAAGTCTGAGAATCAGCTACTATTTATCTTTCAAACCCCTAAATTTTTAGGGTGGTCCACCCCTAAATTTTAATTTTTTAGATAAAAAATTTGTTTTTTTCCCTTAATTTTCACCCCTCCACGATCAACCCCTATTTTTATTATAATAGATAGTTATTTTTATTACACTAAAAAAATGTTTCGTACAAATAGTATATATGGCAAACGTTGTTTTGCCAGGTCAGCTAGTCATACTAAATAAGTACCCAGTACTAGTGTTTATGTACAAGTCTGCAGTAGTAAATTACGAAAACTTAATTGATTTCGTTAACAATATATTATAAAAAACAGTTATTAAAACCAACATGATCATCAAATGGTGCCATGATACCACCATTATTGAGTAGCTCAAACCAGTCTCCTCTGCATGAAGCTGGAAGCCAGGACCTCAGGCCAGTGGCTCCAGGCATATAGCGCCCCCACTCCTCACCGTCTACTTTTAGTACTATTTCATCTGAAAAAGAAATTCGTAGATAATGTTTTCAAAAATAAATATATAATTTTTCATTTCCCACTGTTTCTTTAACAACAATAAATTTCGTTATTTGTTTAAGATGGCAAAATTTATAGGCGTCGTAATGATATTAGGGAAAGCATGTTTAATATAATATAGTAATTTAATTTAATTTATAATATTGATACACTACACATTTAAATCATAAATATAATGCAATTATCAGGAAACTAGTTGACCCGGCGGACTTCGTTCCGCCTAACAGTCTAATAATATAGTGTTATCTTTAGTTAAACTTAATTTAGGATTTTATTTAGGTAATAACATTAGTACAATTTTGCAAATACAGAAATAACTAATCCGATATTTTATTACTTATTCTGCTATTCGGAGTGGAGAAGAATCCACCAAAAAAGAGATAACTAAAATCGGTCCAGCCGATCTTGAGTTATAAGTGGTGTAACTAACACGACTTTGTTTTATATATTTATAGATAGATATAGATTAGATTAGATAGATTATGATCGAGTCAATTGACCGTTGATTTTAATTTGGTTAATAATTGAGATTCATTATTACTTTTAAGAACCATCATTTAATTAGATTAGATATGTTTTGTTTTATTAAATTGGTCCATAGTTTGTTACATAATAAGGAATAAAAATAAGAATATTGTTAACAACTTAAATAATATCCGATAATTATTCGTGTCTTTTGTGCTCGCAATGTACCTCTTTAAAAATAGCAAATCTTGATGATTTGCTATTTTTAAAGAGGTACAGGATCAAGGCTTATTTTAAAACAAATATCGCAAATTAATTAGAAGTAGCCTGTCTAGCACTAATCCATTTTATCAACTAGATATTAGTTAACTTTATAGTAAGCCTTTTTACACAGCTTTTCTTTAATACATTTCTTAAATTTATCAAAAGGCAGAGATAAAAGAGCCTCTGGGATTTTATTAAAGAAAAGTATCCCTTTTCAAAAAAATAATTACTAACTTTAGATAGTCTAGTACGGGGAAATTGCAGCCTGCGTTTGTTCCGAGAATAACGCCCGATAGTGACGATATTTTCCCGTAAAACCCTAACATTAATAGCGTTAATAGGTATACCTACCTTTTTACGGTTAAACTGGCATTTATACTTGTGGCTAGAAAAAACCGTACGGTAAAATTACCTGGAGACCACGTAAGTGAATATTCGTGGAATTCATCGCCCCAAAACTGGTCACCCTCAATCTTCTTATGATAAAACTCAAGTGCACTACGACATCTTGAATTGAGAATTGGTCCTCCGATCAGCCACTGAAACATATTTAAGAAGCAAAGTAGGACATGCGTCTTATGTTAAATAAAGCCTATTCTTAATATTATAAAGAGGAATTTTACGTATTTGTTACCAATAAACTCAAAAACTACTGGATTTAAAACAATTCTTCTCTTCCGTTCTACGCCCTTGATTTGAGAACTGGCAGTAAATGTATAATTAGAAGCATTAAATGTATATATCTCTTTTGACGTTCATAAGTGTACATTGTGTTACCTACATGAATAAATGATTTGACTTTTTGACTACACCTTATATAAATAAATAAGTATAAACTCCTATGAATATTGACTCGAAAAAGATAAATAAAAATTGTACATTATTACTATATCTCTCGTTGTCCACATCAGTGTTCCCTCTTGCCATGGCAACTTTCAGCACACCTGACGCGTAGTTGAGACTGCCATATTTCTTTGAAAGTGGTTCCAGCAGGATCTCTGAAAATACAAATAAATTATTAATCTCAAATTAAATTCTAAATAATATGAATACTTTTGGGCGGTAAATTGTCCCCCCAAGTGACGAAGTTTGACGCGTGATTTGTGACTAAAAAAATATCACTTCAAAAGTTTTTCATGTGTATGAAATAGTAGGAGTCAATGATGGAATCGTTTTTCAATTAATTTTTTACTAAAACGTAAACCAATTCATTAACAAAAAACGCATCGATTCGATTCTCAATATGTTTTAAATAGTATTGAAAAAAGAACAGGACAAAAGCAACGAAAACCGACGAGCGTGTATTATACAATATTAGGAGAGTAGCGGAAGCAAGAGATGTACATAAGAATCTTGGCAAGGAGGTCTATGATGTCTGCCTACTCTTGTAGACAACCGGCATGACTTATAAATAAATACAATATACAAAACAATGGTTTTTCTTCTGATTCAAACAATATAGTTTCATTGCTCCTATAAAATTTAAATCACAATATAAATAGGATTATTTATTTATTAGAAAGCTATTTGCCATTTTCAAAATTATACCTATACAAGACAAAGTGCAGCTAGGATAATTAAATAAAAACTTCTTTACAGAAAATAAGGTAAACAATTAAAACTATTAAAAAACGATTTCTATTACCCAAATACAATAATCTATCTGGGAAAAAAACACGAGACTATCTGATTCCAAATTTAATAGACTCGCTACCAGCTGCACTTCTTACTAATATAACAAGAAACAATATTAAATTTAAATTGAGATATTATTAAGTACATCAATCAAACAATTATAAATTATGCATAACAAAAATTATGCTAATCAAACATCATCTTCATTTAATTCTTATTCGAATATAGGAATACATCCTGTATTCGAATGAGATTTCTCGTCAAGAACAGGTTTCTTGCATCGTCTAACTGTGGAGGGTCAATTTTAATGGTTGAATGGTTATAATGTTATAGTGTATATGTTAGTTATTTAAATGTGTTCGGCGTCCTGGTGGACAGAAAAACCGTGTCCAGTTTGTGTTTCCACCACACCAACTTCTTTTCTATTTAAGATTATGTATACAATAAATAAATAAATGTAATATGATTTCTGTATCCAAGAATATACCTGGATATAACCAGTCGCCTTGCGGGAGCTTTGCTCGGACGTGTATCGTCCCGTACGTGAAGGCAAATCTTGCGCTGGTAACACGGCCGCTTACGACAGGCGGTACGATATCCACGCCGATAGACGACATGGAACAAGTTCGTAGCTCTGTACAGCTGAAAACAAAGTTAAATCAATATTAAAGTTAACGGGCACTTAAACAGTTTAGTTAAGAATTAGCTTCCTTAAATCAATCGCAACTAATTAAAAAAATCGAAGATTGAATGTAGCTGATATTTACTGTTTGATATTTAATGAATTAAACTAATGAATTTACTGGACGACTCGGACTCCGCTGTTAGTATTGAATAAATGATTTAAATGATAAAGATAAGGTTAGTTATTAGTATATATTATCTTTATATGTAATTATACAGATAAAAAATATAAACAATAAAAAATAATTATACTAAACATATAGCCAAAGATGATGTTCAAACAATTACGAAAGGAATAAATCAATAAAAATTACTAAATACGTAGTACCTTGTTCGGCTGTGCTGTGTAATGATTTGAAAGTGAGGGTATGTACATGAGGTCGTATGATTTTCATTTGGTATACGTTTTTTTTAATTCCGCAAAGTAAGTATGTCAAAGAATGTGTTTTTCAAATTTGTTCGGTTCAATCTTTTAACATTAATTCTATCAAAATTGTTAAGGAATACAAGTGTAACATTTTTAGAAAGCCCATGGAATGCAGATTTTAACGGAATTATAAAATTGTAGGTTTTACGGATTATATGTATATAAAAGAGAATTAACAGTAAGTGAATGAAAAAAAGAGTGTGTGTACTTATGTACACGCGTTAGAAGTTATACTTCTTTGGCGTATGGAAAAAAATTACGAAAATGCAGTAGTGATTAACGATAATCATTAAAATTAATCAATAAAATTATTATTAGTAAATACTATCACCGTCGTATATCGAATTGATTTAATAAAAACACCAAACTAATATTTATTTATTCACACTGTTTAATTGTACTGTTACGAAACACGTGTTCTAAATATATAAAAGAAACTAGAATATACAATTTGAACATAGTTATTATCGATTTTCATGCCACCTAGAACTAACTTCATTTTGTTAATTTTGTGTAACGGTGCGCGCGCATCGTAAAATTTCACTCTCATCATTTTTTCATAACGCGCCTAAAGAAGTATAACTTCAAAAAGACAGTTTTTTATCTTCGTAGAGACTTTTGTCAGTTGCCGATGTTTCCCGGTGTCGCATCTATCTATTTGGTGACGATAGATCAATATTGCGCAGGTCCCTCTTCAATGTACAATACAAGTTTATTGATAATCTTATTTATCTATAAGGAATAAATGTTTTGTTGAGTTCTTAACTAAGGACATACCCGCTGGTAAGATCAAGAGTTCCAGATAAAATGGATTTATTCTGCCTTTGGAAAAGGTCCTGTTGGAGTTTAGGCGAAATTCGTAAATTACCATTCTCAACTACTACTGTTGGGTTACTCTGCAATCGCTGATAGGAAACGAAGGGGTGTTCCTGAAAATAAGCGTACTAGTAGGCAACATATATTTCTAAGTCAAGAGCGGAGCGAGTACTCGTGAAGACGTGCTGTCAATCACTCCTGGATTTTTATATAATAAAAGTGATAAAAATAAGTGCATCAGTGCTAAAAACACAACAATTGTATTGTAAAAACATTTGCAGGAATTAGTCGCTAAAAAAAAAAAAAAATCTACGCGAAAAGTGGAAAATAAAGTGAAATTAGATAGTACTAAATGTAAATAAACGAAACTAATCCTGAGGTTATACAAAGTCATTTCAAAGACAACAGAAATCAAGTGCACCAACAGTGACATATTACGTTAACATACATTGCTCGTTAGATATTCGCGGTACATTGCGCGCTCTGAGAATAGACTACTCAAGGCCCAAGGGTACCAACAATGACATACTGACGCTTTGGCGTACATTGCTCGCCAGATTTCACAGTACACTGCGTGTCGGACCAGAGAAACTGTAGTAATATTGAAAAATGTTTGGGTTGCGCACACCGACAAAACCACACTCCGCGACCACTGTGGAGGCTAATAAACAAGATAAGCTTAGTGTGCAGACATCCGTAGTGGCCGCCGGTGTCAGGAAGAGCATTGACCAGTGGGAGGGGGTAACAAATGAGGAAAAGAAGGTCAGAACCTACACAAACGCAAAAACATATAGAAGCAAAGCTGCTGAGGCAACAGCCGTTCAACAAAGTGCCCTCCTTCAACTAGACGCTGCCCGTACTTTAAAGGGTGAAATTAAAATAGCTGTGACCACTGCTATCAAGCGACTTTGTGAGCTAGTTAAAGAAGCAGAGGCCCAGACAAGGGAGGGAAACGAGAAAAAGAATGACAAAGGAAACGAGGAAGAAACAGGAAAAGACAATGATAAAATAGATAACACACGACAGGTGAAATCAAACGTGATGGAGGAGCAGCTGATAAGACTAGGGAAGGAGACTAAAAAGTTAGAAGAAATTACCAAGCTACTCCAAGAAAATATTAGTGAGCAAAATGGAAAGGAAAAGAGACTAGAAGAAAAAATAGAAGAACAGACAACAGTGATGAGACAAGTGTTGGAGGGGAGACGCACCTATGCCAAGGTAACGAGCGGCCAAAGAACAGATAGGCCACCCAACCCAAAACACGGTGTTATCATGGAAAACAGACGTGTAGAGCTGCACTCCATGATAATAGCACCACGAAATGAAAAGGAAACGGGAGACCAAGTAATAAATAGAATTAGGGAAGCCGCAAATGTTAAAGAGGGAGGCATTAGAGTGGATAGGATTAGAAAGATCAAAAACGGAAAAGTAATAATTGGATGTAGAGATCTAGAAGAAAAGGAGAGACTCAAGCAAAACTTAGTGTGTGAAAATGAGCACCTGGAAGTAAAAGAAGTCGAAAACAAAGACCCACTAATCATCCTAAAGAATTTGCTGAATTACAATACAGAAGAGGATATAAAGCAGGCAATACGAATACAAAACAGGAAAATAGTAGAACACATAAGAGAAGAAGACTGGAGGATAACAGAAAAATACCGTCGCAGAGCGAGGAACCCACATGAGGGTCACGTCATTCTTCAGGTCTCACCAAAATTATGGCAAGCGTTGACTAGCGCAGGAAAAGTGCATGTGGACCTTCAAAGGGTGTGGGTTGGAGATCAGTCCCCTCTGGTGCAGTGTATGAAATGTCTGGGCTATGGCCATGGGCGAAAGCACTGCAAAGAAGAGGACGATCTGGTCTGTTCCTGTGCCCACTGTGGAGGAACCCACATGCGGGAGAAGTGCCTCAAATATAAAGCAGCTGAAAAACCCACCTGTATAAACTGCAAAAGGATGGGTTTCGAGAGACAAGACCACGGAGCCTTTGACGTTCATTGTCCAGTAAGGAAGAGGTGGGATAGCCTGGCCAGAAGCAGAGTAGCTTATTGCTAAGGGCCAGCCAACGGTAAAATCGATAAAAATAGTGCAGATTAACCTGCAAAGGAAAAGACTCGCAATGAGTGAACTTATTTGTGAAGCACAATCGAGGAAAATAACAGTCGCTCTAGTACAGGAGCCATACATTGGAGCCCTGGGTAGGGTGAAAGACTATAGGGGAGTGAGAGTGGTGCAGTGCCAGAATCCTCCGGCGGGTAAAGTAATAAAGGCAGCAGTGTTAATTTTTGACGAGGATATTGGTATTACCCAATACCCCGCACTAACAACAACTAATGTAGTGCCTATCAAACTGAAGACCACGGCACAAACTGGCATTGCACTAATCTCATTCTACATGGAACCAGACCCAGCCTGTATAGAACCCTATCTAAAGCACCTGGAAACGACGGTGAATGAGCTCAATAGTAGAATAGTGCTAGGGGGGTGATGCAAACGCCAAAAGTCCGTGGTGGGGAAGCCCAAAAATAGACAATAGAGGACAAGCCTTCGGAAGTCTGGTAACAGAGCTTGGCCTGCACATACTGAATGATGGGAAGCAACCAACATTTGAGGTTATAAGGAGAGGAACCAGAATAGTCAGCCACTTAGACGTAACAGTGTGCAACGAGTGACCTACTGGGAAAGATTGAAGATTGGAGAGTAGACATAGGAATGGTTTCATCGGATCACAATGCCATATTATTCAAAATTAATGCAAAAATGCATCAAGGAATCCAGAGAAAGAGTAAAACAAAAATTTACAACAGTAAAAAAGCTGATTGGGTAAAATTCAAGGAAGAAATGTTAGGAAATATAGAAAATTCTCAGTTAACAGAGGACGTCGTAACAAAGATAGATAAAATTGAAGACTTGGAACAAATTGTAGAAAAGTTCACAGATGTAGTAATTAAATCAAGTGAAATAGCAATTCCAAAAATTAAAACCGGGAAGAAAACAAAAATGGTTTGGTGGACCGAAGAACTACAGGTGCTCAAGAAACAGGTTGAGACTAGAAAGAGAAGGATAAGATGTGCCGCAGCACGCAGAAGGCAAGAGGTCGTAGGTGAATACCTTGCATTAAAACAAGAGTATGAAAACCGGATCAAACAAGCCCAAACTGAGAGTTGGAAAAAGTTCTGCGAGAAACAGGAAAGAGAGACAATGTGGGAAGGTATATATAGAGTGATAAGAGGGACAGAGACCAGAGTCCAGGATTTACCACTTCGTAGGGATTCGTAGATACATTAGCGAAAGGGAGTCAGCGGAGACCTTGGCAAGAACTTTCTTCCCGGAAGACACTAGTGAGGATGAAACTGAAGACCACAAATTGATAAGAAGAAGAGCAAACACAGTAAATAAAGAGGGACATAACTTAGTCTATGATCCCCCTTTTACAATGACTGAACTCGAAACCGCCGCTCTCAGTTTCAACCCGAGGAAGGCCCCCGGAGAAGATGGCATAACGGCGGACATAAGTTGGCACGCGATAAACGCGGCGCCTAACTTATTCCTCACCGTCCTAAATAAATGCCTGGAGCTAGGGTACTTCCCCAAATTGTGGAAAAAGGCTACAATAATTGTATTGCGCAAACCTGGTAAGACAGATTATACAAACCCGAAGTCTTACAGACCCATAGGCTTACTACCTCTTCTAGGCAAAGTATACGAAAAAATGATAATCGCTCGGCTAAAGTGGCATCTAGTCCCAAAAACCTCGAAAATCCAATACGGATTCATGCCCCAGCGGAGCACTGAAGACGCCCTATATGACGCAGTCACACATATACGCGCAAAGCTGAAACAAAAGAAGATACTAACAATCGTATCACTCGATATAGAGGGCGCATTTGACAGCGCTTGGTGGCCGCAAATTAGAGTCCGACTGGCAGAAGAACAATGCCCATTAAAACTAAGGAAAGTAATGGATAGTTACTTACACGAAAGACAAATAAAATTAACCTACGCTGGACAAACGGTTGAAAAAGTAACTAACAAAGGCTGCGTTCAGGGTTCAATAGGGGGACCAACAATGTGGAATCTAATATTGGACCCGCTCCTACAGGACTTGCGAAATGGTGGTGAGTACGTCCAGGCTTTTGCGGATGACGTCGTTTTGATAGCGGAAGGAGAGACCGGTAGTGAGATCCAGCAGAACCTCAACCTAACATTGAACCGGATACATAGATGGGGTATCCTAAACAAACTGAAGTTTGCGCCACACAAGACCAAAGCCATGGTGGTGACGCGCAAACTGAAGTATGATACCCCACGGCTAAATATGAATAATGTACCGATACAGATGGATAACCACATTCGAATTCTCGGAGTTGATGTGGATGCTAGACTCACGTTTAACAGACATGTGGAGAGGGTATGCCGGAAGGCCATCCAGATATATAAGCAGCTGGCCAAAGCCGCGAAGATCGAATGGGGACTAAACCAGCAAGTTATCGCGACCGCGTACACTGCCGTTATTGAACCAATCGTAATGTATGCGGCCGCGGTGTGGGCTCCCGCGACAAATAAAATCTGTGTACGCAGAAAACTAAATCATCTTCAAAGGGGCTTTGCCCAAAAAGTAGCAAAAACTTATAGGACGACATCATTACACGCAGCAACCCTACTGGCCGGGATACTTCCACTAGACCTCCGTATTCAAGAAGCCGCTGCCTTATACGAGATAAGAAGGGGGGTCAGCACGGAAATACTGGAGGGCGAAGAATTAGAGAGGAGAGTGAAATACGTAGATCTCCCACACCCGGCGAAACAAACAAAACTGGACTACAAGATGCTCACCAATCCGGAAGAAATCGAAGGACACGGCGGCACACAAATCTATACGGACGGCAGCAAAACAAGTATAGGAGTGGGTGCCGCTTGGACGGAATGGAAAGATGGAATGGAAATAAATAGCAAGATGATTAAGATGGCGCCCCACTGCACAGTTTTTCAAGCTGAATTGACGGCACTACGAAACGCGACTAGCCACATAAATAACAATAAGCGTGACGCTAAAATATACAGTGATTCTAGGTCAGCATTAGATGCTATTGTGAGTGGACGATCTCTCGATCCCCAGGTAGCCGAGATCCGCCGGAGCCTGGAAGAGTGCCGCAAAAGAGGAACTCATATAAGCCTCTTCTGGGTAAAGGCACACGTTGGTACGCCAGGGAACGAGAGGGCGGACACGTTAGCAAAAGAAGCGGCGGAAAGACTAAGGTCAAAACCTGAATACGCCGCATACCCCCTGTCATATGTAAAACATCAGATAAGGCAAAAGACTCTAGATGTATGGAATGAACGCTACCTGGGGGGTGAAACAGCTGGAACTACAAAATTATTTATCGCAAATGTTAGAACTGCGTACAAATTAATAAAAGAGAAGCGTTTCACACCCCAGATGGCGCAAATTCTTACAGGGCACGGAGCCTTTGCACATTACCTTCATAGGTTTAAAATTAGGACAAGCCCAGCATGTGACTGCGGCGATGAAGAACAAACAGTAGAACATGTGCTCCTACATTGCCCTATATTTGCATCGTCCAGGCACGACCTGGAGCAACAAATGCAGATGACTGTAGACCGTAACGGCCTACAGGACATGTTAATAAAGCACAGATCGTGCCTGGAACGGTTCTGCGAAAAAATTGTGGAATATGTAAAGGCGGCAAACAAAACCCCAAGAACGGGTCTCGCGAGGAATTGCGTCCCGGCTCGCCCATGAATATTGTTAACAAAAATATTACAGATGTAGCCGGGGCGTCTTTCGCGAGACGTGTGATGTGCAAAGGTCCCTGGACACAATGGCAGGGAGTAGAAAAGTGATATATTATAAAAAAAAAAAAAAAAAAAAAAAAAAAACATATATTTCTATCTGTTTCATGAATAATTTTATTAATATGCAAAATATTGCATACAAGCTTCTTAAAACTAATCCTCGGCGCTTTTACTTTATTTGTTACCATGTAATTTGTCAGTCACTTTGAGATCAAAGTTTAAATAGACTTAGTGTGTACATAGACTATTGCAATAGCGGCTACACCCGAGATTAAAACCCAAAAACTTATGAAATTGAAGATAGCAAACCACTAGAACAATGCAGGCAAGGGACGGGCTGGTAGTAGAAAGTCATGGTTGCGGAAGGTACAGGACATCTAGTAACTAAGGAACTGTTTAGACTAGCGAAAGATATCCGGCAATTCAAGTTGTTAACTGTCAACCTTTAGTATTTAAGTGGCACCTGAAGACGACTAGAAAATGGCGTATTTACTTACTGGATGGTCGATAGGAATGTAATGAGCGATCTGCCATAAGTCTTCTCGGAAAGTGTCAAAATTGTCCTCGAATATAGTTTCACCAGCGCACACGCGTTTTCCACGAACTTTCGTCACTGTTTCTCGACAGTGCGGGCCAGGTGCTGACGGGTCTACCAGAGCTATGAATGAATTAAAAGACATTGATTTCTGAGCTGTCATTTTCTAACATGAAGAGGTCACGAAACCAGGTAGCATATGAATAATAATAATAATAATTTATTTTCTCCCATATAACGATAAGATTACAGTTAAGAAGGTATTGGGAGACTGGTTTCCAAACTAGGTAAGAACCTGTGATATGGATCCATATATACCAGGCCATCCATTCTACGGTAAAGTCATATTGATTGGTAACAAGTACATACATATATGGGTAGGCAAACAAATTTAACATTTTAAATTAGGAAAGAAAAACAAAACAATACAATCAACTAGTTAGAAGTTAGTAGAAATAAAGTTGTATGGGTGTACGTGAAGGTGTGAGTGTGATAATACGGACTATCAAAAAGTGTTTTAATTTGTAGATCTATTAATATTGGCAAATCAAATAAACCACAGAACTAATTTGATATTATTAAATATAATATATGATGTTATTAAATTATAATTACTGATACTAGCGCCATTACTCTGACACATATATGTTTATATCATTTGTGTGTGTAATAGGCATTTCTTTCTTTGTATTAAATTATAATTTGCTTGTAAAGGAAAGCATCATAAATAACTGATTAGTTTTGGGGTAAGATTGAGAAATCAGAAAAAATCTCGTCATTCTCAGTAAATTTTTATCGTACAGCCCTGCGATTCTGTAACTCACTTTTCGAACTCACACAGCGGTTTTTGCATCGGCGGTCGCTCTCAAATCAGTCGTGAAGCAGTCATTTTATGATTTGGCATTCTGATAAACAATAAACTATAAGCTCCCACCTTTTCAGAATGCCAAATCATAAAATGACTGCTTCACGACTGATTTGAGAGCGACCGCCGATGCGAAAACCGCTGTGTGAGTTCGAAAAGTGAGTTACAGAATCGCAGGGCTGTAGTCATACTAAGTTGAGACTCTTAGTAAGGCTGTATCGATAAGATTCAGAAACGAGACTTCCGCAAACCCAACCTATGATTCCTTATGTCAGAATGCAATACGTTTCCGCATCCGGTAGTCACACGACGCACAATATTTCTCGTTTCGGAATACCCTTGGATCTTAGACGATTTGTGGCACAGTCTGATCTCACCAATTCGACTCAGGGTCCTTCAAGAGGGTACCAATTCTTAAAAGGCCAGCACTTGCGAGCCCTCTCGCAATGAGTGTCTATGGGCGGCGGTACCTAACATCAGATGAACCTCCTGCTCGTTGCTCCCGTTACATTAAAAAAAATACTAATAAAGCAGAAGCCGTAATGTAAGTGCAATAGAAAAGTTGTATAGAAAACGTACTATAAGTATAACATAGGCACATAATCTTTTCTTACTTTTTCAAATCATAGAAAAATATTATAAATATTAGTCAGAGCACTGGCGCTGGTATCAGCTCCCATTGTAATTATAATTTATTAATAACATCAATGTCAAATTAGTTCAAAACGTTATATAGTTTATTTGATTTGCCAATAATAATAGATCTACAAAGTAACAGACTTTTTGATAGTCTGTTGTAATAATGACTTAAGTTATTATTATTATCAACGCCATTGCTTCAACATTATATAGGTAATGAATTAGGCATTCAGTAGGTATATAAGTTGTGTAGTATGTTTATTACTAATTTCGATATATAATTTTTATTATTAAAAATACTTAAATTGTTTACTTACAAATGACATTATATAACCGATTCGTATGTGTGTATCCCGGTAAAGTGAAGTTTGCAATACCATCACTGTTCGGTTGTCCTACTTCCCCATGCCCCGTCGAGACAAATATGTGGTAAAAAATCCTTTGGTTCACTTTTATCTCTACAAATGGATCTTGGAACAACCATCCCCCTGTCTCTGTTTTCGCCCCAAACCCCCATATGGGACGGACAATGTTGCTTTGCGCAATTGATGCATTCTCCTTGTAAAGCAGGCCGTCGAATAGAAATGATGTTGTTGGTAAATTATCTGCATTTTCTGTAATTTTTTTAAGTATGGTGACAAAAAAACAGGAATTTATTTATTTATTAAAACTTCGTTGCAGTAACACAGCAAGCAATCGAACGATCTCAACCAGGCAACCACTGTGAGAAACTCTTAAAGCACGAGGTGCAAAAAACGATTAAAGCACGAGGTGCAAATGTTTATAAGACATAAAATTACTTAGAGATAATTAAATAATCAAACATATACATAAAAAGGTCACATGAAGAAGAAAAAAGGGTGCGTGTACTTATGTACGCGCGTAAGAAGTTATACTTCTTTGGCATTATTAAAAATAGTTTTTGATTGCATGCAAATAATTAATTACAATTAAATAATCAAAGACTGGAAAAGGAGTCATTAAAGTCAATAAAGTTCAGTTTACATTTGAAAAATTAATTAAATAAATATTTATTATTATTCTCTTACATTAAACAAATAAAACACTATTTATCTTTAAAACATTTTTATTTCATTATACTATTTATTTTTAAGTGACTCTAATGTCTTCATCAGAATTTCGGTTTGTAATTTTAAATTAATCATTACTTGGTTGTGCATCTACGAGGCTTCTCCAAAACTACTTGCTTTCTGCAACAAATAAGAGAATATTAATTTAAGCTCTGTCCATGCAAAACTTAAATTTTTTTATAATTCATATTATAAATTTTTTAACACATTTATATTAATATAATTATATAAATGTGTTAATAATATAATTTGTAGCACATGCTACAGACCTGGATAGCAACTTTCTTTTATTCTATTTAGAGATAGAGATAATTTAAATATAATACCGGTGTCTTCCTTGTAGGTTTCTTTGGAGTTGTTTGGGGATTCTTGTTGTTCAGTTCGACATGATTTTCTTTAACCTTTCTTTAATCCTACAAAATAATGAAATTGTTAAGTTATGTTGTCACTGTTGTGCACACCTTTGTTTGGCTTTTTTAGTATTCAAGTTATGTAAAAACTGATTTATTACCTTGTCATTGTTGGCTTTATTTGCTTTTGGGATATCAATTGTTTCCAAAATGATTTTATTTGTAATAACCTGAAATATATAAATAACATCTATTAATTTAAGTATCATGGTGAGTGGTTCGCACTCAGGTATTAAGGTGTATTATACCCACTGTCCATTATAAGTGGGAATGGGCTCACTTCTGGCAGGACAGAGTTTCGGTACTACAAGTGCAACATGGATGTTTTGAGGTATTACAATATCTCTAACTACCCTGTAGGGGAATAAAGTAATGTTGTAAGCATATGCCTATGCTTGAAAGGTTGAACCTTGAACATCACCATACATCATATTTATAATTAAAATTCCTACCTCGACACCATCACAATCAAATTCATTGAAATCTACTTCAAACCATTGTGTCTCGAGAAGGTGATGGTGGCTTTGTTCCACCTCCAGTTTTTGATGTTTCACGGCGATAAGATGAAAACTCTTTTTTTGTATTCAATTTAGTGCACTTCCACTGATTCATCAATTGTTTTTTGTCTCTTGTCCTTATATTTGCTAGATTAAATCTGATGTTTTGATTAAATAATGTGGTCATTTTTTTGAGATGCAGGTACTTATTAAAATGTTTACTTCTCTGTTATATCGCTCCAAGCCTTCATTTTCTCCTTATTAGTATTCGTGCTTAAATCTTTGTTCTCAATTATTGATATATAGGGTCGTAGAATATTTCTAAAAAGTTGCTGTAACAAACGCAATAAACAAAAGCAATGAATAATGGTTCATGTTTCAGTTTTAATCAACAATAATACTCGATAATACATACGGATAGTTAACCTCAATTGTATTGAAGCACTCAGGAAGGTTAGCACAGTTTTTTCACAAATATTTTATATTATTTCACAAATATTTTGTATAATGAAAATAACTAGGTATATAATTATTAATTTTAAACAATAATTAAAACTCCTATATTTGTTTAAAAGGTAAATGTCATTGTCAGATGTCAATTGTCATGGTCATTCAAAATTCTTGTTAAGCTGCTAAGCTAGAATATGCGTGAAGTTAGCTTCACGCATATTCTATTTCTTTACTTGTAGTTTGTCTTATTCCCATCTCGCTCGCGCACGCTATATCACACTGCCAATTTTGTGTCATAGGTGCGTGCGCAATCGTAAAATTTCACTCTCATCAATTTTTCATAACGCGCCTAAAGAAGTACAACTTCAAAAACACATGAATCATGATAATTTGTAAATGGTCTTTCAGTATTTTTTACGTTGCGAAGGTTTCTGGACCAAATAATCGAAATAAATTGAATCCCTTCATTCTTATTGAAACTTGAGTTGAAAAAAAAAACTTTATTCAGAACAAAAGCTATTGTATCATGTATATAAAAGGTCAATTACAGTAAGTACATAATTGGTGAAGAAATAAAAATGAGCTATGGCGTCAAGGTTAATCGATATTCAACTCTCAGGTTATCGAACCCAGACCAATAGATATTTATCTCTAAACAACTCTCTATCTAAAAGCTGAGTGAAACGGGGGCGTTAAAGTGCCAGCTAAGAATGGCACAGAGAAGTGGAAAAGTGAAGTAAAATCTTACTCATCAAAGTATTATAAACTAGGGGTCTGTCCCGGCTGGCTGAACACTTTTTTTATGCGAGTAATATATATTCTATGCCCTATGTTCTTCAGGTATAATGTACGATTCTAGAAGTGAAAGAATTTTTCAAAGAAGTTTTGGAGCCTATTAAAACAATACAATCTTTATAATTAGTAGACAATAGGTGCTGCGATAACAGATAAAATCAGGTGCAACTTATAAAAACTACTTGTAAACTGATTAATGTGATTATTTTGACTGTATATCAAAGAATACAATATCGTATTATGAATTGTGTAAAATCATTGGTATTAAAATCAACTAGACCACTGTTTTTAACAATTCTGTCTGAAATAAACTTACCAGGTAAAAACACTTTTATGCCCTTAGGTTTGAGTACCTGTATTGTTACTTCGGGTATCACATTTTGTGCATAAATAAATGAAAATATTTGTATAAATAATAACACACTAGCTATATGTATCAATGACATTTTGTTACTGAACACCAATCAAACTGGTATAGCGAATCTTCAAGGTAAGGTTACGGTAATAAGAATCGCGATTTTTAATATATTGTTTTTTCTGATTCACATACTCTTAAGCAATTAGAGTCTATCAGCCTGAAACCTATATTATTTCACGTTACATAATAGAGCTTACGGGTTATGCAATAACCACCAGGTAAAACACAGAGGTGATTCATGTTTTGTAAATCATTACAACCTTATAAAATTGGCAGTTGATTCAACGCATGTAGAAGATATGCACTTAAGGTAAAAAAATATTAGGATCCTCTCTGTGCTGCGTGGAAAGTCACTAAAGGCTGACTGTCTTCGCCGTATTCTGGGTATCTACTAGCCCCAGATCTCTAACGAGCTCTTTGGGAGCGTTGCCGAGAAACTTCGATGAGCCGCAGATCAAGCGACGCAAGTGGAAATGGATACACTCCGAAGAGATTAGAATTATATCCCCAAGCCGGTGCTAGATTGGAATCCGCAAGGAGAGTGGAAGCGTGGCCGACCCAAGGAGGGAAAGACTTTGAGTGAGGTGAAATACTAGGCTCAAGACCGAGCGCGATGGAGACTTAGTGTGGACGCCCTCTACCCCCTCTCGGGGTATAGGACATTAAGTCAAGTAAGTAACTAAAGGTTGATTTTCATTCGGTACAAGCTAACGACTGTGTCTGAACGACACAAAAATGAATTTCATACAAACCAGGATTTCAGTTTAAAGAAAGGAAAACATACTATATATGTTCAAATCGCTTCAGCTTGTGCACTTAGACACCTTACACGAGACAGTAATATTCTCGGTTGACCTCAGATAACTTTATCCGTATTTGAGCTTCGAATTCGCAAACCAAAAGGAAACATAATAGCTACTAATTTGTATTACTTTATGTATAGTATTGTCTTTTATTGACATAACTTTCACACAGTTTTATACATAACTTCAATCCGGTAAAAAATTGTTTTAATTACTTTATGTATTTTTAATTTTGAATGGACAATTCGTTGCGTTCCCAGAATCAATCATACCAAACAAGTAGATGTATTGTAGTTTATGTTATACAGAATAACCTAGAAAATGTAATCAAAAATCCATGACTTCGAGACAATTTTCTTGTGGTAATTAAAAAGCATATAAATAATCATATTTATTTTTCATATAGCAACAATTTTCACATAGTCCACAGAAAGTACTGGCTGCGTCCACGTTGGGAGCCAATCCAACCTAGCGTTCCAGAAGTCCCGAGCCGCTCTGGAGTCGCTGTTCTTCCACGGCTTCCCGTAGCTCGCTACAACATTGTCCGGAAATTCGAACGTGCCCCCAACTGCTACGCCAAGACTTAAATAGAACTGAAAATTACGAGTTTTGTGTGATCTTATTCAATGAAACCAGGAAAATGTGTATACCAATAAATGTTCGTATTTTTAATAGTAGGCAAACGCAGATGTTAAGTGATACAGCCGCCCATGGACACTCACATTGCCAGAAGGCTCGCAAGTGCGTTGCTGGCCTTTTAAGAATCGATACGAATTATTCTAGATAATGTACTTAAAAGGCAACAGCCAACTGGCTTTATATGTCAATGGGCAATCGTACTTGAAGCTGTTATGTACAGGAGAGTTTGATCGTTCACCTACAAAATTACTATAGTGCTTTGATATAATTAAAAACATTCAGATTGATTAATTATAATAATCCGCACAATCAGCTGTACAAAAATAAGCATGCAAAAATGTCATAATAATAAGAACAGTTAATTATAATTGCTGTCGAAACTTATAGTCTAAATACTATCCCACACTATAAAGGCACCTTGCTTTAAAAATTTAATCACCTTCTGCAAGCATTACACGGCAGTGATCTGTAACTTCTGGGACGGTGATTAAACAGTTTGATGAACGCGTATTTTTTTAAATACATGCAGTCACCCACAGCCGTCTTAGATCCCTCGGTAGATACAGGTAAATTTCTTTAAATGTTTTGAATAATTTTGGAAGCATTTTTACAATACTGCTTCTAGGATATATTAACTTGGTACTGTCAAAATATCGAGTTCGTTAAAAAAATATATAACCTTATAGGTTTGTATTAAAATCATGTTCATCCACACAAAAGCTTCAAATAAAAACTCTTTCTAACATTACGGTTGCAGCTATTATTTTTAGTGTCTTACATGCTGATCGAATGGTGCAATCTTTGGTCCTGCCAGTAAAGTATACCAGTCTTGTCTGCAGGCTTTCGGAAGCCATGACCTGAGACCAGATGAACCAGGTGTGTATGTCACCCATGGCGTGCCGTCTATTGATAGCTGGATTAGGCCTGCAAAAATGTTAGAATTCTTAAATAATCTTCGTTACGTTAGAAAAAAATATTAACGTTTGTTTTACTGTTATTTTTTTGTGAAGTGAGTTATGTAACCTAACATTAGTTAAGTTACATATATATATATATATATATATATATATATATATATATATATATATATATATACATATATATATATATATATATATATTTTAGTTAATAATTAGAAGCGCAAACCAAATTTTAGCAATCATCGCACACTTGAGGCCAAAATGAGCCCTTTAGTTTTTCCCATACTCATAAATTGTAATATAACATTTTCCTTTCCGATAATTTCCAATAGATCGACTACACTTATATTCATTATAGGTAACATAAGTGTCACTTGGATATAAGAACCATTACATAAGCCAAGTTAGTTTTCTCTTAGTCTAGCGTCGCAACCCCACTACCCCTAACTTTATGATAGTTTACAGTTGTAAACTATCTTAAAATAGTTATTCAAGTTTTAAACGATTACAGCCAGTTGAACCCAAACAAAGAGTTTCATTTAATATTTATTTGCACATCCCTCCAACATCCGCAACCGAACTTAAGTAGTGTGAGTCGAAAATTTCATTATCTTTTTAGGAGTCGATTCCCATTTCAAAAGTAGAAAACTAGGCCAGCCTTGCGATTGTAACTCACTTTTCCAACTCTCACAGCGGTTTCTGCAGCGGTCGTCGCGCTCAAATCATTCGCGAAGCAGTTATTTGGCATTCTGATAAACAATAAACTACAAGCTCCCTCCGCTTGTCAAGACGTAATGTGATATTGCGAAACAGAATACCATGAGATTCCAAAAATGACGTGAGTGACGAAAGGAGCGTTGTTAGTGCGAGGTGAACTCACGGATTAACAGAATCGCACGGCTGCTGTCGAGAAGATTGACTTAATATAATAAAACAATACCTGGTTGCCAGGTAAGAGAATATATATGGAAGTCATCACCCCAAGATGAGTTGTCTGTGCGCTGTTTTTTGTAATAATCAAAGACACGTTTGCATTTTGAATTGAGAATTGGTCTGCCTTGTAACACCTGCAATTTTGTTATTCTTAATACTAATACATTATATCTAGTTTTACAATGTATGATGAAGTTTTAATAATAAAAATAATTTAATTCAGACCGTTAAAAAGTCCATAATATATGTTAGTAAAGTAATACTTATAACTATGTTAGTAAAATTAAAATAAAAATTAGCAAAAATAATAATGACCTGCACACACTAAATTTGTTTCTCAAAACGCTGTTCTCATTTCAAAGCGGATACGGAAGCTCAAATAAATAAACTAAATTAGTATGAAGAGAAATCATAATTTTTAATACATTATGTCATTCGCTAAACGCACTTTAAAAAAAATTAAATGAAGATTTACGATGTAACTTTTAATTTCTTTTCACTTACTTTACTATTATACTTAGTATCGTTCAAGTTTCTGTTTCCTCTTGCCATAGCTATTTTAAAAGCTCCAGAAGAGTAGAACATACTACCGTATTTATTTGCTAATGGTTCTAGCAGCATCTCTAAAAAAAATATAATAATTTACATATACTTTAGGATAACTTTAAAACTAGACGTTAACTGGGCGCTCATTGGAGATGAATTGTTATAGAAAAGAAGACAACAGAGGAGAGAATTAATAGGTATTTCTTTACAGTCTACCAGTTGGTTAATTTACTGCCAGGGTATACCGTTTCTTCAGTATTTAAGATTTTTCTTTGATAAAAATTACATCAATATGTAACTTCGGATCAGTGTCAATATACTTGTATCTGCCTAAATTACACTATGAATTAAGGAAAAGTTCTTAAACCTGGGTAAATCCAGTCACCAATAGGCATTTTTGCTCTAATATGAATAGTCCCATATTTAAACGGTACGCGTGATCTCACCCTGCCACTGACAATAGGCGGCAAAATCATAGGCCCCATAGCATGCATAGCGCAGACTCGGCCAGTACATCTAGAAAAAGGATTTATGAAATATAAAGAGGAATCAAGAAAACAGTAAACACTAAAGATGCAAATGACATATTGGGATCGGTATACCATGGAATTAAAAAATAAGCATGTAATGTGATGTAATTAATAAATGATAAAGCATGTCGCGTATATAAGTAATCATACTTCATAGAATTGGAATGTTTAAAATGGTTACGACATCACAATTAATTCTAGAACAAAATATGACCAACAATTATTTATTTAGATGACATTGTAGATTATCATATTAATTCAAAACTCGGTTTATAACAAGATAAATGTGTCTAGTAATAAAACACGTCAAAGTAAACTTATGTACCCACTATAGAGATCTAAAGATCCCTTGTATAAGGACTCCTGATTGTATCCCTGCAGTTCAGTCTGGATCATCGCTTGAATATTAAGAGACCCACCAGAAACATATACAGTCCCACTATCAATATTCTGATATGACACAAATGGATGCTCCTGAAATAAGAAGGAACGGTGACGTGAATGACTTGACATTGTAGCGATACAAGGGGGATTCGTAAATACTATAATCAGTCTGATTGCACTGCACTCCTTAAAAAAGGTACTCTTTTGTTACTTTCTGTCAAAACATGTATACCCTGAGATGAAAAGAGACAAATGAGAACTTTAGTTAAATCGTTTTTTTTTATTGAAAAAGGGGGCAAACGAGCCTATGGGATGCCCAAAAAGGGCAATCATCGCAGTCCATGGACACCTATTTCACTATTTCAGTAGATGGGTTTTCGGCCTTTGTGAGCAGTTGAAGAAGGAGGTTGTCCTTAAACAATTGGAGGTCGTTTCGGGAGTCCATTTCACAATTCGCTAGTTCGCTTAAGAAAGTGTCTTGTAAAATACGTGGAAGACTTCCTGCAATCAAGGTGATGCTGATGAAATTTTCAATTGAGAAGGCTCGTACGGTGGCAGGTTTGGAAAAGTTAGCCTAGTAAAATGTATACGAGTAATCGGAAGTCGTAAAATTCAACTTCCACTGTGCTGCAATTGAATCTTCCAACTATGCGCAACAAAGAGGAAAACCGCATCATGTTCCGAACCCAAAAATTGACTTAATTGTCAAAGATTAAAAAGGATTATAGAACCTAGTGGATGGATGATTTGTAAAAAACTAATATCAAAACTATTTCTACAGTATACCTTCGAAACCGAAGTACATTTCTCCTGAATCCAGGATCAGCACAATATTTGCTTACCGGATGATCCATTGGTATATAATGTTGCACTTCCCATAGTTCTGGGTTCAAGAGATCATCGAAGTGTTCTTCCAATAATACATCACCAGCACACACCTCACCATTAGGTACTTTGGTGAGGCGAAATTCGGAGAGACATTCACGGTTATACACTGGTGGTAGCTCATTACGCTCATCTAGATCTAAAATATTATGACCAGCATTGAAAAGAAAATTATTCCTAATGTTTACTGCCAGTTCTTATCACACTTAGATCAGAAGAACTGGCACCTCTCCAACACTTTTAATCCCTAAGTTTTTTGTTTTATTTAATAGAAGGTTTAGAATAATACTTACTTGTTACATTAAAGGTATCAGCTTTAACATAGCCATTACAAAAGAACTGCCTGTTACTGTCGTCAGAAGGATCAGTAATGATACTGTTTTTGGTGCATAAAAATATATCGTATCGTATTACATCATCTATCCTTAATTTAATATCCGGTTTCTCAAATACCCAATAGCCCTTTGTTTCGTGAAAAACAAATTCGTCCAATCGGTATTTATGCACAGTGGAATTAAGCTCGACTTGTATACGAAGAAACTTAATTTTTGCATCTCCTGGAATGTAATTTGGTAATGGTGCGATAACGATGCACCCGAATCTGATGATACTGATTATGCAGGAGTCTTGGGGGACCTTCATTGGAACACCTCCAAGTGATTTTAGCTGCCGGAAATGCGTCAAAGTATTTTAAATTTTTTTTTAAAGTTTTGTGAAATGTATTGAAATTTGTAAACAATCCACCATTATCTACTTTTCTATTGGTTATAAGTGATGTGACATTTTCGGTAAATTAATCGGATCGATTATTTTCTCATTTGTTATTTTTAAAGTTTTTTTAAAAATACTTTGACGCATTTCCGGCAGCTAAAATCACTTGGAGGTGTTCCAATAAAGGTCCCCCAAGACTCCTGCATAATCAGTATCATCAGATTCGGGTGCATCGTTATCGCACCCAACCCACGTTAAAGGTACACTGTCACAGGGACCAAACTTTTTAAATTTTTTAAAATTTCTTTTGATTAATTTTTTATTATTATTAATATGACTATGTAGGTTAAGAAAATTGTAAATACTGTATATTTGTGTATTGGAATTTTTTAAAATACAATTAGATTTGACACGGAATAAACATTAATAATTATCTTTGTATTTATGTCATTGTCATTACAAAAATGTCTAAATTTTTTTTTCAATAATTTTACTTTTTTATCTTTTACCACCGAAGTAAAGACAATCTTCAAAAATTCCAACATAATTGAGCTAGAGACAAGATTTGGCCTAGAGATTTACCTTATAAAGATTTCATTATTTCCTTAATTTCGTCATTATACGCATCAAAAATAAGTTTGATAACCAAAACAGAAATTTTCATACCTGGCAGATATATTCTAAATCCCTTGGGTTTAAAAGCTTGCACAGTTATTTGTGGTGTAAAGCTGTCTTGCGCAAGCGCAGGCAATATAAATATTATGAATAAAGCGATTCGTGTGACGGCCATATTGTGACTGATCATAAACGACGCACGCGCACACTGAGGTCACTTCCGATAAGACGGGTTTGTGGTAAAGATTAAATATAGACATATCACATCTATAATTTTAAAAGGTTCGATATTATCGGGTAAGGCGCAGGAGTTGTGATGTCCGATGTCAGCCTCACTGTAGCATCCATATAGTGACAGCCATCAAAAGAGTAAGGGAGAGAGTGACTATCATGAAGTAGATTTAAAAAAAGAGAGATATCATAATGAAACGTTGAAAATCGGGTCGGAAAAGAGTGGGTCGAACCAATTCGACTTAGGGTTCTTCAAGAAAGGAGCGTACCAATTCTCACAAGGCCGGCAATGCCCTTGCGACACTAAGGGTAACACAAGTAAGGGTTCATCTGCTTATATATTTATATTAAACGCGTTAACTAATTGATTAAGCGCGGTAAAATTTAAAGTATGTTATTGGAAGGCGAGTTTAACAAAATACTTTTATACATTTGATACTTTTCCTATAATTATTACGAAGTTTGTATTGTCTAAGTAACTATGAAGTAGATGCATAGGAGCCAATATCAAATTTTGATTTTACTTCAACCTGCACCACCGCCAAGACTATCCATCTCTTTTACTTTAACTAGGGTCAAACGGGCAGGATGATATATATGTGCTTTTCTCGCTTAACGTATAAGTATCGCTATTCAGCGAGGAAATGCTGCCAGCATTAAAGGTAAACTGAGACCAAACTTTTTAAATTTGTTTTAATTTTCTTTTTATTAAATTTTAATTATTATGACTGTGTTACGTTAAGAATACTGTTTATTTAGTATATTGTGTATTTCAAAGTAAATAAATTGCTCTTAGTAAAAATGCAAAGACCTTGCTCACAGTCTAATAAATAAGAAAACTACAAATATCACATGATTATTAAAACTACAAAGGAAACAATGGATCCTCACCATCATAGTTTATTTACGTACAATATTTATCTGTACGAATACGGCTTCTTGGGAGTGTCTGCGATGATAAGGAATGCAGGTATAATAAAGAGGTATTTAAATTAAATTTCTTTTTATTTTGCAATCAAACAGCATTAACACGATACTGTTGCCGAAAAATACATATTTTGCTTTTATAAGTGAAGTAATAGCTTATATGAAAATGTTTTATTTTACATAATAATGCGTAAGACACAGATTATGTAATATAAAGAGTTGGTCTTCAGTCGATTATAATCTGTGCAAGATATACGTTAAATTGTGAGACTTTTATCACAATTATTCCGATGGATTGTAATGTAATTTTCCACTTTATAGTTCCTCAAGTAAAGACTCTATTTTTTCACATCTTCAATTATATTTTATTGTAATTACATTATTTAAACGAAAACATCATGAGGAAACTGGACTGTCTTACACGAGAAAATTTATTACCTGTTAGTGCCTGACGCACTGTAGAATTGTCAAAATAAAATTTATATGTCAATTTTGAATGCACAAGTAGTTTTGGGTTATAGAGCATAAACTCTAACAGAGTCGATGCTTAAAGGACTGGTATCAGAGAACCAAGTGGGAAGCCACTCGTCGCGGTGGTTCCAGAACTGGAGAGCAGCCTTCGCTGAACGATTCTTCCACGGCTTATTTGTCGCGTCCGGGAACTCGTTGATACCACCAACTCGAAGTCCGAGGGATATATAGAACTGTCAAAAGATAATATATTCAACCAAATAAATAAAGTAGAATTTAAGGTATATTAGTATAATTTAAATTTAATATAAAGTTTTGAAACATTTTCGTTTTGTTATATCAATTAATCAATTAAGTGTGATTACATAGTTTTAAATCTAATTACGCATATTACCAGTTCATCAAATGGTGCCATGGCGGATCCTTTCAACCATCTGGATGCTGCTCTAACGTGATGCTTAATTGCTTCTTGATAGAAGCCTTCACCCGGGTCTACCTCGCCGTACTTCTCACCATCCACATACATTTCAATCGCATCTGTACATCCGAACATATATTTTATAATAGAAAATGTCTTACAAGTTTTATTTTTATTACATAAATAAAATTTCTGTCTAGAGAAAAATGTCTTGAAAGGACGGCAACACACTTGACGCCTCATGGATATATTTATAAGTATCACTTCATCAGATGAGCCTCGAAACCTTTTTTTCGGATTAATCTAATTAATCAAATTATCTTTGATTTAATAATCAAAGTCCTCCGAACTAAGTCGACTGAATTAATAAAATTACGCTGTGATTTTTGCTTTTACTTCACGATCGCGTTTAACATGTTCACTGTCCTCTATCGATCACATCGTAGACACAATTTGAAAGAAAGAGACATGAATAAAATAATAATTAAGGTCATATACGTTTCAGTATAATATATAAATAGGTTTGAGTCATGCCGGTTTCTTCGCGTTGTTTTCCTTCACCGTACTCGTACAAGCGAGTGTTGAATGCACAAACACAGAAAGTCTATTGCTACACGGCCGTGATTCTTTAGTCAAATCTGCGTTAAAAGACTCATTGGTTTTGTGGACTCAAGGTTTATAATATATAAGTGGCGATCATGTTAATTTTACGTGATATTTTTTTATTAACACTTCGTTTTAAAAGCTGTTTAAAATATAAAATAATTTCTAATGGTTTTTATTACCTGGTGTCCAAACAAGAGTATAGTTATGATAGGCTTTATTCCAATTCTCGTAACCGACTTTTTCTTTCAGATACATACTCCTGGAAACAATAAAAACATAGGAATTGGTAAATTGCTAATAGTAATCGCTTAGTCAGTATTAGAATATAGGGGAAGATTGTTACCCTTCGTACGCGGGGCACATTCATACAGTCGAAATAAAACTTGAACGAAACAAAGTACAGTCTTGTTTTTGTATGTGTGCATGAGTCGAGGTACGAACTATACATAATCGAAGTTTCGCGAAATTCGCACCGATGAGAATGAAGTTACAGGCATGGACGTGTTTTCGCGCTCGGTAAGTAATTTTTTGATCAATGTTTTTGTCTCTTGTTACCGTAGATAAAATAAGTTTTCGTGTAGAGTATTCTATCAGTAACTAGCAAAATATACTTAGATACGTCTCCAATACTTAATTTATGACGTTTTCCTATTAATATTAAAATAAGTTATATTTTGTTGTTATTCAGTTAGTGGGGTACTTTCGGACAGCACTAGATGGGGCACATTTGAACGAATTGTACAACTAAATTTGTATGAAAATATTTTGTCGACACGAACTGTAATTTTCATACAAATTAAGTTTTCGACTTGCTACATACAAATAATAATAAGGCATCTTGACTAAACCCTCTGGTAGGTAGGAAAGATTGTGTTAGTGTGCTAATTGCTCTAATATTTCCATTAACTTTGTCCTGTGTTGCTATCATTGCTATCGTCGATGTATTTTTATTACCTATTTTTATTATCTTTATTAAGGTTGATTTTGATGCATGTGAACCAGATGCTTTGAATAATTTACCAATCCATCAAATAGTAGTTCCTTCGAAGTCAGTTTTGACACCTTAAGGGTTTCGACTCTATACGCATGTTGTAAGAAGTAATAAAACAAACAAAATGACGACGGCCAGGAAAACCACGAATTTATACTGCCACACCCGAAAATAAGAAGTGCTAATCCGCACCAAAGATTAAAGAATGTGATTCTAAATTTAAGATACCTAACTAATTAAATTTTGGTTTTCTTAAGAAAAGCTATGTAATTTTTGTTCACTATAATTAAAGTATTTTATTTTTGTTTATTAGAAGTTAAATCTTTATTTTTGTGTTTAATTTCATTGCTAATAAATGAATTTTGATTTATATGTGTCGTTTTAATCGCACGTACGGAACTACCCCACAGCGTACGAAGGTACCCTCAACACTGTACGAAGGTGCCCCGTTGATGGGGTAGATTCGTACGTTTTCCAGATTTAGTTTAAATCATAATTATGGTTGAACCATCAGATGAAATCATTTGTCATTTTCTTATATGAATCTCAGATAGTTAGACTATAAATTTAAGCTTGCAGATGATTGATTCATGGAAAAATAAAATAATAAAAAAATAAAATGTGAAAACCGTACGAAGGGTCCCGACCTTCCCCTACTAGCTGACGCGGCAAACGTTGTTTTGCCATGTATATTATTTCTGGGAAACATTTTTAGTTCAATATAAATAACTTTCTACAATTATAAAAAATAGTGGTTGATCGTAGAGGAGTACAAATTAGGGGTTTTTTATATGCTGTATCATAAAAAAATAAAAACAAAAAAACATTCTAAAAAATAAAAAAAAAATTGGGGTGGACACTCCTTATCACTTAAGGGTTTGAAAAATAGATAGTAGCCGATTCTCAGACTTACTGAATATGCATAAAAAATTTCATAATAATCGGTCGTGCCGTTTCGGAGGAGTATGGGAACGAACATTGTGACACGGGAATTTTATATATTAGATTATACATGTACATAAGCTATACGAGCACAGTTTAATACTGAAATCAGACATTACTGGATGATTAACACCTCGCGTGAGTATGCAAAACAGAAATAAAAATATTAATTAAGTTAACATTCTTCCATTTACAACTAAAATTTCTTTATGCAAAAAAGAAAGCTGAATATATATTCGAAGTTACAATATTACTTAAATCAAGCCTTATTACGTACCTGTAAGGTTCAAAATCGGACATAATCGGTCCTGCCATGAGCTTCTTTGCGTACTCCACATTCCCTTTAACAAGTGCAATCTTCAATAGACCCGAGGCATACCTCCGCGATCCGTACTCGTTGAACCGTGGCTCAAGCTGAATCTCTGAAATGTTATTGGAAATATTATTTACGATGACTTGATGTTTTGTGAACTCATAAGTACTAACTACTAACTGACGTGAGACTGATCTCAAACTATCGTGATTCATGTGCACTTTTTACTTTTTATTTATCATGTATCCTTTATGACTTAACAAACTAAACTATTGTTTTTTGTTACTGTTTAATTTTTTTCTTAATAACTGTATGTAATATGTATTTTGACACTTCTTGTCTACCTTAACTAATTTAAGAAACTTTTGTTTCTTTTCTTAAAGTGGAAGAGATCGCTCGAAAACGATAAGGCCGCCAGTTGCCTTCCTTTTCATTTAATTATGTTCAATGTTTATATTGTAATGCAACGAAGTGTTAATAAATAAATAAATGAGACAGATTTGTCGAAAATCTCATATAAAACTTGGGTTTGTACTGAGACTACTGTGAGGGTCTTATATGATGCACTGGTGAGAAGTCACATGGAACAAATTGGGCTACCTATGAAATTCAGTATAAGGTGATGTTGAAGCGGGTACAAAACAAATTTTTGAGGCACATCTATCTTAAGATGTTTACCCTTTTACCCACTAGTGTATCCGCCTTATTTATTTTTGGTGTGGACTACAACGAGCTTAGAGTACGTCGATAATTCGCGCTTGTGATGTACTTCACAAAATAGTTAGCAATTGCAAGAACAGTACTTTAGCACCATAGCTTCAATGTACCTGATGGGTACGTCAGAAAGCGACATCGTCCACCTAGGGCCCCGTTCGTAAGCTAGGACTAACCTTCTGAAAAGGGCACATATGATTCGGTGTATTAATTTAGTTAACGAATTACATGTGTTAACGGATCTTTTTCATTTTCCGTTAAGTGAACTGTCAAAAGTTGAATAAAAACGAATCAATTTTCTATACCTATAATTTTGTAGATTTACTTACTACAGAAGTAAGTTACTATCGTTTTGTTTATTAGTGAACTATTTAGAGCTGTAAAAATATTTCCCTTTAAAATCCTTCAATCCGATGGATATAATTTTTAATTAATGGTAGGTATGGTATATGTGCAATATCTATCGCCTGTACTATATTTCGTGCAAAGCAACTAACATTTCGTTCTAACATTCATCTAGTTAATTCCTAAGCATACGATACAACAATTGCAGTTACCCAAGTTTCTAACGAAGCAAGTTCGTGCTTTTATTTAGTTCAAAATTCGCTCACAGTGCAGCTTATTTTTGAGTACTTTTTAGTAATCAGTTACAACTATTTGATTTTACGTATTGTTAGTGTATCGTTGAATGAGCTTATCAAATTTATAGAAAATCAAGTAACTACTTATTGAATTAACTCAATTATTATTTTTAAATAATTTTATTGTAAAAAGCTTTATTAAAATCAAAAAGTAGAAATGCCACTCTGTTTTATACTTATATGAGTTTTATTGGTTGACACGATATAATTTGAGTTATAAATGAAATCTATTTGATTGAGAATTATAAAAAAAAAAAAAAACAAATCAGTGGCGCTACAACCTCTTTAGGTCTGGGCCTCAGATTTCTGTATCTGTTTCATGATTATTTGTTAATCTAATAGGCAAGTAGGTGATCAGTCTTTTGTGCCTAACGCATGCATTCGACTTTTTGGGTCTAAGGAAGCCGGTTCCCTCACGATGTTATCCTTCACCGTTCGAGCGAATGTTAAAATGCGCACATAGAAAGAAAGTCCATTGGTGCACAACCAGGGTTCGAACCTACGACCTCAGGGATGAGAGTCGCACGCTGAAGCAACTAGGCCAACACTGCTCAATATCACTGTAAATAATAATAACCTAAGATAAATATAAAGTATATAATAAGTTATACCAGGTATTAGCCAGTTTCCAAGCGGCATTTTGGCGACGACTTCAACTTTGCCATATTTAAAAGCAAAACTACGCTTGCTATTAATTTTCCCAGTAATGATCGGTGGTAGGATTTCTGGACCCGCTGCTTCTCTGTAACATTCTGGGGTGCCAATTTTGCCAGTACACCTAAAAAAAAGGAACTTAAAATTTCCCTTGTAGAGCAAATAACCTATAAAGTGTTGCTTAGATAGTATTTGGTAAATTATGAACGAGCTAAAACTAAGATTCTCAATGTGATTCCACCAAACTTGGTTGATGATCTGAGGGCTCGACGAAAAATTCCAGTTCGACAGTGTGTCTGTATTTCGGAATTTTTATAGCATGGGCATTAGGCATCTTCAAAAAACAGTCAATCGCTATGCTAAAGAATAGAACTCCCGCTAAGCGTCTATATTTCGGAATTATAATAGCATGGGAATCTTAAAAAACAGTTAAAAATCATTTTATAATAAAATTCACGATTTACCTTACCCTGCATTTATTTTGTATAAAAAATTAAGCACAATGAAGTCCATGTAACAGAAGATTAATATAATAACTGTACCTCCAATGATGCAATTTGACTACGAAACCCAACTTTGAGAAACATACTAATGATGTTGCAAACGTCACATTACGTGGAACGAAAACTCAATTTTGAAGTCGGACCAATACTGAAGTCGCGTCAAGTTCAGGCTGGGAGATTTTCTGATCCATCTTCTTTGACACGTATAGAAAAACTTACTTAAGCGTGAGGTCTAGAGTTTCCCAAATAAATCCATCACCATACTTCGATTCGAGGGTCATTGGTTCTATTATCAACTTTCCGTCGTCAGATCGCACATTTTTGTCATACAAATATACGTTGAATGGAAAATCCTGAAAGTTTAAATTTTTTTTAATACATTTAGATGATATTATATTTATGGCATAACGGGGAATAATAATATTATTCTTGTGAACAAAATGTAATGATCACTTCTAATATTTTACTTAAAATTAACTTTTTGTATCAGTAGTTAATATATATGAAGAATGGACTATATGTATTCGTTGTTTGTAAAACACGTGCTATAGTATAAAATTAATTGAAACTGAAAGTGATTTCCAGCAGTGATTGTTCCAAAATTTTTAAAAATTATAAGCAAATGTCTTAATTTAAGCAACAATACTCCACACTTATACGTGTAACCTACCGGCAATATATCACAATTTTTATAATAATGTGATCAGTAATATAATTTTTGCACGTAATTAATTGTAAATTGTAAAAAGATGGTAAATAATTGTAATTGTAAGTCAATATAATGAAAACTTTGTTTGCATTAAATTGTATATTTATAATAAAATAACAATCAAAACATTTATTCCACTGGGAAGTAAGGTAACAATTTGGTTTTTAATTAGGGTTTCCTGGAAGAGATCGCTTTGTAGCAATAAGACCGCCCTTTGTAACGTGTTTTTTAAGTTAATTGTCAATTTAATTGTGTGCCAAAAGTGTAATAAGTAAATAAATAACAAAAGAAGTATCTACACTAAAGTTTAGCTGTCCCTTGGAGAGGGAGATGAGCTCAGCTATTGGTCCATAATCACCACAACACTAATATAAAAAAGAACAGAGAAAGTAACGAACTTAAATAGCATGATAGAACTCATAGGATAAAATACTAATACAGTACATACTGGTGCATTAGGCATTTTAATTTCAGGTGTCCATATCCTCCCCTTGTCAATATCACCATCAAACGTATCCTCAAACAATAATTGACCCTTGCAAACAAACCCTGGTGTGGTCACTTTAGTCAGGGATATCTCGCACGGGTATTTGTAAGGGCCGGAGGAATCTGTGGTTGGTTTTGGGGCCTGAGTGGTGGAAGTTGTGGTGGGAGGTGTGGTGGTAGGCGTAGTGGGAGGTGTAGTGGGTGGTGTGGTTGTTGGCGCTTCGGTTGTGCCATCTTGAACTATAACAGGGTTGCCAAATGCGTCAACGTATCCTGAAAAGTGATTAAATTTCATAAAACGGCGTTAACTTGCTACTACTACGGTACGGTGACCTTTCGTTGGGACATATCGTACAAGAAACAAATAAAAGGGAAACAATGGAAAGAAAGGAAAGACAAGAAAGGAAAGAAAAAAGAAAGAAGAAAGAAATAAATGAAAGCAAACAAAAGAAAGAAAAGAAAAGAAAAGAAAAAAAGAAAAGAAAGAAAGAAACGTAACAAAGGTAAGATAGGCATGAAAGGAAAGAAAGAAAACTTTATAATATTGTAAAATGCTAAATTTAAGTCACAGCTTTATGATGATAATACATCGCAGTTTATTGTAAGAACAATTACGTTATTGACAATTAGGTTAATACGGCAAACGATATGGATGATTCTGCTGTAATTAAACAAAAACTTGATCTACCTATGTATAAAAATATCTATGTACAAAAAAACAGTCTCCACACTGGAGACAAAAAATCACAAATTCTTACTTTAATTTAAACTACTCCTTATTAAGACTAGCCCAAAACAAATCTTCAGCATTATAAAATGAGTATACTTAAGATTTCTATAACAAAAAATGTCCAAAACTTTTAGATTTTCAAAATATACATTAGTCTTAATCTGCCTGAAATAAGAGTAGTTAAAAACCAAACGTAAAAATTTCCTATGAAAAAACGTCCCGTAGTAATGACGATTAGTATTTTGAATAAATACAGCTGTAAAGTTTGACTTACCATCCACAGTCCACTCTCCATCATCTTGTCGGTGCCCTAGTCCATTTTTAATAGCAAAGGTCCAAAAGTAAACCTTATCTCCCATCTTCAACTCCACATTATTATCTCGGAATATCCATTCTCCGTTATCCGCTTTAGGTATATCTGCTGACCAGGTACCACCTTCGAGGCCATCCATCTCTTCGTTCAGCTTTCCATGGAAAGCGACCAAAGAGAAGCCGTCATCTGAAAATGAAAATGAAAACTTTATTTGAGGTTTACCTATTTAAAAAAAAAGTGCGTGCGTACAAAGTACACATGTCAGAAGTGAAACTCCTTTGTAAATTAATTATTACTAAGGTAAAAGCCCCAATAGATGATCATGTACCAGTATATGATCACTCCATGTATTTGTATATTTATATTCACACTGTGTACGTGCTGATGATAATATAAATAAATAAAAAATCTGCGTTTACTGCACGCAAGATGTTATGCGACAGAATTGCCATCTAAAGTTCTAATATGTAACTACGAAACGAATACATCAACCAATAGCGTGTATTTCGCCCTTTCTCACTCTCCCTCAATCGCTCTCTCCTTTTTCTTCGATAAAAACGCTGCACATCTTCGTGACGCTAATATTATTATTATTATGCGTTTCATCCGTAAAAATTTTACCCTCATGCGCCTAAAGAAGTTTCACTTTAAAAAATATTATTTACAAAAGCTTGCCAACGCTCGGCACACTGATACATTGGTACTTAACAACCATAAAATACAAGATTTAATGTGATTAACACTCATATGCAAAAGATACATCGATTCATAAATTATAAAAACTAAAGGATAAATGATTTGCGTGACGGGAGCAACTATGGATATCCAGACCTAGCTCGTTTATTAGAATCCTCAATCGGTGAGTTTTGGACAAAACGCGTTCTTCTGAAAGGAGGGACAAATGGGATGATGCCTTTGACAATTGGTTAAATACATTATTTAATATGTCTAGTCTTCAAGGCAGATTTTGATGCCGGATGTGTTGTTTTCTAATTAATCGCACTTTGAGTATAACTTTTACAAATTTCCCCAGAGATTTAACACTAAAACATAAAACCTGAACATTAAAGTTTTTGTGTCTCAGTTAAATAAAAGTACGTTTAAAGCAAACGATAATTTAGTGTTAGGGACATTCTTAATCTAAATCTCAAGTCTACGTGTACGACTTTGGAGAAATTTTAAATAATCAAAATAATAAAAATGAATCGCAAAATGATGCTAAGCTTAAAACTCGAGACGGCTGGGGACTAATTCGAGAATATTTTTTAAATTAATTTTATGTACTCAGAGTAATTTTTTAAAAAAATTCACGGACACGCCTAGTCTCTATGGGGTAGCAATTAGTATAACAAAAAGTAAATCATATTACGGCGAAACGAAGTTCGCGGGGATAGTAAATTAATATAAAATACTTTATAAGGCCAACAACGTAACCATAAGCCTCGCATAGCAGTTAATTTGATATGATTTAAGAATGTATAACCATATTCCTTAATCGATATATTAATTATTTTACAAAATGGCTGGTTTGCGGTTTTTAAATCTAGCCGCAAATTGTGAGTTAAATTATAATTAACAGTCCTATGCTATGTATCGTTAGTTAGTAATTGATTTTAACGTTTCATGCAACAGAAAATACACTTAATAAAACACTATTTTGACCGGATTGAAGTTATGTATTATTGTAAATTTACAACTATTTAACATAATTTTAAATTTATCCGACGTTTCGCGTGCTTTACAGCGTGCGTGGTCACGGTGACTGAAGACAAAAGATGTTGAATGTCAAAAAGTATCACAGCTGCAGAGAAAGTTGCATTATCTGTATTTATTTCCCCGGAGTTGGTATCGACTAAAAGATGGAGGGTTTTGGCAAAAATGGCTTACGGTGTCCTCTATTTTCGCGGATTGTGTTTCTTTTTGAGATTTTAATTTGGATATTATTGGATCCCAGGTGTTTGACAATTTTAGGCCGTCTTCTCTATTGAAATTGGGGTGTTTTTTGATTTCAATGGCTTCGCGTACCAATCTTGGGAAGAATCTTTTCTCAGTCACAATAATACATAACTTCAATCCGGTCAAAATAGTGTTTTATTAAATGAATAAAAGTTATGTTAACCAAAGACAAGAAAATACACTTTTGAATTAACCGAAGCAATAATGGGATAGTTAATATTTGGAGTATAAGGTATACGGCGAAGACGTACGTATTGGCAATTGTCAAATTATATGTCTTAGACATGCCGGTTTGCGTTTGTCTCACGAGCAGGTTTCATTCCACACAGAAAGAAAACTTAGTCACGATAATAGTGCATTTAAGCACACCAATTAATTAATTGTGGTGCTACAACCTCTTCAGGCCAGGGCCTCACATTTCTGAATCTGTTTTATGATTATTTTTCAATCTAATAGGCAAGTAGGTGATTAGCCTCCTGTGCCTGACACACGGCGTTGACTTTTTGAGTCTAAGACATGTCGGTGTCCTCACGATGTTATCCTTACAATGTTTTCCTTCACAGTTCGGGCGAATGTTAAATACACATAGAAAGTAAGTCCATTGGTGCATAGCCGGGGATCGAACCTACGACCTCAGGGATGAGAGTCGCACGCTGAAACCACAAGGCTAACACTTCTCGGACTAGACTAGGCACAAAAATAATGTCTAAAATAAAATAATTTTCCATCTCATAATATGTAAAGAAAATGAGTGAAAGACGGAAGACTGTGACAGATCTTGAGTATATTTACAAGGTAATGGATAGTATTATTACTTAAGGAAGTCTATACTTAAAACTTGGCGATTAAAATGAATGGCGAAGAGTTTCTTGCCCTCTCTACACTCTTGACTGCGAACTAATAAATGTAAATTTAGCATCAATTTAACATATTTTCTGTTGACGTTTATAAGTGTACCCTAGGGTGATGGGTAGATAACGGTAGGGAACAAACTGGAGTTGAACTGCACAATTAGTGAAAATTAAATAAAAACCAGTGCGGAGCCTACGAACAAAGGCTTCACCATCACGTGAATGTCGCGGCTATTCAACTTCTTGACACCAAGTGCCTAGTGAGAAGACTGAAAAGGACAAAACCATTTGAATTTGTGATTAGTGTTAGTGCACGTTAGTCTTAAGTGCTAAACAGTAGTAAGTCAAACAATAGAACAAAGGTCTCCTTAATAGAGACTGTAAATAGTGTTATTGGACACTTTCTTATGTTAAATATCCTTTTTAGTAAATTAGGTTAGACTAGAATTACTTAGGTCTTAAGTTAGTCTAGATCGTAATGTCATAATGTCTCAGTGAAGAGATAATGTTTATAAAATAAAGGATTTCGGAGATATTTATCAATATAATTTTCGAAGATATTTATCAATATCATGTAATGTAATAAACCTATTTTAAAGTCGGTTAAAGAATCCTAAGATCGTAACATATGATACGCGTTAAGGAAATACCAGACATAATCATCCAATACATATACAAGTTATGCATCATCGCTTCTTTATTGAGATTTTTTCCTAGTTTATTCTCGCACGACTTTGTATACAAGTTTAATTACAACATTGTTGGACATTTATTAAGACGAAACATTACAGTTTTTTAAATGTAAAACTGTTCTGATTTTCTCTTGATTTATATGTTAAATGTCATAGTAAGTTTTGTTCATAATATCCTTTTCCACATTATAGTCAGTGATGTTAGCTTTAAAAATATTAAATAGTTTTATACAGTCTTCTGTCTTTATGTGAGTAGTGTTGGCCTAGTGGCTTCAGCGTACGACTAGCATCCAAAAAATCGTAGGTTCGATCCCCAGCTGTGCACAATGGACTTCTGTATATGTGCCTTAGACACAAAAAAGTCAACAGAAGACCCTACTAGCCTTTTAGAAAAAAACAAGAAAACACCAAGTGGTGACGGACTTAACAGGTTGAAGTGCAACTTTTAATGTATTTTTTTAGAGTTTAGTGACTAAGTCACAAAGCATGCAAACTACTGGCATATATAATATCGATAATAATAGCATTACTAGCACTTATCACATACTTTTATTAAAACAATTAATAAAAATATAATGAAGATTTAATATAATCACAATAAAATGAATGTAATTAAAAAACTCAGCCTCACTTTATCAACACAGAGCCTAAACCACTAATTACAAATAACATCAAGATTTGGAGTTCGACGACTATTTTAGAAAATAGAAAATTTTTATTTATAAGTAAATCTACAAAAAGCTATGCAAACATACCTGGTATAATCACTTTGAGTCCTTTGGGATAAATTGCTTGGAACTTCGCTTTAGGTACTTCATAACACAACACATAATAAAAACTAGAAAACAGCAATAAAAACTTAAACATCACAGAAAACAAGAGATGCTTACGCCGGTCGACGGTAGAATAATGTTAATTACAAAATACCGGGTTTTATATGAATAATATTTATGTTTAACCAATTTCTCAAGGTTAGTAGCAATTTATTGATTCGTATTTATATATTTAGTAACGGTACCCACATTTTTTGCAGTTCTGTGAACTTGTTTGTTGTAATCGCGGTGTCTGACACGATTTAAAAGTATCGTTTTAAATATCGAATAAGTTGATGTTTTTAAAACTCGGCAAGTTGAATAATATCAATACCGATTTTGCAGTAATCATTTTATTTTAAACATAATAAATCATAGGTAGTTTCAGTCCACTTCACAAATACCTTTCTGTTTAAATAATAATAATATTTTATATGTTCGTGAATGTCGAAAGAATAAAAAAATAAATAAATCAGTGGCGCTACAACCTCTTTAGGTCTTGTCCTCAGATTTATGAATCTGTTTCATGATCATTTTTAAGCCTAATAGGAAAGTAGGTGATCAGCCTCCAGTGCCTGACACACGCCGTCGACTTTTTGGGTCTAAGACATGTCGGTTTCCTCACGATGTTTTCCTTCACCGTTCGATCGAATGTTAAATGCGCACATAGAAAGAAAGTCCATTGGTGCACAGCCGGGGATCGAACCTACGACCTCAGGTATGAGAGTCGCACGCTGAAGCCACTAGGCTAACACTGATCATATGTCGAAAGAAGGATTTCTAAATTTAGATCCGACATTTTAATAAAAACTCTTAGCTAGCATTATTAAAAGCCAGAGATAAAACAGTGCAATTCGACTGTTTAACTTTTAACAATAATTAGTGGCTATTTTGATATATTCATTTTTATCTACATATTTTGACAGTGATTCAATGGCTAAAGCGGTTGCAGTCGGTCTTGACTTTTTTGGTTTGCTCAGGAACTGCTCGAGCGGTCCGTGTATTGCGAATATGAATTTAGTATGGAAGCTGCAGATCGCCGTGCGGCGACCTCTCTACAGCAGTCGGTCTTGACTGCAACATGCGGTCCGTCTATGGCCCGCTTTATAGAACATTTATGACTAAGTTAGTTGTGTTTCATTACTGTAAATGGTCTAGATTTAAAAATTATTTGTACCGAGTGTATTGTGTCTTTTTTTACACTTTGTGTTGTAACTTAGCTTAGGGTAAAAAAATGAATAAAAAATCAGTTATTTATTTTACAAAAATATTAGACTTTAAAGTATGTATTTAGAAAAATCACAGCGAGTATATCCTAACATAATCCACTTTCATCTGTGATTGGTACCACGTGGGAAACCAGGAGTTCTTGGCCTGCCAGAAGTCAAACATGGCCTTGCTGCCACGGTTCTTCCACGGTTTGTCTGGAGCGTCTGCAAAATCATGGATTCCACCCACACGAAGACCTAGCGACACGTAGAACTGAAATCAAACAAAAATTTGAGTGTTTGGAAAAATTAAAATTAAAAAAAAAACTCCTTATTTGTTTTAATATCTTTTATTTGCGTAAGAAATAAATAATAAATAATGTCAAGTTTATAAATGAGATATTATTTGATATTTTCTTTTCTCGTTCAATTTTAATTTTTGTCAATTGTCAATTTTGTTTCAGTAAATTATGTTTGTCGTAAGAAGAGACGTATAGTGCAGTCGAACATTAAACCGTATTAAATATTTAGGTTATACATTACATAATAAACATTTTTTATATTATTTATATAACAAAATCAATGAGATTGAAGTACATTAATGAAAGGTTATTAATTAAGCTAATTTAATTTACCGATAAAAGGCTATATATATTAATATAAATAATATATAGCCTTTTATCGGTAAATTAAATTTCCAACACAATAATAATTGTTTAATTCGAGTCAGTAGACGTTTAACCATTCAAAACAAACTTTGTAGATTTATAATACTGTTCTAGAGGATAATTAGGTGCATGCTATTTCTGCTTATGTCACTCGGAGGATTTGACGTTTGACAGGACGGGACATTGCGCGCTGACTACCTCAAGTCTCAAACTCTCAACTCATTCCTTTTGTAGTCGGGTGCTTGGATGTGGCTTCGATTGATTTGTTTTTTAAATTAAATACCCTTCTGTTCGTCAAGACTAGTAATTTTTTTAGGGTTGCCTGGAAGAAATCGCTAGTTAGCGATAAGGCCGCCCGTTGCCTAATAACTTATGTAACCTGCTTTTTTTTGTTTTTTATTATTTGTATGATTTTGTTTATTTTTATTTTTTTATTTTATTTTATTTCAAAAGGCACACTAACGAAACACATACAAACACTTACAGAGAACACATAACATAGAAAACAAGATACATGCATGTGCATCAATAACAAGTGTGCACAACATTTATAGGGAAACATTACAATGATGAAGAGAAAATAACTTCAACATTAAAAGTAAAAAACAAACTAGATTAAAAGAAATACAAACATGCAATTTACAAATACATATAAAAAAAACAAAACCAATAATTTTCAACTTTGCAATTATCACTATTGGTCACGGATCAACATTGGCTGCAGCATCTTACGCCTGAAGACATGGAGACTGTCACTAAATGGATCTGCTTGGCATGTACTCAGAGCGTCGTTTAATGTCGATAGAGATCTGTGTAGAGGAGCATTACAACCGACGTTGGTCCTCACTGCCCGAACGTAAAAAAGGATTGAAGTGTTTCTTGTGTTCCTCTTTAAGAGGAAGTTAACTTGACTTAAAACATTAGGTAAATCTACCAAGTTATTTAAAATTTTGAAAACAAATATAATGTCGATAAGGCGGCGTCTATCGCGGAGTGATTGTAAGTGAAAGAAAGCTAGTCTTTTTTCATACTCGCATTTATAGCTAATGTTATTATTTAATCGGCATAGATGTTTGGAGAAATGGCGGTTAATTCGTTCGATTCTGTCAACATGGACAGAATATTGAGGGTTCCAAACAACACTACCATATTCCAAAATGCTACGGACCAGAGAATTGTAAAGTATGATTTTAGGCTTCACATTCTTAAAACACTTAGTCGACCGCCTTATGAAACCTAACATTCTAGAAGCTTTATTGACTATTGCATTGTAATGTGGTATGAACGATAAATTACTATCTAGTATTACTCCTAAATCCCTAATTTCATTGACCTGCAGTAGTAGTACTCCATCGATAGTGTATTTAGAGGGGACTGGTAGTTTCTTTTTAGAGAAAGTAATTTGCGAACATTTTTTGGCATTTAGAACCATTTTGTTATGATCGCACCACCTCTGTATACCCACTACGTCACTTTGCAATACCTCCACATTTTGAGCGCTATTAATTACTTTAAAAATTTTCATATCATCCGCATACAAAGAAAAATTACTATATTTAACAAACGAACCAATATCATTTACAAAAAGAGTAAATAGGACAGGACCAAGATGAGAACCTTGTGGAACACCTGATGTGGAAATGTACGATTGCGATTCTACACCACCAACTGCCACAAACTGAGTTCTATATGTCAAATATGACGCAAACAATTTTAAAAACCCCCTCCAATACCATATAAGTAATCCAACTTTTTCAATAAAACACTATGACTAACTTTGTCGAAGGCACTAGAAAAATCTGTGTAAATACAGTCAATTTGTTTTCTCTCATCAATTGCATTTGCCAAAAAATTTACATACTCAAAGAGATTAGTATCAGTAGATCTTTTGGCACAGAAACCATGCTGAGCAGTATCTACAAAAACTTTACAGTGTGATTTGAGTATTGGGCATAGAAGCGATTCAAAAATCTTAGAAAATGTATTCAAAATAGAAATAGGTCTGTAGTTCGTAACAATATTTGTCTCACCCTTTTTAAATATCGGTATGATTCTAGCTTTCTTCCACATTGTCGGAAACGTGCCTAGTTCTAGTGATTTATTGAAAATTAAGTTTAATGGTATCGTTAAAGAAGAAAAACAACTTTTAATAAAAACTGGGGGAATGCCATCTGGACCACACCCTTTAAAAATATCTAAAGTCTTAATTTTGTTTTCAATTTCTTTTTCAGTAAATCTAACAATGCACAACGGTAAGACATTACACATAGTGGGATATTGAGATTCACTTATTATACTAATATCATTGCTACTGAAAACTGATTTAAAGTGCTCCGCAAATAAATTAGCTATTTCGCTAATTTGTGTGGCTTTTTCACCACCTCGATACATTTCTTGTGGTATTGTATATGAGTCTTTCCTTTTGTGTTTAATGAAGTTCCAAAAATGTTTTACATTTTTAGATATATTGTTTTCAACATTACTAATATATGCTTTATATTTATTGCTGATTAGTTTATCACAACGAGTACGAAGCAATTTAAATTCATACTCATCACGTGGGTTACCAAATTTTCTAAATTTTTTTCGAAGCTTATTTTTCTCTTTAAGCAGTCTAATGGTAGCTTTATCAAACCACGGCGGATAATTAGATTTTAAGATTTTGGTTCGAGGCACATGAGCTGTAATGATCCCATTAATTTTGTTATAAAATGCTGCAACCATGTCATCTATGTTACCACTTACATTTAGCGCTTCTATCCAATCAATGTTATGCATGTGACTATTAATTGCAGTATAATCTGCCTTAAAAAGTTTAAATTAGGCAGCTACTGCCTTATTTTTAACAGACTTACAAGAAGTATGCATAGGCAAACATATTACAAGTGGAGGGTGCAGAATATCTTTTTTAATTAGGTGACTATCTGCTTCCCGAAGAGTCAAAGCAACATTTGAAAGAACTAGATCCAATATTCTCTTATCACTATTAAGAACATAATTGTATTGATTAAGACAGGCTAGAGATATAAAATCCATTAAAGTAACACCAAGTGAACTATTGCTATCGTTGACGGGGGCCAGGGTATTAGGGATGTCACCGGGACACCAAGATAAGCAACTGAGATTCAGGTCTCCCAAAATCAGAACATCATCGAGTGAGGCAATGGCATCACTCGCCCTACCAAAAAAGCACTGCGCCTCCCTCTTGTCTACCGGAGACGGAAGGTACACCACACATAGACCTAAATTCTGTCGTCGACCACTCTTCTGCAAGGTCATGGATATCCATAAGTCTTCATGGTCAGATTCTAGCTGCATCAAACGTTTACTAGCAATACTTTTTTTAATTGCTATGAGGACTCCGCCGCCTCTTAACTTAGTAGTAGAATTTCGATCTTTGCGATATACAGTGTATCTGGAGTCAAATAGTTCTCCGTTACCAATTTCAGGCAGCAACCAGGTCTCCGTAAACACAATAGCGTCATAGTCCTCATTTAGGCAGCTGGCATAAAGATCGTTTGTTTTTGTTCTCAAGCCACGCACATTTTGATAGTAGATATTAAGAGAGGAAACCTTAGAGACCGATGTGACTGGTATGATTGACGATTTATCATAACCGAAGGTTGTTTAGGTGTTCCACCGAGATGATACGTTTGGCTGGTTCACCCTCACCCTTACGGATATAGATGTTTCCGTTTCTGACCCATGTGAACTTGATGCCCAATTCTCTGCACTTTAATCTGGTAGCAGCCTGAAGACTTTTCCTCTCAGGACTCAGATGTTCAGAGACATATGCAGGAGCAGAATTCCCTCCAATCCCAATCAGACTGGTATTTAATTTTCCATTTGGATTATTTTTGTTGAAACTGAAGGCGGCTGCCAATAAAGTGTCACGGCAACGACTACTACGTAGTTTAACCACCACTGACCTTGGCCATCCATTATTAGGGTTTTTCTTTGCCACTCTAAAGCATGACAATATATCGCTGTCATCAATGTTACCGGAGACTACTTCACTAATTCTTTCAACCGTTTTGACCAGATTTTCATTTTTGAATTCAGGTAGGCCGTGAATCTCAACGTTTGCCTCCCTTGTGTGTGTTGTTCCAGGTTAGACAGCCTAGCTAACAGGTCACTCACTTTTCCCTCGAGTGAAGAATTCATCCCTAACAATTTTTTTACCTCTGAGTCACGCTTTTCAACCAAAGATTTCAATTCCTCATATCTTGTTGTTGCGAATTGCACAGCTTCCTTGAGAGACGCCATTTCTTCCTTTAGCGGTGATATTTCAGACGACACAATTTCGCGTAAAATTGTAGGCATTTCTGCAATAAGGATTGCTCGAAGCTCGCTTCTATTAATAAATACTCTCTCATCCTGCACCACCGGTGAGTTGCGACGTTCTTCATCATAACCGGTCTGCTTGGGCCCGCGAGTGGGCGTCTCGTTATCAGCTATTTTTTTTGTAGCAACTTTACAAGCTGGGCATTTCCAGGAAGTTTTAGCGTCCTTAGAAAGTTTCTTGAAGTTGCTTGTATTAATATTTACACAAGAATAGTGAAATAGATGAACGCACAAACAACAGCGCATGCTTTCGATTGCTAAAAGCGACTTCTTGCAACCTTCGCAAACATTCATTTTTATTAAATATATTTCCGTAATTGCACAACAATAAATGCTCTCTTAAAAAATGTCTCAGTCAAAAATTGCACTGCAATAAATGCTCTTCACAGTAATGTACGTTTCTTTATACTTTATATATTTTAAGCAACTCACAATAACGGTCGTTGATCCAAAATAAACACGTATTACACATGAAAACTGTCAATCTGGGATCTCAATTCACTTGCACATAGTTTTTTTATAGTTCACAATTTATAGTCACCAACACAAAATCACTTTTGAAAAGTCGAATTATTTGTGTATAATCCGTACTCCACAAAGCACCTATCACTTCCAGAGATGGACAATTCACTAATATTGCCTTACTATTGCTATTTATGATATATTTCTACTTTTAACTATATTTAATTAATTATGTTATGAGGGCACGATGTGTCTGTTATGACTACCCGCAAATAATGATATTTATTATGGTAACGAAGTGTAAATAAAATAATAAATGAGATACGATTGTGTTCGTTTTTTAAAATTGTATTATCCTGTTTTCATGTTCGTATATTAATATATTTTTAACTATTGAATAATCCCTGTTAAGTGTACCTGTGTGTCATTAAAATGGTGTTTTTGAACCCATCAATGGATTTATTTTTCCACGAGCGCAATTTACACTTTATTTTACGATATTATGATGAAACCGTGTTAGACTAACAAAGGTCTAATAAAATAAAACGTCTCAGACACTTCTTATTACCTATAAAGAAAAATATGTATGTAGGGAGATTATATGATGTGATATTTAATAAATATGTATATTAGGACATACACCGTGTCCTAATACACATATTTATTAAATAAAATATTACAGTTTAAAAATGATAAAAAAGAATTAAAATCACAACAGGTTTACAGACTAAACAATAATACTCGTATTACAAAGAGAATGCGTGTAGGGTATGGGTGTGTATATAAGTGTGTATATATGTGTGTGTAAAGAATTTTAAATAATTTTCACATATCCACTAACCACTTGATCAAGAGGTGCCATCACGGATCCTTTGAGCCAAGACGCTGCGTGGGGTACGGCGTGCTCTCTCGCACTGGGGTAGAAGCCTTCGCCAGCAGGTATTGAACCATACTGTTCTCCATCAACAAGTAGATCAATACCATCTGTGAACATAAGTAGAATGTTTATTTAATTTTCGGACGTCTTACGCACCGCAGTTTCTAATCATTTTGCGATTTTCAGAATACATAATATTACTTGATACTTGATGCGAGGAAATACTGACAGCATTACAGGTACAACACTGCCACAGGGACCAAACTTTTTAAATGTGTTTAAAATTTATTTTTATCGCGTACAATATATTTATTACTATGTTAAGAATATTGCTAATACCGTATATTTGTGTGTTGGAAAAAAATGTATTTAAGGCCAAATTTTTTGTATAGCATGTTTCCAATAAATTTGTTTTCTCTAAGAAAAATATATTACGTAGATATTTTTCTTAGAGACCAAATGTTTAACTGTTTTACAAATTATTTATTTATTTTCGCACATTTCGACATTGCCGCCAAAAAAAAAGGGTGCCAACCATTTAGTTCATTATGTATAAAGATTTCATTTCTATGCGTCGAAAATTCTGTTTTAAATTTAGAATTACTTGCTTTTATAGCAGTAGGTGCTTGTTAAATAAAAGGCCGTCAAAACATACCTGGCTTCCATATCAGTGTGTAAGTATGATAATCCTTATTCCAGCTGTCAATCCCGATTTTCTCCTTCATCAGATAAGTCCTGTATGGATCGGTATCGGAGAGTATTGCACCTCCGTAGAGTTTCTTTGAATAGGTCGGGTTCCCCTTTGCGAATGCTACGCGAATAAGTCCTGATTCGTATCTTGCGCTTCCGTAAACTTTATCGTGGGGTTCTAAGTTTAATTCTGGTAAAAAAGTTACGAAAATATTATATGCTTATTATGTTTTTTAGAGATATACGAATGATAGTAATAATCAATTGAAATTTGATGATTTTTCATAGATTTATTTCTTGTTTATTAATTTTCTTAGACAATTTCCATAGTACGATCGTATACATCTATTTGCTTAACTCAGAAAGCGTGAAAGAAGAGCGTATTATGTTATATTTTAGATAATAACAAAATTTGTTTATGCACTCCGTGTTATCAAATGACCTTCATATTTTTATCTCACCTGGTATCAACCAATTGCCACCAGGCAATTTGGCTCTTATTTCGATTTTTCCAAATTTAAAATTGAACTTGTTTTTAGTAGTAACTTTGCCGGTGTATACAGGAGGCAGGATTTGCGCTCCCCACGCTGTGCGGTTACATTCCCTTGTGCCTATAGTGCCTGTACATCTGAAAATTAATTACATATAATATGTATGAACAGCAGGCGACGTATACCGGCTTCGTATAGCCATATGATATATTTTGAAAATAAATATAGCATATTACCGTGGTATTGTGAAAGAATTTTTAAATGGGTCTAGTAGTTTATTATATAACATAAATATACAAATCTTTATTTTTAATACATATAGATCTTTTTCAAACATTTTTATTTTAAATTATATTCCATAAATATTAAATGCAATTAATTTTTGTACATGTTTGTTACGTTTGATATTGTTTTTTTTAGTCTGTACTGATAGATGTCCCACTCTACCCACGCCATTACGTTTCTTTATAGTTAACTTGAGAACCTTTCAAAATGGCACAGAGTTTTTCATAAGGTATCTCAGAATAAAGCCTCAATTTCCTATATAGCCTACAACATGCCCATGTATCTTTGATAGATACATGGTAGTTTCAAATATTAGGTTGTCCGTTGGGTTTCTTGCTATCGTATCTTTTACACTTCTTTATAAATATATGTTTTTTATACTTACGTATTGCTTAAATCCAACGATTCATCCAGGATTCCTTCTCTAAACTTGTTCTCAGTCAGCAATGGGTAGATGTTTAGGGCGCCGTCTTCCATTTTTAAACTATCGTCTGACAGATAAATGTTGAATGGATAATCCTGAAAATATCTCAATATTAGAAAGGAACACTGTATGAGATTATAAATTATATAAATAAGTTGAATATTTAAAAGACTCCTATATATGTTTAACATTAGTTGAGCAATATAATAGTTTAGTTATTGATATGACTCTTGTTGTGTCTGTGCATCAATGGAATTTTATTTACGTGTTTAATTAACACCTTCTTGTACGATAAAGGAAAATATTGTGTGGACGCCTAAGATCGAATAATCGAGGATAGTGTCAAGTACAAGAGGCTGATCACCTACTTGACTATAAAGAAATATTATCAAAGACACAAAAGCAAATACATTTAGTAATAATGTTTTTGAAGTTATACTATAGCTTCCCACTGAAGTATTTCCGAACCAATTCGACTTAGGGTCCTTCAAGAAAAGAGCGTACCAATTCGTGAAAGGCCGGCAACGCACTTGCGAGCCTTCTAGCATTGTTAGTGTCCATGGGCGGCGGTATCACTTAACATCAGGTGAGCCTTCTGCCCGTTTGCTCCTATTAGATAAAAAAAACACACACGTTTTTTTATTTAAAATACTATTTAAGTATTTTGAAAATTGTCGTAAGTGATATTTATGTTAACTCTTACCGGTTCTTCCGGGAATCTGACTTCCGCCTCCCAGTTAACTAGGTCCCTAACGTTTGGCTTGTCAAACTCTTCGCTGAAGATCAGCTGACCAGCGCAAACGCTTTGTAGACCTCTCACGACAGTAGGAGATATAGTGCAGCTGCTTTGTGTTACAGGTCTTGTCACTGGTGGAGTGTATATTGGGGTATTGACGGAGGGTGTGGGTGTGGGCGTGGGTGCGGGTGTTGGTGGTGGCAACTTGTTTGGATCCACTGGTTTGCCGTCTTCAGTTACATATTCTAAAACAACAAAAAAACTTTAGTATTAAAGTATTCCGCATTGTCCCTTGTTCGGCCTCGATACTCTGCCGGAATTCATGATGCTGCTGTCCATTAGGAACAGAGAGTTATGTAATAGTGAATACAAAAATGTGGACTCTTTAGCCGGCTATCTCGAAAATGGTACATCAAAATGGCGTGACACATGAGACTTTACATGAGTACCTTGGCAAAATTTACTCAAATTCGTTCTTTAAACTGCTGGTATCAAAAATTTAACATTTAACATTCGCTCGAACGGTGAAGGAAAACATCGTGAAGAAACCGGCTTGCCTTAGACCCAAAAGTCAACGGCGTGCGTCAGGCACAGAAGGCTGATCACTTACTTGCCTATTAGATTGACAAATGATCATGAAACAGATACAGAAATCTGAGGCCATTGATTTATTTATCAAAAATCATGACGTTATCAACGTCGAAGTCCGAAACACTTCGCAAACGTTACAGAGTAAGCCTGCTGGTGAAATTAATTTTTTTAATTTGAATTACCTGTAACGGTCCATTCTCCATTATCCTGCCTATATCCCAACCCATCTTTGATTACGTAAGTCCAGAAGTAGATTTTGTCACCAATGTTCAGCTTGGCATTTCTATCTCTGAAATACCATTTTCCGTTTTTGGGCTTAGTGATGTCACGTGACCATTGTCCCCCCTCTAAACCCTCCATTTCCTCATTGAGTTTTCCATGAAAAGCGAATAGGGAAAATCCATCATCTAGAAAAGTAAACATTGATTAGTAATTATCTCTATTAATATTATTAAGAGGAAAGATTTGTATTTATGTATGTTTGTAACCTATTTGCAAAAAGTACTAAATCGATTTAAAATATTTATAACTTTGTAGCATGCGGCCTTGTGGAATGCTACAAAGTTAAACTATGTGGCATGTAAGGGCTCCCACACAAAACTGCGAATTCGCATCGCATCGCAAATATCTGCGAATTCGCACGAACGCACCGCAAGAAGTTCCGATCTGCTTCGCATCGCACATTCTTGCGATATTACGTCATCCTTGGTGACGCCATTTTAGTCCGCTCTGAGACAGCTTTAGAGAAAGACGCGCGGCGCCTCCGCCGCCTTCTTTGTTTATAAAAAATGGCGGAATATTATATGGATTTTTTAATATTTTTAATTGAGGAGCGTCCCGTCCTTTGGGACACAAGTGATGAACATTATTAAAATAAATTTATTAAGCAAGATGCGTGGAAGAGCGTCTGTGAAAGTTTGCATCAGAGTTCATAATCGTAATAAATGGATGAACCCAGAATATTCTTTTTCTTTTATATCTATTTAACAATAACAGCAGTGCAATTATCTTTTTGCGATCCATCTTACGCGTCCTAAAAACACGTCCAGTACGGCTGACTATGAAGGAATGGTCGCCCTACCAAACGGTTCGTCGCTCTAAATCGTATCGCAGGAATTTGCGATGCGAGTTCGCATCGCATCGCAGTTTTGTGTGGGAGTCCTTATTGCAATGATAAAAATGTCGCACATTGTGGCACACTGTAGCAGCTTGTATCCGGGCACAATGGTTTCCATGCGACATTTTTCGGGCGTCATAACTGTTTGTAGGTTATGGTTTTGTTTAGGAAAGTGAGAAATATCGGTCATGGAGTAGTGTAACGAAAAATATTAAGACTAAAAAAAACTATAAAAAAGTAATAATAAGTCCTCAGTTGACATTATGGTAAGGTTTTTATGCGTGGGCCATTCTGAAGTAATCTTCTTTTTCAGTTTTTAACGTTTTTCTTAAGTTGTTTAGCTTCATGGCTTAGTAAACTAAATAAAGCATGTAATATCCTGGCACGATATTGACTCGGCGTAAACGAGCCTTTAGAATTTTACATTATACTTGAGTAATATAGTCTATATTTATTTCCAAAATATTAAAAAAAACGGTCCAGTCCTACAAAGTCGCTATATGCCGTATAGTCGTAAATAAAATACTTACTGACAAATCAAGTAAGTAAAAAACATTCAGATAATAATTTTTCGATATGAATTAGTTTTTATTGCAAACATAAATTGGATCCATCAAAATTTAATTATCAAATTATAACGAAGAAAAAACCACGCCCAAACAAGTTTCCAATGCGAGTTTTTTGTATGATGAATTGACTATTCGTAGTTCAACGTTCTTTTACTCCCAGTATCATTAACCTTAGATACATTGATCCTATTTCAAGTATCCACAAACTACTGCGATATAAAACGTCTATTAAATATACCTTGTTACCATGGTTACATTGTTATATCCATATAAAAACCATATGTTCTCTGTGCAAGGAACAATATTATTTAATTAATTATCTACAGCGTTTTTAATACATTTAAAAGTCAAGCCAAAAAATAATTACACAATAGTGACAACTCTATATAAATAAAAATGAATTGCAAAATATGTGGCTATTTAATCTGTGAGTATTTTATTATTTATTCCTTAAAATTTCCTAAAAAAGATTTTCATGGAGACAAAAATTAGAAAAATAAATGTAAAATATTTTTTTATTTAGAGTACTTAAGATTTTATTTTGAAAAAACTAACAATCTCCTCTAGATTGTTCCTTCGTTAGCAAAATGTTCCGTAGCCACTAAAAAGGTAGGCTCAGTAAAAAAAATACATTTTGGGACAGCAAATACTTAATAAAATAGGTACAAAAACATTTTTTTTAAATTAAGTATTTATCATGAGCCTGTTAAGTTGTGTGAGTGCTGTGTAGATGTGTCTTTATTTTTTTATGGACTTATAAATCCATTCAACTTGTTTACTTCTTTCGTAAATACCCGTTTGGCCTTAATATTAGATTTTATTAAGATTTACGTGGCTTACAGATATAATATTTTGGACATAACTATTCAGTATAAAGAGTTCTATAATAGGTTGCATTAATAATTTAAGCATGATGTTTATTAAATATTTTAGTACGAAAAAATCTAGATTTTCAAATCGTTAATGCATTTAAAAAAGACGTTTTTTGTTTGTAGTTATGTAATAGTATCACACGCTTTTACCCGTGAAGGTGTTCCAATCAATGGTAGGAAGTTAGGATATTAAGATAACAAGAAAAACAAAACATCAAGCTAAGCTGTATATTCTACAATTGTAAAAAAATAAACGAGCTTTAATATTATTACACGTTTTTGGAAGTACAAAATTTGGTAGGAGGCCTACTGATGTACTTTTTTGAATTATTAATATCAAGACTTATTTGAGATCTACATGGACCAGTAATTAATTTATTGCGAAGATGAAAAAATTACGCATGCAGGTCGTTGAAGATCAGTGTTAGCCTAGCTTTAGCGTGAGATTCTCATCCCTGAGATCGCAGGTTCGATCCGCGGCTGTGCACCAATGGACTTTATTTCTATGTGCCCATTTACGAACGAACGGTTAAGGAAAGCATCGCGAGGAAACCGGTTTGCTTTAGACCCAAATAGTCGATGGTATGTGTCAGGCACAAGAGGCTGTTCACCTACTTGCCTATTAGATTGACAAATGATCATGGAACAGATATAGAAATCTGAGGCCCAGACCTAAAAAGGTGATAGCACCATTGCCAAATAAGACGAAGGTTGTACATCATCTTGCTACTCACTACTCGCTACACATCTCGCTTGCTAAATTAACCGTTGAAACCGCGGGACACTCATGTATAAAACTCGTAGATTATAAGAGATCAAAACATCGTCATAAATTCTAACCTTTACGATAATATTAAGTATCGCCCGTTGACACGATTTTCCTCTTAAAAAGGTGGTCCTAATCTTGTTTTTAAGTCTTGACTTCGAAAGGTACAGGCCAATACAAATTTGGTGGTTAATGCACCCTGGGTTTTTTTTTTATAGAACAGGGGGCAAACGGGCAGGAGGCTCATCTGATGGTAAGTGATACCGCCGCCCATGGACACTCTCAATGCCAGAGGGCTCGCGAGTGCGTTGCCGGCCTTTATGATTCCTCGCGAAATAATGATCGATGGCGAAGCCACGGAAGTGATCTGGTCTCCGTGGGTTAAATAATGAAACATGCGGAAATGCCCGTGCCTATTAGGAGGTGTTATACCTATATGTTTACGTGCGATAGCTTTTTGTTTGAAGTGTCGTGTGTTTTTGTTTCGGGCGATGCTGCCTTTGCGCGTGTATATTGAAAGAACTACATCGAACTTCCATACAGAAACGTCAGGTTTGGTATTACTGTCGGTATTTGTGTCTTCAAATATTAAGTGTATATAACGAATTATTATAGTTTTGGTTTAAATGATATTTTTTTACTTACTTATACTTAACATAAGTTCTAAGTATTTAAATAAATAAACAATCAAGCGTTTATTTGCAAACAAAGTGGCACATTCAGATTCATTAATTATAAAAAAAACGGACAATAAATATAATAATAAATTTTAGCTTAAGCCAAGTAGGCGATGTTTACGCTGAATTTTTCCCACCACAGTAATTATAACACGCTACACATCGTAATTGATCAAATTAACATACCTGGTACTGAAACCCGCAATCCTCTGGGATAAATGGCTTCTAAAGTTGCCGGCGGAACGGTGTAGGCCCGCACATTGTATATTATAGTTATTAAAATTAAAATCGTCTTCATGATGACGTCCGTCCGCTAGCAACTGCAATGACGGACTGAGGAAAACCTTTCAATCTGCGCTTGATTATCTAAAAAAACTAATGGAGTTGTTATGCTATTATTAATAATTAAAGCACTGTGTTTATTTTTTTGTTCCAACGTCTGTAACATACAAGTTTGATCTAACAGGAGGCTTTATTAAAAGTAAACAATCGTTTGTTTTCGGTTTAGCTGTAAAGTATCGATCGATATATATTATATTAAGCACTTTATTTTATGCTATTGTTCGTGCTACTATATATAGCTTTTAAAATTTAACCTAGCTTATAAATACAAAAAAAGAACAATAAAAAACAATAACTAACCTTAAAATATAATAACTAAAACATATTATTAAAATAATTCCTAATTTGGGCTGAAAATGGTAATGAACAAAAAATACTGGTATTATTGTGAAAAAGCGTGGCGCGCTCTGTGCCATAGTTTTCGTCTATCCAGCAACCCACGCTTTTTAGTTTTTTTAAACTATATTTATTTTCCACTTTTTAGTCCTAGCAGAAATACGTGTTGTCTCAATTTAATCGTATTGCTTTGTGGACTTAAAAAAAAATTTCATTGTTTTTTCGGGATAAACCTGTGAAATTATTATATTGTCGCTGATTCTTTATAAGTGTACAAAGTTTGAATTAAATCTGTCCGTTTAATGTGGGTCAAAATCGAGTCTGGAGGAGTCGGTTACATACATACATACATAAATGTGAAGCTAATATAAAGCGTGTAAGAAGTCCCTTTAGGCAAGGTTCCGAAGATACTGGAAGCGTTCCCCCTTTGAATAGCTAGACTAATTCTTTGTCCGAGGTAGCTGCCAGCTCTTCGGTCTCCTCTGATCTCGACATAAAACATAAAACAGACATTCATTAAAATAAATGTATAATATATGTAACCAAATTAATTAAGTAGGGACGTGATTTGTTAAATAACTTAATAAAATTTGAATATCGTTACTAATAAACGTACGCTTTAAATAGCTATTCTTGCTTCTATAGCTTCTCTATCTTGATATATAATGGCTTTAAATGCCAAATACTAAATCCATATTCTTATTCGTATCTCAAGTTATAATCTACTTTCATATGCTCTCAAATATATCAAAGTTTAGACAAAAAATAATTAGTCCGCTCCTGAAAGAATTAAGTTTTACTTTAATTTATGAGATTTTTGTTATTTATAGATAATAAAATAAGACAATTGTGTGGGGTTAAATGTCTGGAATATTATGTGAATAATGGTTTTAATAAATTATTGTATAAATATTATTTTTATCACAATAAGGTCGTTGGTCTTCACTACACTCTCAATTAATAATAGATTGATTGGAAATAGCATTACGAATTATTTAAGAACACTGAGATACGACTATAAGCAGTACACGAACTGCTTTTAGTTTAGACTTATATTTGAACAATTGGCAAGTGGAAGAGCGCCATTGCCGAAGGCGTTCCCTAGAGTCAGAGTTCAAGACTCACTTTGGGTCGGCGCGCAGCGGAACAAATACAATTAACACAAAGGCTTTATTTACACACACGCTATATGCATTGTATCTGTGTATATTATTGTTTAGTCTGTAAACGTTTTAATTAGCGTTTATATTTTTAAAAAATAGTAAGTTCTTAGGTTTCTTCTATATAAATACTTGTTAATATACAATTATGATTACTAATAACATAGATTTGTATTCCCTTACAATTTTTTTTTACTTGTATTTTTCACAACTAATTATAATATAGTTTTAATGTCGTTTCTATGTATTTTTTGTTCCACGTTTCGCGGTAATGACCTCAGGTTTTTCTGGTTTGTATCTTCTTAATATTTGTTTTGTCAACATATATATTCTATGCACTTTAAAAGTGTTAAAAATAATGTTTTATTGTTAATTGAATCCGTTGAGGAAACCCAAAAATTTAAATTTCATAATATTCGGACCATAATAACATCGGTGTCAACCATACAAAAAAAAACTTTATAGCTGATTAATACAAAAATTATTAGATTTTTTTTTTATATTTCTTCTGAAATACGAAGATATAGTAAGTAAATAACTGGATATAGTTTGAATGAATTAAAAAAAGATAAATTTCATTTACCATATTATATAAGTATACTTAAAAATAACATGGACGTATTGAGTGGTATTTATTATACTTCTAGATAGAATAACAATATTCTATTAATGAAAATAAAATCACGTTTTTTTGCACTACCACAATCGGTGTAAGTATTTTTACCAATAATATTAAGATGCTTTTGTAACATCGAAATACATTATATATTATTTTTATATATTTTCTTTGGCGATTGTCACGCGGAGGTATTAACTAACTGATGTGTGTATAGATATTTTAGCAAAATATTATTTGTAATAAACAACTTTTTCTTTATTACAGTAAATTCCTATGTGGAACCAGCTGCCACTGAAGTATTTCTGAACCAATTCGACTTAGGGTCCTTCAAGAAAATAGCGTACCAATTCTTAAAAGGCCGGTAACGCACTCGCGAGCCCTTTGGCATTGAGTGTGTCCATGGGCGGCGCTATCACTTAACATCAGGTGAGCCTCCTGCCCGTTTGCCCTCTATTTCAAAACTTTCAAAAAAATCTAAATACATGAAACGCGTCCAACGCTGAATTTCGAGGCACTTTTTGGGAAATCCTTAATATTATTATATCGTATTTATTCATTTTAAATGTCATTACGCTAATTATATTAAGATTAATAAAACAGCAATTAATATTATCTCAGTTTGTTCTTGTTTTTCTTCGAACGTCAACCTTCACCTCTAGGGTTGTACAGCGTAAAACAATTGTATATTAATTCAATTATTCTACTAGAATTTTCCTTAATTGACATGTTTATTACCAATCATACCAATCAAATATACAGTATTTACAATTTTCTTAACCTACTGGTAATAATAAAAAAATAAAAAATTACAACAAATTTAAAAAGTTTTGCCGCATTTGTTTTTTTTACTGAATATAAAACAAAATGAGCTGTTACAGGCAAACGTTATGTTTTCATTACCAAACTATTTATTATGTTATTAAATATGATGAATCAGGTGGTGTGCGGTGACAATCTAAAACGTAAGACGAAACGCGGTTAGATTCTGATTGGTTAAACGGAAATATCGTTTCGGGTGTTTATGATTGGACGAGACATGCTATTGGCCAATCACTATTTTTTTATAGAAACGGGCTAGAAGCTCATCTGTTGTTAAGTGAAACCACCGCCCATGGACACTTCAATGTCAGGGGGCCTGCAAGTCCGTTTTTTAAGAATCGGTACGTTCTTTTCTTGATGGACAATAAGTCATATTAGTTCGGAAAAACTGCCTTAAAAACGATCAGCCCTGCGATTCTGTAACTCACTTTTCGAACTCACACAGCGGTTTTCGCATCGGCGGTCGCTCTCAAATCAGTCGTGAAGCAGTCATCTTATGATTTGGCATTCTGAAAAGGTGGGAGCTTGTAGTTTATTGTTTATAATAATTAAAAAATATCTGTCATGTTAATATAATCTCTTTGTATACACGAAGTACTAAGAATTAGTTGGCAATGACCCATAGATTATTTGGCAGCTAAACATACATTCTAGTTAAGGCATTATTACCCGTGACGTAATGTGGAATCGTCATTTCTAAAAACTATTTTTGATGTACAAAGACATTGATTACGAAAATTTATCTGCTTTTTAGTTCTACTGTTTATTAATAACTAAGTCGATTGATTTTTTTAGTATTTATTTATTCGCTACTATCTCTCAAGCCACGTCTAGTCTAGTTTCATCTTAGGTTTAAAGACATTTATTCTCATAACAGACAATAGTCACTTGAGAACTTATATACTAAAGATTATCACGTCGTGGGTCATTGAAGAGCTTCAAGGATGAATTAGCGAAGTAGAACTTGGGTGAACTTTCATTTACGTATAGAACTGGGGTCACTCAAGATATGGTTTTAGTCTTAATTTAAATATTGCCAGGCTGTCTTCACTTTTAATATTTTGTGGAAGTCAATTATACCGAGCACTCTCCCAACGCTCAATGTTTTTTTACCGTAATTGGTTCTATACTTAGGTAGAATTAGATTATGAGGGCGTCGTGAACTGCGCTTCTGAATTTGATTTATTTTAGTGAAGGTAATGTTAGTGTGTATATAGTCATTTAAAATTTTGTAGATTACGATAAAAACTTTGGTTTTCTTTCTTGTCTTTGTTTTTCTTTACCACTTCGAGTTCTTCTCCATGAGTCTTAATAAAACATTTTTTTTTAATACATCGTCTCTTCACTGAGACATCGTGGGACATTACGATCTAGCCTAACTAATTACTTATTAACTAATTATTATATATATATAATGGTATCGATCGCTTATACGAGTACTGGGGATAAATAAGGCGCAACTGCGTTTCTCTGTGAATACAAAAGATTTATTTACTAAAGAAATATCTATTAATTTACATTTAATGAAAAATATATATTTACAAATTATTCACTCACCTGTGAATACAAAAGAAACAACATTTAAAGCCTCTATTTTAGGTTTTATAAAATAAAATAATGTAATGAAAAAAATTAAAACATCTTACATCTATTATGTCAAGTGACAAATTAAACATCGTCGATCAGACGGCAAAGAAGAAAAATAAATTATAAAAAGAGTTTGTATAGGAAAATATGTTTTCCTTACATATATATTATATTTATTATTATTAACTAATTTAGTCTAACCTAATTTACTAATAAGGATATTTAACATAAAAAAATGTTCAATAACGCTACTACAGTCTCTACTAAGGAGAAAACACTCTGTTCTCGCGTTCTATTGTTTCACTTACCACTATTTAGCACTTGTGTATCTGTGGTTTTGTCCTTTTCAATCTTCTCACGTGGTATCATGAATTTGCATAGCCTCGACATACACGTGACGGTGGAACCCATGTTCGTGGGCTCCAGCAATCTTTT